GGGAAGGAGGGAAGGGGGGAAGGTGGGAAGGAGGGACGGAGGGGAGGGAAGGAGGGAAGGAGGAAATGGGATGGCTGACAACTGTTGCAAGAGACAATTGGCGTGAAATGTTTGATTTCGTGGCATGCCATGGCAAGCGGGCTCATGGCATGCGTGTAAAAACAGAGTCTGTGTATGGATGGAGCAATGCAATGGAGGGATTGGATATGGATGCATGGACAGCACAGACTGGGCATGGATGGACATGGCAAGGGAATGGGTGGAGTCAGATGGTCATGGGTTGGTAGGATCGGGTGGGGATGGGCGTGGATGGGCGTGAATGGGTGGAGATGGGTGGGGATGGGCGCAGAGCAGACGCACCTGTTCGTAGAGGGCGTGGAAGGCCTGCTTCACTGGGAGAGCCACGTCTAATGCCACCACCTGCCGCCAACACAGGGGCGCACACGGAATAAAAAGGGAGAGCAGGCACATCGTCCCCGGCTCCTAACCGTCTAGACCAATTCGTCGGTCCAAGATCAAGACCACCACCACCCATTGCCTCCCTGCTCTTCTTCCCTCCTGCCCCCTGCTGCCCCCTGCTGCCCTCTGCTGGTCCCTGCTGGTCCCTGCTGGCCCCTGCTGCCCCCTGCTGGCCCCACTGTTTCGTCAACTCTCCACACCAAATGTGCACGAGGGTCTGGCTGACCGTTTCCCTAGCAAACCCAAAGAATGCACTATCCACAACACAAGCAGGACAACGAGGAGTGCTGAACGCGAAACGCCTAAAAAAAACTCACAAAGGGAACGCCGAGCAGGAGTAACGTACTGCACAGCACACGAACTGTCGGCCACACGACAGCACAGCACACCCACCTTGCCTGACTCAGGCAGCAGCTCATACGCCTTGTGCCTCTGCAGGAAGTCCACAAACCGCTGCCGAGACGACTCCGCATCCGCTGCTGACACCGCCCCCATCGAATCCGCCAGCACCAGCCCCGCTCCCCCCAACCCCCCCACCGCCCCTGCTCCCACCCCCGCCCCCGCCACCCCCCCTGCTACCATCGCCCCGGTCACCATTCTCCCTGGTTCCCCCCCTACCAGCCCCCCCACCCCGCCTCCCCCCGCGCCCCCCTGCTGCTGCACTGCCTGCGAGGCAGCTTGCTGGGTGTGGCTGTGCGCGTCTATGTGTGCAGGGGTGTGCTGAGACGCTGTGACTGCTGACGGGCCGAGCCCGATCCCATGGTGCGCGTGGCTGTGAGAGTGTGAGTGCTGGTGCGAGTGCCCGCCTCCTCCTCCCCCTCCTCCTGCTCCTCCTCCTCCGCCTGCTGCCCCAGCGCCTGGGTGGTGGTGGTGCTGGTGCCCTGCTCCTGTCAAGAGATGGTGCTGTGGGTGTGATGTTGTCACCTCAACCCCATCCACATCCATATGCGCGCCCACTCCTATCCCAAACCCCACTCCGCCCACAACACCCCCTCCTCCCCCGCCTCCTCCGCCCGCTCCCCCTCCTCCTCCCCCACCTCCCCCTCCCGCACCAGCTTCCCCTACCCCTGCACGCTCTCCCGCGCCTGGCGCAGGTCCGGCCAAGCCGGCAGGTCCGGTGGTGGCAGGGGAGGCGGCAGTGGCAGCGGCGGCGGATGGTGGGGTGGTGAGATGGGCGTTGGGGTCGGAATCGCGCACGAGCAGCCAGTTGTTGACGTTCCCGAGGGGATCCGGCATGAACGGCTGGGATTCGTCGTGCCGCCACTCGCCGTCCACAATGAATTTGTACTGGCGGAGGGTTTAAAAACGAGAAACGGGGGAGGAGGGAGGTGGGGATCGAGGTTGGAAGAAGGGATAAATGGGAGGAGACAGGGGGTGGGGGAAGGGGTTCAGGAGAGGGGAGGAAGGGGATCAAAACAGAGCGGACGGGGAGAATGGGGGAGAATGGGAGATAGAGGGGGGCAAAGGGGGGAAGAAACGGGGGAGGACGGGAGACGAGAGAGAAGAGGCAGCTAGTGAGGCGGAACGACGGGTGCTGTGAGGAAGAAACACAGTGCCAGCAGAGTACGGTGGGGAACAAGTAGCAGCAGGTTGGGCACGGGAGTACGGTGGGAAAAGGAGAGAGGGGGGTTTTGGGAGGAGGTGAGAGGGATGGGGTGGAGGGGGTTGAGAGCGGAGGGGTGGCGGGGTGGCGTGGGGAAGGGGGGAGGGAGGGGTAGTGTTACGAGTTGCTTGTGAGAGATCTCAACGCGCAAGCCACGCCATGGCACACTGGAAGGAAGGCATGCTCTGCTGCGTGAGGCATGCAGGCAAGTGTCCAACACGCCTTGTTGCTTTGCTGCAGCTGCGGGTTTCTCTCACTCACAGCATTGCACAAGGTGGAGGTACAATGAAGGAAGAAAGAAGCAAGTTACCTGGTGGCGAGTCACGAGTCACGTCACGACAGACAGACAGACAGACAGGCAGGCAACCAGAAGGCGGGCTTCCAGGAGAGACGGTACCGGAAGACAGGTTACATGCAGTTAACCGGGAGTTAATCTACCTGATGGTAACCTGGAGGCAGGTTACCTGGTGGTAACTGGGAGTCAATCTACCTGGTGGTAACTGGGAGTCAATCTACCTGGTGCTAACTGGGAGTCAATCTACCTGGTGGTAACTGGGAGTCAATCTACCTGGTGGTAACCGGGCGGCAGGTTCCAGACGACGGCGAAGATGGAGCTGGAGCCCTCAACAGGCGCCATGGGTAGGGTTTCTTGCCACCTGCCATAGCAGCAGCAGCGGCAGCAGCGGCGGCGGCAGCGGCAGCAGCAGCAGCAGCAACAGCAGCGGCAGCGGCAGCGGCGGCGGCGGCAGCGGCGGCAGTGGCAGCAACAGCGCATCCAAGCACAAGATGCACGCGTTAGGATGAGGAAGAGAAGAAACAGAAATGGAGAATCGGGAAAAGGAGGAGGGGGAGTGAGGGGTGGGAGGGAGAGGGGAGGGGGAAGTTGCAGAGAGGAGCGTAAGACCAACAGAGGAAGCCTGCAACAACAAACAAGCTCGTCAGAAAAAAAACCTCGTTCCAGTCAATTCCATCCATGAGAACCAGAGACGTCCCGGGTGCGAACACGCGCGGACGAGCTCTCTTCCCAGCTCGTGGCCGGGCCCGGAGCTGGCCTGTTCTAGGAATGACCGCTCTGATGCGGAATGCTGGGCAGAGGGCAGCACGCGAACTTCGTGTCTGTATGATTTTGAAATTGTATAGCTGTTTATCAGTGTAACGTTGTAACTTTCGTGGCTTCGTACGAAGTCGAAATGCGAGCTAGTCGCGCCGGAGGGGGTGCAGGGAGCAGGTAAGTGGAAATCAGGAGCTCTTTCGCCCCTGTGACGCCATAAGCGGCAATACCCGCGTACCGGAACCAGAGAAATGGAGAAACTAACAACAGCAAAACACTCGGACTTGGCGAGCGAGATTGCACGGCATCCGTTGCCCGCAATGCAGGCGAATCCAGAAGCAAGCCACGAGTAGCCTAGCCGTGACCGCCTAGTCTATCCGAGACGAACTAACCTAGGCGCGACCCAATAGCCTAATCCACTCCTTAACTTGACCGTTCCGCCGGAGGCGAGCGGCTACTAGAGCTAATGTGACAAAGTAAGTCGACAGAGAACGAGAGAACGAGACGTGGCGGGAGTTGATACAACAGGCAATCGCGAATGGAAACCTAGAGAATGGCGATGTCGGAAATCACGGCTCCGTGAACACGTGTCCTATCGTGCGCACTTCGAGGCGCATTCAGAGGTGAACGCTACAGACATGCCTCCCCGGTCGTTCGCATGACGCTAACTCGAACGGAACCCACCAAAAACTAGAGCCGTTTCGTTGCCTGCACGCGTCGTTCCCTGATGCTTTGTCGTCGAAACCTTACAATTACCTTAACGCCTTGTTTTCTGCTGCCTCATACCCATCACAACTCTTCGTCACATTACGGCTTTGTCGTTCGGCACCGCTCGTTTCGAGAGTGAAACGTCGACGTACCGTTGAGTCGACTATAAACTCGCTCGCTTTAAGAGTTAACCATCGACGTACCGTGTAAACGACCCGCATAGATGCACGTGTCGCCCCCCATGCGGCCACACGAAGCGAGTGGGAACGAGCGTCGATGCCGCGCCGGCATCCGCGGCGCCGGGAAACATGCTTCGATGCGCGGCTCCTACGTACGCGCACTGGCGGTCAAATCGCTATAACGGGAGTTGGAAGCACAATGCGAGTACTGAAGTGGGTTGAAAGCGATTGAGTAGAGGCTGGCGAAAGTAAGCGTGTTCGAACAGTAATGCTGTAGTAGGCTGTGCGACCAGGCGTCGCGATAGAGCGAGTGAGACACGGAGCAGATGCAGGAAACCGCGCGTCGGTTGTACAGGTTATAGGCGATGGGAACGAGGAAAACTAGGTTCTGTTAGGGCTAATCGCTTGACTTGTTTCTCCTAAGATGACGTGGCTCTGTCAGGTCTATCTGCTATGACCTTGCTTCTAAGTGCTGACGTGGCTCCGAGCCTCCGACCCAAGATATCGGGTTTAGGTGGAGGAAGGGTCACAAGCTGGGAGGAGTTGAGTGAGGGGGATCAGCTCGGTCGCTCACTCGCTGGGTCTACGGTTTTGTAAATGGTAACACGACCACTTATACATACTCACTTACACGCTATAAGGATGTCATAAATAAAATACACATATAGGTCCACATTTCATCATACCAAATTCTTTCCGGGCTTTAAAGTGGTTCATTACCAAATTCTTTTCCATTACTTGAAAATACCAGTCCTGCACAACTGATGATTGGAACCCAAAATGTGAGTCAGGGTACATGCGACATACTATAACTAGGTAGCATCATGTCAGGGTCATGCTAAACTCTGCACTTTCAGTAACAAAAAAACCAGAGGAACAGATGGAATATACAAGATGAAGAAAAGCACCAGCCTGCGAAGCAGGCCAAGCTTTCTTTTGCCGGCAAAAGACTAAAGAGCCCTTGCTCCCTTGTCCACAATGACATGTGGCTTACTTCACTTCACATGGCGAAACTTCCTGGCTTGGGTCCTGCAAGGTCGCTCCCACTGCAGGCATTGCAAGTGAAGAGGGGGGGAAGGGCAGGAGTTTGGAAAGGACACCTGCAACCAGAACATCTTGCAGACACCTGCTTAGGACAGCATGGCATGACAGAGCACAAGACGGAGCATACAACAGCTCATCACATTCCATTGCACAGAACATCATGTCATGGGTGTGGTGGGTGCGGTGTGTGTGGGAGCATGCTCACCTGCTGACCCTGAACATGGTGGCACAGGGCATGGGCACGCTCACATCCATCTCCTCCGTCTCCTCCCCCTCCATGTAGCTGCTCAGGGGGGAACGGACGGATGGGTGAGGAACTCAGTGTGAGAACACAGAAAGGTGCGTTGTCCACATTGAGACATTGAATCATGGAGGTTGCTGGGATCGATACTCAGAGGAGAATGGAGGGAAGGGTGGTGCCACTACTGGGAAACATAGCAGCTCTTAGCACAGCAGCCGCAGGGGGGCAAACCACTCTTCAACTGCCTTAGAAGATAGACACTTGGCAAGCTCGAGGCAGAGGGGCCCGTGCTCACATGAAGCGGTTCAAGAAAAAAACGCAAACCAGGTGGAGTTTGTCGTACCTGTGCAAGGAGCCGATGGTTTCATCCCACTTCTTCTCGTAGAAAAACCCTGCCGGGAACTCGCGGAGCTCTAGACCATGGGCAGTGGACGACACACCCGCAGCAGCAGCAGCAGCAATGAGAGGAGGAGGAGGAAGGGAATCAGGAGCATCAGGAGCATCAGGAGCATCAGGAGCATCGGCAGCGGCATCGGTGGCTTCTGCAGGGGGGTGTGTGGCATTTTCAGGGATGGAAGTGGGAGCAGCGCTCCACGTGCAAAAGAGCAAGTCGGCTGATGGTGACAGGCAGGCAGGGGGGGGAGTGGATGGTAGGGGGGGAAGGGAGGGGGGGAAGGGAGGGGGGGACAGAGGGAGCGGAGGAGGGGTTAACTTGAGCCACCAGGAATTGCCAAGTGCAACATGTGTAGAGACGGGCTCTGATCTGAGAGGAATGAAGCAGAGGACGTATGGGAAGGAGGAGAGGCAGCGGCCATGGGTTGCAGGACGTATGCCCTTGGGATTGTAACAAGGGCGACACGACAAACGCAGAAACAAGCGTAACAGCAGTTTTCGAGTCACGTGCTCAGCTTGCAGAAATGCATGCGTTGCTTGTGAGATTTCTCCAGAGCGACCATGTATCGGAATGACTGCCAGTGCATGATAAGCGACCGACGGCCAGCCGCGGATCCGAAACAGCAGACGGGAGACGAGCGACGGGCGAAGGGAGTCAGCAGACGGCACACACACCTTGCTGCACGGAGGCCCAGAAGAGTGGTGCGCCGTGGTGCGAGTCCCTGGCAGCCAGCACGTACTGACTGGCGTCGTCAAACAGACAGAAGGCCCATGAGCCCTGTGGTGCGCGAAGGGAGAGAGCGTGGGAGAGGGAGCGAAGGGAAAGGGAGAGAAGGAGGGGCGGGAGGGAGAAGAGAGAAAAAGACAGGGAAAGAGAGGGAATGGTGGAGAGGAGATGCGGCACGAGAAACAGGAGGATTCAATCTTATATAATAGGCGATATGACAGGGAAGCAGAGGAGCAAAGGAGCCGGGGGGGCAGGGAAGCAGGAGAGTAGGAGAGCAGGAGAGCTAGGGGAGCAAGGGGAGCAAGGGGAGCAAGGGGAGCAGGAAGGCGCACCTGCAGCGAGGCGAGGCATGTCTGGGGCTGCGACGAGTAGTCGCCATACGCGTCTGAGAAGCCCTGTTGTGTTTCGCCCCGCGCGTTGCGGCGCAATGGAGGGAAGGGTGGGGCGCGGGACAGCGGGAACACGGGGGACGAGCAGTGAGCACGGGGGCGCGTTGCATTGCGAGGAGGTGGAGGAAGGGGAGGAGGGGTGTATGGACCGCGGGAATCAGATAAGACGGGGGTAACGTGGAAATTGGGGAAATCGAAAAAAAAAACTTAGAAAATTTACTAAAACTGGAAATTTAAAACTTAGAGACTTGGTGTGGAGCAACGTTGCGTCTGAAACGACACCGCGATGAACGAAGTATGTACACAAAACGGACAAACGAAGCATCCGAGATGCGAGATGGATCAGAGATGCGCGGAACGTATGGCACGGCGTGCTCGACCCATGCCTTCCACGACACGAGGTACTCACGGGCACCCCACCTCACGCCTCCCCACCGCTATCCACCACCACCCACCGCAACTCCCGCACTCTTCCCCTCGCATCTCCCAGCACATACACCCCCGACCCGCCCCCCCACGCCACACCCCCGACCCCCCGCCCGCGTGCAAACCCTCGGCCTGCCCCCCGCGCGCACACCCCTGCCCCGCCCCCCGCGCACCTTCCAGTAGAGCTCGGCGAGTAGCTGCGCGGAGGAGGCGGAGAAGGCGAGCAGCGAGTCGGGGCGGTCGGGCTTGGGCAGGCTGTACAGCTCGCGCACCTCGTCCTCGTTGTCTGCGCGCGCGGGGGGGAAGGGGGGGGCGAAGAGTGGGGGGGGGGGGGGGGGGGGGTGGAGGGGGAGAGAAAAGGGGGGCGGGGACGGGGAAGGGGGAGGGGAAAAGGAAGGGAATGGGGAAGGGAAGGTGGGGAAGGAACACGGAGAGTTAGCTGGGAAGACGCGCGGGGAAGTGAGGACGGGAGAGGCGGGGGTAAGCAGAAGGAAACACGCGGGGAATCCGAGGAGATGTTCGCGGGGGGCATTCATTTGAGCGGACTCAATAGATGCGCGCATGCAAACGGGGGGGGGGGAACGTGTGGGCCAGAGAACGAATGACGCGTGTTGGTGGAGGGGGCGGGGAGGGGAGGGGAGGGGGAAGGACGGGAGCTGCAACAGCGTTGTGCGCGGTCGACAGGGCAATGCGGCGAAAGAGGGGGAGGGGCAGTGCGTGTGTTTAGAAAACAGCATTGGAAATGCGGGTGAGGCGAGGTGAGGAGAGCTCACCAATGCTGCCGTGCAGAACCACGAAAACGCGCCCACCGTTCCTGCGCGGAGGGAGAAGTGGGTGGGGAGGGGGCGAAGGGAGCAAAGGAGAGAATACGGAGGTGAGATCAGGGTGGGAAATGGATCAATGGTCGTTCGAAGCGTAATGATAAGTGGCTATGCGGCAGAACAGCAAGCGACGGCCTTGCGACGAGCACGGCACCACTCACTCAGGAGCGCGGTGCTCGGCCCAGCTGACACGTGGATGGTTCTGAATGGTCCCGAACGCGGCGCCGTCGAGAATGTGCTTCTCCACGTGGCTCTTCCATTCCAGCGGCAGGCTGTCCTTCACGCGCGCCAAGTCAGCGCGCACCACATCGTCCACTGAGCTCCTGCTACGTGTACAACCCGGCGCGTGGCAGAGACAGGACATAACAGAGACGCGTGAGAATCCGAAAGATAACCGAACGGGGCAGTGTGTACGACATACGGGTACGTGAAAGAAAGATGGGTGCGGGACAAGAAGAGGAAACGCTCGTAGACGAAACATAGTAGCGTGAGCGTCACGGAAAAGGAAAGAAAGTGAGGTGGGTGGTGTGCGGTTGGGGTGGGTGTTGTATGGTTGAAATGGACGGACGGTACCGTGGCGGGGCATCCCCGGAGCGCGGGAGGCGGAAGGAGAAGCTGCGGGAGGAGCGGCGGAGTGGGTTTGACCCACCTCTCTAGCGCGCTCGGCGGAGGCCCGCCCGGCAGCTGCGGAGAGTGGATGCGGTCGAAGATGGAAAACATGGCGCACGGCGGAACGGCAGAGGCGGAGAGGGGATGAGGAGGGCGGGCGGAGGAGCGCGCGGAGAAGACAGGGGAAAACGCGCGTGAGGAGACGGGCCGGGGAAAGTGTGTGAAGGGGAGTTGCACGAGAGAGTGAGTAGCGGGCGTCGTGCCCTATCGGTCCGCAAGCACGGAACCAGCGCGGTCGACGCAAGGTTTAGGTTAGCTCAGCGGGAGTCACGGGAAGAGACTAGGATTGACGGATAGATGAGAAATGTGGGGCGAGAAGACGTCACGCGAGATAAGAAAGCGTGCGAAATTCTATGGCAGGATGCAGTGGAAACGCTGTATGTGCGAATCTTTTTCGGTTTAGACGACGCTGTTGAAAAAAGGCAAAAAACGAGAAGGAGAACGACGAGATGTCAACGAGGTGAACACGGGCCAATAGCGTAAGCTGAACTAATAAGTAGCCAAGAAATTGGGTGTCAGGATGAGCCGACTAATAAGGAGGAGCAAGCTCAGCTTGGAAGTTGGCGGGGCGGGGTGCGGCTCGTCGGGGAATGCTCCAGCGCAGGAGATTCCGGGGAAGGAAGGGGACGGGGAAAGGGCAGGCGGGCGTTGGCTCGGGTCAGGAGATGCGGTGCGAGGCGGGAAAATCTCCGCTGCTGCAGGTGAGTACTGTACAGAAGGAGAAAGTGGGGAGGGAGGCGAGGGGGCAACGCGGGTTACTGTACTTCATCGTCTGCTGCCCTACCTGACACACACGAACAGAAACGACGAGAGGCGAAATGGCACGTGCAGCGATGCGCGATGAGCTGGCGCTGCCAACACAGCGAGGACCTTGTGAGGGACATGCAAAGAGATAATGACGCGGAGCACTTGTTATGGAGAATGGTGACCCTCTGATTGGGTGCTGTGAATCCAGCAGCTCAATGGGGTTGTAATCTGATGTGGCGCCTTGATGTTCCTAGTCAGAAGCACGATGTGTAGCGTCAGATCACGATATGTAGCTTTCCACCTCAACAACTCATCAGCAACTGTAACGAAGACAGGCCTCCACCATATATCGAATACAACCATGTAGTTGTAAGGGGTTTCATTTCCTTATCCGATCTGTATTGCATCTCTTAGAAGCATAGGCTTGGTTCAACATCCTCTACTCCTATCGCTTTGGACATTTTTTTCCCCGACATGACCTCCATCTTTAATACCTTGAGGTCGTCACCTAACTCGGGTTCTTGCTTAATTATCGTTAGGGTACGACGACGACACACTTGATAGTGTTTGAGGATACTGATAGTGTAATCTGATTCTAGTGGTATTGTGATTTATGGAAGATTGCCTTTTGAAATTGTACCCTGATTCTTAATTGCCTCTATGTCGAGATTTCTCTGTAAGACAAGCACACCCTCCCAACAATAAATTTTGGCTCCTTCTTGACCAGCCTAGCTTTCCTCTGAATCATAAATATTTGATACCCATCAAAGCACTGTAGTTGCAGCCTTTAACGCAACCGTTACAAGGTCCAGCATCGAGTCTTTTTCAGGATCGTCTGATTGCTGATTGATTTGTGATTCTGTTGGGCTTCAGTTGGCTTCTTATCTTACCTTACTTTCCGCGAGATTCGCTGTAAGCTTCATTGCACCTGAATCTGCGTCTGTTTCCAATCGAGCATCTAGGGAATTTCACGGATTGTCCACGTCAGCATGGGAAAGCAGCGGATGTCTGCGGTGGACATCGCCGCTGAGGTGGCATGCCTACGTCAGCGGTTGATCGGTTTCCGAGTCGCCAATCTATACGACCTGAGTCCCAAGGTAGCCGTTGCCCCGGAGAATCTCATTCCAGCTTGTTTGGTTCAAGAGAACTGTAATTGTCCTTCCCCCTCTTGGGTGGATTCGTAATCAAGTGAATCAGTATCTAGTACTAGTGATGTATCCTTCACTTTGGTAACTGCTCGTCGGGCTTATAATAACTCCTTGGATGCGTATTGACCAACTAAAACAGATGCGTATATCATTGCCGTATCAGTTTTTCCGCTGTACTATCGGCACTCCCCTCAGCACCTTCCGTTCTCTCTCCTCTCTCCCGTTCCTCCTCCTCCTCCTCCTCCTCCTCCTCCTCCTCCTCCTCCTCCTCCTCCTCCTCCTCCTCCTCCTCCTCCTCCTCATCCCCCTCCTCATCCTCGCTCTCATGCTCTCTCTCCCCCTCCCCCCCCCACCTCATCCCCCTCGCCCCGCACCCCAGACGTATGTGATAAAGCTGGCGAGGAGCAGCGGTGTGTCGGAGAGCGGGCAGAGCGAGAAGGTGCTGTTGCTGCTCGAGAGCGGCATGCGCTTTCACACCACCAACTTCGCCAGGTGCTGCTGCTGCTGCTGCTGCTCCTGCTATGGCTGCTGCCGTTGCCGCCGCCGCCGCCGTCGCCACCGTTGCCCCTGCTGCTGCTGTTGCTGCTGCTTCTGTTGTCTGCCGTATTGAATGGGCTGCTGTCTTCTGATTCGGGTGCCACCGGTTGCAGCCGCCTCTCCGCCATCTTCTCCTCTCTTCCTCTCTCCTCTGATCATTCCCCTTGCTTTATCCGTGTTCCCCCCTCCCCCCTCCCCTCTCCTCCACGCCCCCATACTCTTTCTCCTCCTGTTTCCCCTACCCTTTCTCCTCCCCGCTCTCCTCCCCCTCGATTATCAACCCAATACCCTTGCCAATTTCCTGTCTATCTACCATGTGCGATGCATGCTGGTGGTGCTGTGGTGGTGGTGCTGTGGTTGGTGGGGCTGTGGTGGTTGGTGGGGCTATGGTGGGGATGCAGGGACAAGAGTGTGACGCCATCAGGGTTCACCCTAAAGCTGAGGAAGCACATCCGCACTCGCCGCCTCGAGGACATTTCCCAAATCGGAATCGATAGGGTAATGACCCAGACTTCATACTAACCCTGTACCCTATACCCTATGGATAGCTTACACCCTAGCCCTTAGACTCTCCCTCTGTACTCTACACCTGTACCTTATCCCACTATCCTAGACCTTTACCCTAAACCTCCACTCAATCAGACTTCGAGCCTTGGACCATGCGGGACCAGGTTGGTTGCTTTGCGGGGGGGTTTCGTTTTGAGATATCTCGGAAGCAGATTGGAGCTGGTTTTTTATAACCCTAAACCCGAACCCTAAACCAGAAGCCTTCTCGTTTTGAGATATCTCGGAAGAAGATCGGAATTTGCAGGGTGATGGCTTGGCTTGGAGCTTTAAGCAGTTACTGGAGGGAGTGAGAGTGACTGGCTGGGTTGGGGTTAAGCGTGTGCTGTTCAGTGCCCTAGAACGTGTGTGTGCGCTAGAGAGTGCGGATGTTAGAAGCCACATGCACTGGAAACTTTTTTTTGCATGGTTAGAGCGACTGTAGGGAAACAGTCAGGGAGTGCATGTATAGTGGGACTGTTTGGTAGGTGCGATCTCCAACCGCCTCACCCCCCTTCCTCCCCACCCCACTCCACCTCACCGCACCCCTCTCCCTTCCCCACAACAACCCCCCCCACCCACCGCCCCCGCCTCCTCCCCCCCCGCCCCACTCTCTCACCACCCCACCTCCTGTGTGCTTCGAATGGCTCGGAATGGCACCGCTGCTACTATACTGCACGGCACGGCACTTTCCCTTGCACGGCACTCCATGCACACCAGGTGGTGGACTTCAAGTTTGGCACGGGCGAGTCAGCGCACCACGTGCTGCTGGAGCTGTACGCGGGGGGCAACGTTATCCTCACTGACAGCACCTACTCCGTGCTCACTCTGCTGCGCTCCCACAGGTGCGTGCACGCATGCGGGTTTGTGTGTGTGGGTGAGTGCATGCGTGTGTGAGTGAGTGGGTGGGCTTTTGAGTCGACTCAAACGTCATCCTCACTGACAGCGCCTACTCCGTGCTCACTCTGCTGCGCTCCCACAGGTGCGTGTGTGTGTGTGTGGGGGGACGGGGATGGAGGAAAAGGGGGGATGGGTGCGTGTGTAGATCTGAAGGGAGTGGGAGGGAGGGTTGTGCATGTGTGTGGGGGCAGATCTCCTGCGCTCCCACAGGTGTGTCTCCACCTTCTGACCTCACCTCGCCGTCCTTTTTGCCTCTCCGCGCATTCACCTCCCAATCTTTCTCATTCCTTCTCCATCCCTGCCCCTGCCCTTGCCCCTGCCCCTGCCCCTGCCCCTGCCCCTGCCCCGTTTCCCCCGACACCCATCCCTTGCGTTTTCCCCCCGCGTGTCCCCCTTTCCTTCCCCCACCGCCGCCCCTCTCCCTTGTTCCCTGTGCCGTGCCCTTTGCAGGGACGTCAACAAGGGCATCAAATCTACCTTAGAGAACTCTATTAAGTGTCTCTGTTTCTTTTCCCTTGTTCCCCATGCCCTGCCTGCCTCTATGCAGGGACGACGACAAAGGCATTGCCATCATGCCCAACCACCCCTACCCCCTCTCGTATTTTGAGATGTCTCACAACTTTAACTGCTCGCCCCATCTCCCGTGTCCCCCTGTGTCCTGCCTGCCCCTTTGCACTGCAGGGACGACGACAAGGGCATAGCCATCATGCCCAACCACCCCTACCCCCTCTCCTCCCTCCGCCCCCTCACTCTCTCCTCCCCCTCCGCGCTCACCAAGGCGCTCCTGGGGGAAGCGCCAGTGGCGGGCGCGGAAGGCCATGGGGGGGAGGCGGGGGAGGGGGAGGGCGAGGGGGAGAAGAGCAGCGGGGATGGTGGGGGAAAGGGGGAGGGGGGGAGGAAGGGCGGTGAGGGGGAGGGCGGGGCGAGTGGGGGGGGAGGAGGGGCGGGGAAGGGGAAAGGTGGTAAGGCGGGGAAGAAGGAGAAAGGGGGGAAGAAGGAGAAGGGGAAGAAGGGGCAGGGAGGGGAGGGTGGGGAGTGTGCGGAAGGGGAGGAGGGGGCGTGGGAGGAGCGGGTTGGAGTGTTAAAGGAACGGTTGGGATCGGTGCTGGGCTATGGGTTGCCCATTTGTGAGCATATTGTCAGACAGGGAATGGAAGCAGCAGCTGCAGCTGGTGCTGCTGATGGTGATGCTGCTGCTGCTGCCGTGACGCCTGCTGATGGTGCTGGTGGTGTTCTTGATAGTGCTGACAGCTTGGTAGCGAGTGGTATGATGAGGAAGGCTGGTTTGCAGGGCAAGGAGGAGGTGATAGTAGCGAAAGTGGTGGCAGCAGCGAGTGCGTTTGAGGAATGGCTCGTGAATGTGACTCAAATGAAGGTCATTCCGAAAGGCTACATCTTGCTACGTCGCGAGAAGCAGCAGCAGCAGCAACACCAGCAGCAGCAGCGACAGCAGCAGCAGCAGCAGCAGCAGCAGCAGCAGCAGCAGCAGCAGCCACAGCAGCCGCATCGGAGGCGGCAGAGGGGGGAGAAGAAGCAGAATTTCGAAGCCAAGAAAGCCGGTGATGCAAGCGCGGCTGAGCCTAAAGGGGGAGAGGCGGACGGGAAAGAGCAGGCTGATGGGCAGGGGGGAGGCGCAGGGAAGGGAGAGGGAGGGAGCGAGGATAGGGAGGAAGATGATGTGGTGTATGAGGAGTTCTGGCCCCTGGCCCTGCGACAACTGCAGCTTGCTGCAGGGGAGGTCGTTAGTGTGGGAGCAGGAGGAGGAGGAGAAGAGAAAGGAGAAGTAGAAGAGTCAGAAGCTGCAGGGGCAGCAGCAGCAGCAGCAGCAGGAGGAGAAGGAGGGAGGAAAGGAGGGAGGGAGAAGAGGGGGGCTGGCGGGGAGAGTAAGAGTCTTGCACTGCGTGAGTTTGAGACGTTTGATGGCGCAATGGACGAGTTCTTTGCGCGGTACGAGGGGCAGAGGGCCACGCAGCAGAGGGCGGCAGCAGAGAAGCAGGCGGCGAGCAAGCTGGAGAGGATCAGAGCTGACCAGGTCAGGGCACACCCTGCATTGCCAGTGGATGCTGATCTCATGCTCATGCTGATACTGATGCTGATGCTGATACTGATGCTGATGCTGATAATGATGCTGATGCTGATACTGATGCTGATGCTGATGTTCTCTTCAAAATTCTCTGGTTGGATGTTTTACTGGTATCTTGCTCTCTCCCGCTCCTGCTCCCTCTCTCCCTCCCCCTCCCGCTTCCGCTCCCCCTCCCCCTCCCCTTCCCGCTCCCGCTCCCGTCCCCCCTCCCCCTCCCGCTCCCTCTCCTGCTCCCGCTCCTGCCCTTGTTCTTTAGTGCTGCTCAATCACCATCTTATCTCTTTTGAGGCGTCTCAAAATGCGTCTCCCGCCCTAGAGTTCTCGTTTTTTGGTCCTGCGCAATCACCACCCTATCTCCCCAACACTCCCCCTCCCAACCCCCCCCCCCTGTCCCCGCACCATCTCTTCCCCCCCAACCCCGTATCCCCCGAACCCCTACCCTAACCACCGCAGCAAAAGCGAGCGCAGCAGCTGCAGCAGGAGGTTGGCGTGGCAGAGCACAAGGCACGACTCATTTGCTACCCTATCTTCCCAACACTCCCCTCCCATCTCCCCCCTTTCTCCCCTCACCTCCTCCCCAACCCGTTACCCCTCCCACCACAGCAAAAGCGAGCGCAGCAGCTGCAGCAGGAGGTTGACGTGGCAGAGCACAAGGCGCGACTCATCGAGCAGAACCTCGCTGACGTGGACGCCGCCATCCTGGCGGTGCGCGAGGCGCTGGCGGGCGGCATGGATTGGCAGGACCTGGCGGCGATGGTGAAGGAAGAGCGGCGCGCGGGGAACCCGGTGGCAGCGCTGATAGCAGCGCTGCACTTGGACCGAGGGCGCATTGCTGTGCTGCTCACCCCGCCTGATCTGGATGGCATGGAGGATGAGGAACGCACGGCTCCTGCTGCTCTGGTGGGTGCTGGTGGTGGGTGTGGTGGTGGTAGGTGTGTTTTGAGCCGACTCAAAACATAGCGGTGCTGCTCACGCCGCCTGATCTGGATGGCATGGAGGATGAGGAGCGCACTGCCCCAGCTGCTCTGGTGGGTGTGGGCTTGCGACGTTATTTGAATTCCATGGTAGGGGTGGTGGTGGTGGTGGTGGTGGTGGTGGTGGTGGTGGTGGTGGTGGTGGTGGTGGTGGTGGTGGTGGTGGTGGTGGTGGTGGTGGTGGTGGTGGTGGTGGTGGTGGTGGTGGTGGTGGTGGTGGTGGTGGTGGTGGTGGTGGTGGTGGTGGTGGTGGTGGTGGTGGTGGTGGTGGTGGTGGGGGGGGGCGGGGGCGGGGGCGGGGGGCGGGGGCGGGGGCGGGGGCGGGGGCGGGGGGCGGGGGCGGGGGCGGGGGCGGGGGCGGGGGCGGGGGCGGGGGCGGGGGCGGGGGGCGGGGGCGGGGGCGGGGGGCGGGGGCGGGGGCGGGGGCGGGGGCGGGGGCGGGGGCGGGGGCGGGGGCGGGGGCGGGGGCGGGGGCGGGGGCGGGGGCGGGGGCGGGGGGCGGGGGCGGGGGCGGGGGGCGGGGGCGGGGGCGGGGGCGGGGGCGGGGGCGGGGGCGGGGGCGGGGGCCGGGGGCGGGGGGGCGGGGGCGGGGGCGGGGGCGGGGGCGGGGGCGGGGGCGGGGGCGGGGGCGGGGGGCGGGGGCGGGGCGGGGGCGGGGGCGGGGGCGGGGGCGGGGGCGGGGGCGGGGGCGGGGGCGGGGGGGCGGGGGCGGGGGCGGGGGCGGGGGCGGGGGCGGGGGCGGGGGGCGGGGGCGGGGGCGGGGGCGGGGGCGGGGGCGGGGGGCGGGGGCGGGGGCGGGGGCGGGGGCGGGGGCGGGGCGGGGCGGGTGGGGGCGGGGGCGGGGGGCGGGGGCGGGGGGCGGGGGCGGGGGCGGGGGCGGGGGCGGGGCGGGGCTGGGGGCGGGGGCGGGGGGGGGCGGGGGCGGGGGGCGGGGGCGGGGGCCGGGGCGGGGGCGGGGGCGGGGCGGCGGGGCGGGGGCGGGGGCGGGGGCGGGGGCGGGGGCGGGGGCGGGGGCGGGGAGGTACCCATGACACACAGATTCGCTCACTCCTCCGTGCTCTCAATCTGACAGGTGGAGGTGGAGTATTGACTATCAGCGTACCAATGCTCTCCCCACCCACCCTGTTCTCTCAATTGCACACCCCCTCCCCTCCCTTCCTCACCCACCCCCACCCCCCCCGTCTCCTTCCCTCACCCCTCCCTGCGTGACAGGTGGAGGTGGACTATTCGCTGTCAGCGTACGCCAACGCGCGCATGTGGTTCCAGTCGCGCAAGAAGCAGCAGGAGAAGCGCAACAAGACGGAGGCCGCGCACGAGACCGCGCTCAAGGCCGCCCATGCCAAGACCTCCCAGCAACTCGCACAGGTGAGCTGCTGCTGCCACTCGCCCTCATGGGCTGCCACTCGCCCTCACTCAAGGGAGAAGAACTTGCTTGATAGCGTCTCAACAGTCACACCATCAGCTTCGCAGCTCGTACAGCTGTGCTCGCACTCACCCTCCCTCCCTCCCTCCCTCCCTCCCTCCCTCCCTCCTCCCCGTCTCCCCCCCCCCCCTGCCTCGCTTCCTTTCCCCCATTCTCACCTTCTCTTCCCCTGACCCCTCCTCACCCCACGTCTCTCCCTCTCCTCCCCACCCCTCTCCTCAACCACTATCCCTTCCCCCACCACCCAACCCCACCACACCCCCCCGCACCGCACGGCACCGCAGGCCAAAGTAGCAGCGACGGTGCAGCACATGCGCAAGGTGCACTGGTTCATCTCCTCCGGGAACTACCTCGTCATCTCCAGCCTCAACTCACCACCTCCCCTCCCTTCCCCTCCCTTCCCCCCTCCTCTCCTTATCCAATCTTGTCACCGCATTGCACCCCCCTGCACCGCACCGCAGGCGAAGGTAGCAGCGACGGTGCAGCACATGCGCAAGGTGCACTGGTTCGAGCGCTTCCACTGGTTCATCTCCTCCGAGAATTATCTGGTCATCAGCGGCAGGGATGCGCAGCAGAATGAGATGCTCGTCAAGCGCTACATGCGCCGCGGGGACCTGTGAGTGCTGCTGGAGGGGTGGGTGGGTGCATGGGTGGGTGGATGGAAGGGTGAGTGGATGGGTGGATGGTTGGGTGGGTGGATGGGTGGGTGGATGGGTGGGTGGATGGGTGGGTGGATGGGTGGGCCTCTCTTTCTCCCCCTACCATTCCCTTCTCTTCTCTCTCAGACACACACACATGCACATTCTCCTTTCCTCTCATCCCCATCTCATTCCTCTCCTGACCCCTGTATTATTTCCACCAAGTATTATTTTCTCTCCCGCTCGCTACTTTCCACGTCTCCTACTTCTCCTCACCCTTCACCCTCCCGTACCCCTCCCACTTCCCTTCGCCGCGCCATCGGGCAATTCGTCACGTCTTCCATGACGTGAGGCTATGTAAGAGACTTACGAGACTCGTATGGAACTACCTACTTGTATTGAAGCTTTCATTCATGGTGACGTACCATCCACTCCACTCCTGTTTCCCATTCACACACCCCTTCTCTTCCCCGTCCCGCCCTCCCCCTTCACCTCCTCCGTGATCTCCCATTATCCGCTGCTCCTCCTCCTCCTCCCCTCTCCCCACCTCGCCCATTCTCTCCATACTCCCCAATTTCTTTCCCCCTGCCACCAACCCCTTCCCCCACTACCGCCCCCTTCCCCCACTGACCCCCCTTCCCCCCCACGTCCGCCCCCTCTCTCCCCCCTCCCAGCTTCGTGCATGCAGACCTGCACGGAGCAGCGAGCACCATCATCCGCAACACAGACCAGCACGGCCTAGCAAGCACTCATCCCCCCACTCACTCTCGGAGTCGACTCAAATGCCACTTCCCCCCCTCTCCCCCCGCCCAGTTACATACACGCAGACCTACATGGAGCAGCAAGCACCATCATCCGCAACACAGACCAGCACGGTCTAGCACTCATCCCCCCGCTCACCCTTGCACAAGCCGGTGCAGCCACCGTCTGCCTATCCGCTGCCTGGGACTCCAAGGTGGTTACCAGTGCTTGGTGGGTGTACCCCAATCAGGTCACTAAGACGGCGCCAACTGGCGAGTATCTGACCGTTGGATCGTTCATGATTCGCGGGAAGAAGAATTTCCTGCCGCCCGTGCCGCTGCAGATGGCGTTTGGGTTTGTGTTTAGGGTGGATGAGAGCTGTTTGGGAGCGCATTTGGGGGAGAGGCGCGTGCGCGGAGGGGGGGAGGAGGGGGAAGGGGGGGACGGGGGGACAGTGGCGAAGAGAGGAGGGGGGAAGGGGGGGGAGTCGGTTGCTGGCATGGATGCTGGGCCTGGAAACGGGGAAGTGGAATGGGAGGAGGGGGTATTGGGCGAGGAAGGAGAGGGAGAAGTGGTGGGTGTTTCTGCCGGCGCAGGGATGGCAGAAGAAGGTAAGGAGGAGGTTAGGGAAGGGGAGTCGCAAGGAAAACAGGAAGCAGATAATGAGAAAGGAGCACCGGAGAAGGAAGAGGAGGAGAGGGAGGAGGAGGAGGAAGAGGAAGAGGTAGAGGAGGAGGATAAGGAAGAGGAGGGAGAGGAGGAAGAGGAGGAGGGGGGACTGGAGGATATGCTTGATGCGGTGCTGTCAGTTGGGGGAGCTGGAGGTACGGGCCGAGCCAAGAGAGGTTCGGGCTCAGGTGGGGAAATGGCAAAGCAAAAGCAGGGATTTGCAGGTGTATCCTCTGCTCTTGATAAGTATGGGCTTGAGAATGTGGGGGTGGTAGGGGAGGGGAGGGAGGAGGAGGAGGAGGAGGGGGAGGGGGAGGATGGGGGTGAGAGGGAGAGGGCCGGAGGGGATGGTGATGGTGGGAGGGGAGGAGGGCAGAGGAGGGAGAGGGCGTATGTGAGTCGGGCTGAGCGGAGGAGGTTGAAGAAGGGAGGGGGGAGAGGGGAAGGAGGCGGGGAGGGGCAGGAGGGGGAAGCAGGGGGAGGGGGGGGGGGAGTGGAGAAGAGGGAGGAAATGGAGGAGGAGGCGGAGGAGGAGGAACAAGAGGAAGAGATGGGGAGGGGAAAGCGTGGGAAGGGTGGGCGGAAAGGAGGGAGTGGGAAGAAGGGGGGAGAGGAGCAGGAGCAGGAACAGGAACAGACACAGGGGAGAGGAGAGAAGGGGGGTGTCGAGGCGGTGAAGGGAGCTAGGGGCAAGAGAGGGCAGAGCAAGAAGCAGCAGAGCAAGTATGCGGATCAAGATGAGGAGGAGAGGCAGCTTCGACTGGCTTTGCTGGGGGTATGTATGCAAGTTGGTTTCTTTTTGGAAAGGAGAATAAACAAACAAACAAATAAACAAACAAACAAACATAAAACAACCAAACAGAGAAAGGTTAACGTAAGCCGTGATAACCCAGTAGCCTCTTTCCCCTTAATCACTCTGTCGCTCTTTTTTCCTTACAACAACAGCTTGATCTCAACCAGTATTGTCCCATTCTTGTTCCCCTCTTCACTAAATCCCCCAGTCGGCAGGCAACAAGGAAAAAAAAGGGGCAGGCAAGGGCGGAAAGGGTGCTGCTGCAGCAGCTGCTGCTGCTGCTGCTGCTGCTCCCGGTGCTGCGAGTGGTGGGGGTGGGGGTGGCAAGGGCAAGGGTGCAGGGACTGCGTTGAGTGAGTTGGTGTGTTTCAAGTGCAAGGGCAAGGGGCATCGAGCCAAGGACTGCACTGCTGATGCTGATGCTGCTGCTGCTGCTGTTGGTGGTGCCGCTGGTGGTGCCGCTGCTGCCGCTGCTGGTGCTGCTGCTGGTGAAGGTGCCAGTGAGGCGAGCACGGGAGGAGAGGGGTTGGGGAGTGTGGAGCAGGATGGGAGGGGAGTGGAGAGGGAGAAGGGAGGAGAGGAGCAGATCGAAGGGGCCAGTGCAACAGGAACAGCAGGAGGAGGGACTGGCGGGGCGACAGGAGATGATTCGGTACAATCAGAGCTGACAAGTGTTGGGGAAAGCAATGCACTTGCCAGTGGGGAAGAGCAGGGCGTGACACAGGAGGAGCTTCAACTGGATTCGGATGCAACAGGGAGGGAGGAGGCACGAGGCTCACGTGAAACCACAGGAAGCGGAGGAGCAGCAGCAGGAGAAATGGAATCGGAAGGAGGAAAGGGGGGAGGAGGAGAGAGAGAGGCAGGCGGTGGGGAGAAGCTGAGCCGGCGGGCACGGGCGCGGGCAGAGGAGGCGGAGGTGGAGGCGATCTTAGCAGAGGAAGAGGTGGCGGAGGTGGGGGAGGAGGAGAGGGAGCGGCTGACAGAGATAGACTCGCTCACAGGCATGCCTCTACCCTCCGATGTGCTGCTGTATGCCGTGCCTGTGTGCGGCCCTGTGAATGCTCTCGCAAATTTCAAGTACCGGGTCAAGGTCACGCCAGGCCATCTTAAGAAGGGCAAAGGTAGGAGCTGTGTTGGCTTGGGAGGTCGGTGCTTTGGTGCGGCATGTGTTATCCGCCCTGCGTTTGTTCGTACGGAGCAAATCTTGGGAAGGCTGTTTCTGAGTTTTTTGTTGCTTCTGCATTCTCTGGGGTCTTCAACTGAGGCTCCACGAGGCCTCGTGAGAATCCTCTGGATGGCTCACCAATGTGACACCACCTTGACACCACCTTGACACCACCTTGACACCACCTTGACACCACCTTGACACCACCTTGACACCACCTTGACACCATCTTGACACCACCTTGACACCACCATGACACAGTATTGGCACCTTGGTGTATAGAGTGTCGAAGCCTGCTCCCATCTGCTCCATCTCGTCCCGTCCAGGTGTCTTGCAGTTATAAGAAGACTGGTCCCACATCGATGCATCCGATCTCCCCACGTTTTCCCCATTCCCAGCTCTCTCACCCACCACCTTTCCTCCCTCAGTCACCCGTTCTTCTCACCAATTCCTCATCTCTCCTTCTCCCTTCCATGTGTGGACCGTCTGCAATGCACCATGTGCCATGTGTCATGTTTCATGTGCCATGTATCATGTGTCATGTGTCATCCATGTGCCATGTATCATGTGTCATGTGTCATCCATGTGCCATGTATCATGTGTCATGCCATGTGCCATGTATCACATGTCATGCGTGTGCCATGTGTCATGTGTCATGTGCCATCCAGCTGTCAAGCAAGCAGTGGACCTCTTCTTGCGCTCGCCGGACCTGTCAGCGCGGGAGAGGGAGCTCATTAAGGCTGTACCTCTCCCGGACCTGGTGTCTGCAATGATGTCCAATGCTAAGATCACGGCCCCGGGGCTCAATAAGATGGTCCGGGATAAGAAAAAGGGAGGGAAGTGAGAGGTTGTGGAACAGGGGTAGCTGAGGGTGGCATGGCAGGGTGTGTTTGGTCTGAGCTGGAGCATTTTCCAACAGTGGGAAAAGGAGTACATTTTCGCATCCACTTGCGCTGTAGGTATCTTCTCATTGTCCCTAATCACACCGTGATTAGCATCAAGATTGCCACATCCATGTAACATCATTACATAGCACCACTATGCATGCTTTCTGAATTTGCACTTCTGTATGGTAAAAGCAAATTCGTCGTTCTGTAACCGACTCGTTGTCGTCACATAATACCGAGTTGAAAAGTGGACTGGAAAACGGTCATTCGCCGACCATTTTCCGTTCGCAAATGGGCCAGTGTCATGTCCGTACCCACCCAATCAACTCCAGAAGACGGCTGGTTTTCTTTTCGCCGGCAGGATGGTTACCATCCACAATAATTTGGCGGGAGCCCAGCCGACATTTCTTCTAGATGCGCCTCGTAAATTTCAATTTCCGCGGCGCCATTTCTCTCCAGTTTCTCACATCCATCCTTCCCCCATCACCTCCTCCACCCCCCCAGCTCTCTTCCCTGAGGGCGACTATTGGAATGGAAAAGCATCATGCAGTAGGTTTGTCTGTTGTGGATGTGGAAAGTGGACTCTTGCTCCAGAAACAAACCCACATGCCGGCAGCATTGTCCATTTTCCATTTCGTTTCGCGCCTGTGTGGCGCTTCAGAGCTTCTCCTACAAATTGCCTTTCTTATCCTTAACGCACACCCCCATAGCAAGGCGCTGCTTCGCTGCTTTAGCCACTTACGGTTGCTAGTTCACTAACTTCGTCAGGGCCAAAAACTGAACAACGCATCCGTAAAGTCGAGTGGCGTATCTTTCGTGAAAATAGAGCAGTCGAATAAGCGTTTTTCCTTGCTCTCCTTGTTCATTATCTCGTTCGCCGGCAATGAGAATCGTCAGGCTGCCGGCGGTAGGCAGTTGAAATGGTTGATAGGCAGACGGGACGGTACAGACACCACCATCATGACGACGACATCCGTTTTAACGACCCCATGCGACGTCGCACGGGCAGACGAACGAATTTTGCAGCGATTCCATCTCTTCTGATCTTGCTGATTATACTCGTCGTAGCACCTGCGCTTTGCGGCAGCGCCGGTAGCGGGGGAAGCAGCAGGAAGGGGAAGAACGGCGCGGGCAAGAATAGCGGCAAAGGGGGGAGTTCCCGCAAGGGCAAGCAGCAAGGGGAAGTGCGCGCGTCATCGGGAGCGCGGAGCGGCCAGTGTGACATATTCGAAGGTCAATGGGTCGTTGACTTCGCGCGCCCGCCCTACGACGACTCCTGCCCCTACCTCGTACGTTTTTTTTTTCTGCGCTAGTTCGCGCGGTAACCGCCTGCACATGCTTCCACGGCGGCACTGGCGCACCTGCCGTAGGCGGAAAACCAGCGCGCGTACGCTGGTATAGTGGTGGCAGCGGTGACGCGTTTCTTTGGCGAAAAAGGGGGTCTGGAGTCGAGGTGATGGGAGCATGATGAGAGCGTAGGAGCGAGCCTGATAGACGGCTTGAATGATCGCGCGATAGGCTGGAGTTTCGTCGGGAGGCAAACGAAGGATGTAATTTTCGTAAGACGTCTCAGTTTAAGCTGTTCGAAACTTTTTAATCGTCGAGGCTGCTGCTGCGTCTTTCTCGTGGAAGATCTCAGCGGTTCTTGATGCCGTCGCTCACGTTGCGCGGCATCCAGCTGTGAAGCTCCAACGCGCCAACGCGTTTAGCGTCGTTCTTGTTTGAGACATCTCTAGTCTCCCGCGTCAACGCCTCCGCTCCCTCGCCGCGCCCTTCTTGCGACCAGCGCAACGTAACGCGCAACACCCAACCTTCAAGATCAACTCCCCCTTACCCTTTCACTTCCCCCTCCTCTCCCCAACCTTCTCCTAACCCCTCCCTTGCAGTTCGGTCTGACGCGGTGCAAGCGCAATGGCCGGCGCGATTCGTCGTACGTGCGGTACTCGTGGTACTCCACGTCGTGCCGCCGCTTCATCCGCTTCAACTCCAGGTGCGCGTCGCACAGGCACTACCTGCCTTCGCCACTGCGAATCCGTGCGACTAGTCCGATTAGTCCAGAATCACCCACTACCTGCCTTGCGCAAACGGTGCGCTCGTATCCGGCTGCTATTGCGCTCGATGCGCGCGTGCGCCCGATCCCGCTGTGACTACCCGTTAGTTCCCACTGTCCTTTCTCCGGCTTTAGTCCTTTCCCCTTCTGCCTTTGTCGGCTCGCTTTTCAGAAGCATGGTTTTATCACTTGTCTCAAGCTCCCTGCCGCTTCCCACGCGTCCCACACGGCGCCGCGTAACCCAATTCCCCGCACGCTGTGCGGATCGCACACGTTCCTTCGTCGCAGGGGCTTCCTTCGCATACTCGCCAATCGCACGTTGGCGATCATCGGCGACTCCATCGCCATCGCCAACTTCCTCCCCGCCATCCTCTGCCAGTTGCGCGCAGTCACCGCCGTCTCCGCGCCCACGCGCCACCTGCTTCCGCGCGGGCCGCTGGGGCAGCGCTCTCCGCAGCTGGACGCGCGGATTTACCGCGTGCCCGCGGTCGGCGGGCGCATCGTGGGGATCTGGGACGACTATCTCATGCGCGTGACGCAGGGTAAGGGGGAGGAGGGGGAATGGGGGGACTGAGGCGCAGAAAGGCGGACTATCTAGTGGCGAGGCGCTCATGATGCACTGTTCGCAATAACGAAATATGAAGTGTGACTATAAAAAGGCTAAACGTGCCCTCTTACCTCCTTCCCTCCTACCTACGCCACCACCCTCCCCCACCCTCCTCCCCTCACCCCCGCTTCCCCCCGTTCCGCGCAGACAAATCAATGCTGACGCGGCTGGTTCCGCGGTACAGCGCGGCGGAGGCAGGCCCGGAGGACGTGGCGATCGACGTGCAGACGGCGAACCCGCAATGGGCGGCGCTTCTGGGGGCGGTAGATCTGGTGGTGCTGGAAACCGCGACGCACTGGCGCACGCTGCGCACGAAGAAGGCCTCCGCCATGGCTATTACGGGCCGCGACTGGCGCGTGCTGCCGGGGGTGGACGCGTACCAGGGGTACAGGTGCGGCGCAAGGGGGCCGGGATGGGCGCAAGATGGGGCGGGATGGGCGCAATGGGAGCGGGAAGGGCGCAAAGGGTACAGGTAGGCGGAAGGTACATTCATCGTTTTCATCGTTCATCGAGGCCTCTCTGCCTCTGAGCGCCCCCTCCCTTCACCTTCTCTTCCCCCTGCCTTCCCCCCACCCCCTCCACGACTCACTCGCGCGCGCAGCAAGGCGATGCAGACAATACGGCGGCTGTTCGAGTCTCCGCGCGCCGCAGTCACGTCCTCCTCCTCCCCCAGCGCGCCCTCCTCGTTCTTCAAGGACGCGGATGCCGCCGATGCTGACGTTGACGACGGCGCTTATGGTTACACGGATGAGATTGACGGTGATGATGATGGCCATGCGCGTGATAGCAGCAGCGCGAGCACGCCTGCACGCGGCCTCGCCTCCACACCACCACAAGTACCAATATCATCACTATTATCCTCAGAACAAGAAGTAGCAGCAGCATCATCGTCAGCAGCAGCAGCAGCAGCGGCGGCGGCGGCGGGCAGCAGGCGCGGCGGCCCTCTGGCGTTTTTCATGACGGCGTCCCCGCAGCACAACGCCAAGAAGCTCGGCGGGCCGGGGCTCTGCGGCTCGCCCGGCCACGTGCTCACGCGGAAAGAGGTGCGCGCGCAAGGGGAGGGGGATGCGGGCCCGCGGGGGTCTGTGACGAGGAACGAGACGGGTTATAGAACTCGGAACTCGAGCGGAGAACCATGCAAGGCGGCAGGGTTTTGCATGATGCAAGGGCGGGAGAAGACACTTTCAGCCACACCTGTTTCTGCGTTGCACTTTCCTTCTTCCTACCTCTGATATCATCAACTCTCCCTCCCCTCCTCCCTCCCCTCCTCCCTCCCCTCCTCCCTCCCCTCCTCCCTCCCCTCCTCCCTCCCCTCCTCCCTCCCCTCCTCCCTCCCCTCCTCCCTCCCCTCCTCCCTCCCCTCCTCCCTCCCCTCCTCACGACCCTCCTCACGACCCTCCTCACCGGCCCCTATGCGACCGCCTCTTCCCCTAACCCGTCACCTTCCCCCTCTTCCCCCCAGGTAGCGCGAATGGAGCGCAACAACGTGCAGCTGTCGCGCTTCCTGCCCATGCAGCGCGCGGCCTTCCCCCCGGGGGGCGCGGTGCGCCTGCTGGACATTGCGCGCATCTCCGCCATGCGCCCCGAGGCGCACGTGGGCAACTGGTCCAGCGCCACTGGCAAGGTGAGGGGAAGGGCGCGGGGCGAGGGGCGGGGGGCGAGGGGAGGGATGGGACGGGAGGGGCGGAGAGAGGAAGCAACGGGAGGAAAAGGGTTTCCTCTCTGGGAGGAGTTGTCTGTGCTTGGTCGCCCCGAGGCGCACGTGGGCAACTGGTCGAGCGCCACTGGCAAGGTGGGACGAAGGCGAGGGGCGGGGGGGGTGGGAGAGGAGGGGTGGGAAAGGGAGGGGCGGGAAGGAAATGCAATGGGAAGGGTGGGGAGAGGAGAGAGGAGGAGCTGGAAACTATGGGGTTTCTGTGCTCTTGCTCTCTTGAGTGGACCTTGGGAGAGGAAATCAAATGAGTTTGTTGCAAGGAGAAGGCGTATTAATTATTTTCTAACGCAGTCTCTCCTCTCATCTCCCCTCCTCTCCCCTCCTCTCCCCTCCTCTCCCCTCCTCTCCCCTCCTCTCCCCTCCTCTCCCCTCCTCTCCCCTCCTCTCCCCTCCTCTCCCCTCCTCTCCCCTCCTCTCCAAACTGGTTCTCTGTTGCTGTTCCATCCCACTACCACCAGACGCGCTACTTTGACTGTCTGCACTGGTGCCAGCCTGGCGTGCCGGACATCTGGGCAGACCTATTTTATCACCAGCTGCTGCAGGAGCCCTCACTGCAACCCCCCCGCCCCTCCGCGCCCCCCTCTCCGCCCAAACCATCAAAGCCCCCTCCTCGCCCTCCCACCAAAACCCCCTCCCCCACGCCCACCCGCTCGCCTTCCAAATCACCCTCTCGCACTCCTTCTCGTTCGCCCATGCCATCCAAGTCACCCAGGCCAAAGGTACCCACCAGCAGCAAGCCTCCCCGCAAGCCCTCCCCTTCCCCCTCCCCCACCCCCAACCCCATCCCCACCCCCATCCCCACGCCCCGCCCACCACGCAAGAACAACCCATCACCCCCCCGCAAGTCCCCTTCCCCCTCCCCCGCACTCTTCCCCCAGCCTTTCCCCCGCCCCTCACCCCGCCCTCTCCCCAAACCCTCCCCGCAACCACCCCCCAAGCTAAACCTTCAGCCCTTTCCTCGACCTTTCCCAAAGCCCACTTCCCCCCGACCCTCCCCCAAGCCTTCCCCCCATCCCCCAAACCGCTCCCCACAGCCTGCGCCCAAGCCGTCCCCCAAGCCTTCTCCCAAGCCTGCCCTCAAGCCTGCCCCCAAGCCTTCCCCCAAGCCTGCCCCCAAGCCTGCCCCCAAGCCTGCCCCCAAACCTGCCCCCAAACCTGCCCCCAAGCCTGCCCCCAAGCCTGCCCCCAAGCCTGCCCCCAAGCCTGCCCCCAAGCCTGCCCCCAAGCCCTCGCTTAACCCCGCCCCTGAGCGCCCCCCCTCCCCCTCCTCTTCCCCCGAGCGCTCCATGCGGCCTCGTGACCCCCCATCCATGGATAACACCTCCCCTGGGAACAAGGGCGGGGGAGGGGGGAACGGGGGGGGAGGAGGGGGAGGAAACACAGGAGCGGGGGGGGGAGGGGGGAGCAGCACGCCGAATCGCATGAAACCTCGGGTAGACACACACTTGCAGGGGGGAGGGGGAGAAGGGAGTGGGGGGGCTGGAGGATTGGGAGAGGGGGGACAGACAGGAGGGAGTGGAGGAAGGATGAAGGGCACGAAGATGAGTCCGAGTGGTGGTGTGGAGGGCAAGAGCGTTGAGAGCCAGGGATGGGGCGATGGAGCAGCAGGAGGTGATGTTGATGATGGGTACGGTGCAGACGACAGTTACAGCAGTGGTTATGGCGATGATTCTGATGGTGGTAGCGGTACTGGTACCGGTGATGGCAGCAGGGGAAGCAGTGCCACCAGCCAGGCAGCACCAGGTGCTTCTGCTGCTGCGTTTTCTGCTTCTGGTGACGAGTATGATGATGGGGATGGTTACAGTTTGGGTGCAGAGCAGGCAATTTTACGTGGTCAAACGAGTCGGAAGGAAGAGGCGGGCAGCAGCAGCAGGTCAACAATCATTATCACAGCATCTGCGGTCCCAGAATCATCCCGTGCGGCAACATCTCACACTTCCAGTGAAGCGGCTGCTACAAAGAGTTTACATAGCCACCGCTCCCGCTGGCACCATCGCCAGGAAAGCGCTGCCCCTGGTACCGTGAAAGGAGGTTCTCCATTCCATGGGACTGATCCTGACAGCTTACCGCTTTTGCTGCAAGGGAGTGGACGGACAGTGCCAGAGAGCAGTGCGGTGCCTGTGGATAGGAGCCCTCTGGTTGGCCGTGTGCTGGACCGTGTGGTGCCATCACAGGCATGGCAAGTGCAGAACATAAAAGGCGGGGTGTCTGCAGCAATGGTTGCAGCAGATGAGGTCTGCCTTCAAGCAAATTGTACAGCTAATGCTTGGTAGGAGTTGGTTCCTTCGGTCTTGCTTTCAGGACCAAACTCTAACCGACTCCAAAAGCATCATACACCTCTAACTTGGGGTTCCAACTTCCTATACAAGTCAAATATGTAGAGGAGGGACGTAGAATATACGGTAGTTGTATCGCATACTCCTTCTATGAGCTGCCAACTGTTTGAGTGCACTAGAGCAACCTCAAACACTTTATAACATATTTTGATTAGGTGGATATCCAGAGAAGTGAAGGGACCACGGTACTCCAGAAACAGGTTAGTTGTTTTCCGCTCTCTGGGCTGATTGTCCTGGTATTCATGGCGTAAACTGTAATTCCGCAATGTTCATAATATTAGTATTTTCTTCTGGGCTTTGGCTAGTTCAAACCATGTACGGAATTATTGTAAATGTGACGCATTGTTATACAGTGTTGGCGGATACGCGGAGGTTTCAAAACAAATCTTCGATATGGTGGTTGTCGTCTCGCCACGTCACAGCAAGCTCAAGCCAATGATCGGTCCCAGCCAAGAGAAGTTGACGAATTGCCGTCATCGTGGAATCGATTAGGCAGGGCGCGTTCCGAAAACCTAGGTTCATTCAGTTCCAGTTCCTTCAGTGATCAGGGCTCATCATGCCACCGTAAGACCCCAGCCAAAAACTCGTGCTAAATTACTGTACAGGATCATGCCACCATAACTCCCACCGAGACCAGACGTCCTAGACCTTCTGGAAGTAAACAATCACGGAACGGGTTCTGCCGATGGCAGGTTTCCCTTTCCGAATAGATCGGTCCAATACCTAGGCAAGTTTCCGGACTGGAAGGCTCTCTAGCTCATCATGAACAAGATCTAGTGATGCATTCCATTCCAAACTTAATATTATCTGAATTCGTGGGCGTGCGTAGGTAAAATCCTTGCATCCAGGTAGAACGTTGCTCTTATAACGTTCTTGCATTCCAGCTATGTCATCGTGTGCGAGAGCGTCGACCTGCTCTGTGAACCCCACTGCTATTATCCATTGTGAGAGTCTCCCCCGTTTCACACGCGGGGCATCCTCCCCGAGTGTTGTTTCTTCGTCGGGCAGATTCGCTAGTATATCGCAACCTTTGCGCCAAGTGGCCAGCAGCACAGCCTTAAAGGGCGCCGCGACATGCTCCGGCCTTCACTCACCAAGCTTCTTTCGATTAACCTTTCACAGCTACTCGTGTCCCTCCTCCCACTTACCTTCCTCATCCCATATCCGCCTCTCTCGGACCGCCTGTCTCTCTCCACCCCGCGCTTCCTCCGCTCCTAATGCCGGCTCCCCTGCCGTCACCTCCCCGTCCTCCCCTCTCCCGCGCTCCGACCCTGCCTCGTCCGTTTCTCAGTCTTCCACTGCGCTACATCCGGCCGTCCATCGCCCCTGTTCTGTCCCTTTCGTCCTCTCGCCCTCGGACCTCTCCTCCGCATCTTCCGCCGCGAATCTCTCCATAGAAGACTACATATGCCGTTATCTCCTGCAACCTGCTACGGACCGCGCTCGGCCTCCCATTTCGCGTTTTCACGTCTCCGCGATCGCAATAGGCGCTAAGACGGACCGCGCATTCCTGGGAGTGAATCTTGAGTTCCCCGGCTTGCCTCTCCATAACTCTGTGCACGCCGAGCAGTTCGCCGTAGCTTCCGCCGCATTGCACGGCGAGCCCGCGCTCTCCGCGCTATTGGTCTCGCGCCCTCCCTGCGGCCATTGCCGGCAATTCCTGCAAGAGCTGCGCGGGGCAGAGGGCCTGCGCGTGATTATAGCGGAGGAGGCGGAGGAGGCGGAAGAGACGACCCTCACGCATTTGTTGCCGCATCGCTTCGGCCCTCACAGTCTCCTAGCCGACGATTTCCCGCTACTGCTGGAGCAGCGAGACAACGGCCTGCAGCTAATCGATCCTTTCGACGCGCCCTCACCGTTGGATTTCATGCTGGTGCCTCCACTCGCCCGCTCGTTCTCCTCCGCTTCCCCACCCGCTATCGAGTCTGCAGCTGCAGCAGCTGCCTCCGCCGGTTCTCCCGCTGTGGTTCTCTCCACTTCTCTCGGGCAGGAAGCTGTGTTGCGAGCTCTAGACGCTGCCAACGCGTCCTACGCTCCCTACAGCCTCTCGCCCTCTGGAGTAGCGCTTATATCGAGGACAGGAACGGTGCATGCAGGGTCTTATATCGAGTCCGCTGCGTACAACCCAAGCCTTCCAGCGCTGCAAGCGGCTTTAATAGCGCTGGTGGCGGAAACGGGAGGGGAGGGGGCGTACGAAGATGTGGTGCACGTGGCACTTGTTGAGAAGGAGGGGGCGCAGGTGCGGTTTGACTCGATAACGGCGCTGTCTGTAGCGCGGATAGCTCCACATGCGACCTTCTCGCTGCATTTGGCAAGAGATACCCACCAGGCGACGGCGGTGGACAGGTGATTTGTGAGGGACCCGTTTGGAGGGGGCGGGGGGAAAGGAGTGAAGCTGGTAGTGGGGGTAAGAGGAGGGGAGAGGATGACGGGGAAAGGCAGATAAGATGATGGTTGATGGCCTCATGTATGGATGTCTGTTCTGCTGGTGGCCTTGGGATTTGAGTTATTGCTCCTGTACAGACATGTAAATGAAGGAAATCCGATGCATTGGAGATAACTGTGTGAGGGAGAGCTAGAGAGCGACGTAGCGACTTGGGTGAGCTGTAAGAGTGATGGTTGCCTCATGCATCTTTCTCAATCTCTTACTCTCCCGTATTCACTTAAACTACATGCTGCTTCTTCCGCTCGGACCATCCCTCCCTCGCTTCCTCCCAAATGTCCCTCCTTCCTTCCCTGCGACCCGGCCTGGTACCCTTTCATTCTATCCCTCCTCCCGTGATACTGGGCATTCCCACTTGATTCCTATCTCTCAGTACGTTGTCTACCCCCAACTAATCCCCTCTCTCCCATCCCACCCCTATTCCATTTTCATTCACATTAACACCTGTACTGTGATATTGAATTGTCAATGTATTGAGCCTCGCAGCTGAATCATGAGAGACATTTCTTGAGGTTAGAAGCCAGCAAAGCAGGAGATGTAAAGAAGATGGCATCAGGACTAAATAAAAATGACATCTATAGCAGGCTCACCGAGTCACATATACCATACTAGATATATATATTCTCTCATACACATGTAGTGATGCCAATTGAAACTAGTTAAAATACTTCTAGATTCCGTCCACCCAAAGAGGTGATCCCGCTGTAGTGAGGGACCAAGCGAAAAGGGTTTGAGGGCAGGTCCAGCGCGTTCGCCCTTCGTTCTGTGCGGTAACTCTTGTCGCGTCACGGTGCAAAACGGTGATTCAAGACAACTCTATGCACCGTCTGGAATCGTCCTTCGCCACAACGGATGAACCGAAAACGAACGCGCTGAATCCATCCACACCTCCGAAAGCTCGGCAGAAGTTGACCCATCCTCCTCTGTCACAAGGTTGAGGGTTGTGTTGGGTGATGGAGGGACGTGGCTTTCGGGTTGTGGTTGCCACCGAGCAAACAAGGCTGCTCTGACGATGGCTTCCCCTCCACGTCGGTATGCGACGTGGCCGTCAAGCCACCACTTTCAGCAACCCCAACTCCCCCACATCCCCTCCAACTCCCAAGCTCTGCTAGTGCAATTTCTGCCTATTCAGCGCCTTATCCCGCCTGGACGCTTCCAAACTTACTCCACGTAGGCATGAAACGTGGCGCCGTGACATCCTGGCGGGAGAACTTCGGGTTTTGTTCCCCAGGGAGCATCAGCAGGAATCTCTGCGCCTCAACGACTCCTTTTCAGCCTCCAATCCCCCCTGTTTCTCACTCTACGACCAGAATCCTCGATTTCTGGTTCCTTGCTTCGCTTGCCTCACGCTCCATCCTAAGCGTCTAGCACGCGCTTCACGTACCCTTGCTGGTTTAATTTTGTAGACTAGCAACTATGGCAGCTGCTACCCAGTCAGCCAACCTGAAGGTGTGCTTCCTCAGCGGGAGCGAGTCGAAGCTGGGCTCTTCCTTCACCCAAACTGCCTCTTTCGCACCTAAGACTGGCGTCAGCTCCACCCCCCGCAAGCTGACCGTCAGGGCCGCGCGTGAGAAGTTTGAGAGGACGAAGCCCCACGTTAACATTGGCACCATTGGACACGTCGATCACGGCAAGACCACCCTGACAGCAGCCATCACAACAGCTCTTGCCTCCGTCACTGGTGGCCAGGCTAAGAGGTAACGCTGCGTTGCAAGTCCGAATAGTGTGTGGAAGGTCTAGATTAGAGTTTTCCGAGCTTAAGGGTCCGACCTAACGGTTTTCCTGTACAGGTACGATGAGATCGACGCTGCTCCCGAGGAGAAGGCCCGTGGTATTACCATCAACACTGCTCACGTCGAGTACGAGACCGAGGCCAGGCATTACGCCCACGTCGACTGCCCTGGCCACGCCGATTACGTCAAGAACATGATTACTGGCGCTGCTCAGATGGACGGAGCCATTCTGGTTGTGTCCGGTGCTGATGGCCCCATGCCTCAGACCAAGGAGCACATTCTTCTGGCGAAGCAGGTAAACAAATGCGTCCTATCACACCCTATTGTGGCATGTTCCGATTGTGATCGGAATCCCCGGATTTTTTTGTGACTGACCAACCCGAAATTTGTCTTCGCAGGTCGGTGTTCCCGCCATGGTGGTTTTCATGAACAAGGAGGATCAGGTTGATGATGCTGAGCTCCTTGAGCTGGTAAGTTTATACGAGGTTTAGGCCTACTGTATAACGAGTCGCATCAGCTTGTAATTGCACATGTCATTTCAGGTTTAGTTTTACTCAATTGCTTTCTGGAATTAAGTAAATGGTCGGGGTTCCGTTTGTGCAGGTCGAGATGGAGGTTCGTGAGACTCTTTCCAACTACGAGTTCCCCGGTGACGACATTCCTATCACCGCTGGTTCCGCTCTCATGGCACTTGAGCACCTCACCGCCAACCCCGGCACCAAGCGCGGCGACAACCCCTGGGTGGACAAGATCCTGACCCTCATGGACACTGTTGATGACTACATCCCCATCCCTGAGCGCGCTGTTGACAAGCCGTTCCTCATGGCCGTTGAGGACGTGTTCTCCATCACTGGTCGTGGTACCGTCGCCACCGGCAGGGTGGAGCGTGGCATTGTGAAGGTGAGAGCCTGGAAAGAATGCAGTGAAGATAAATCAGTTGTCTCAGTGAAATGAATCCATTCAATTTTTACACGTCTCTCAGTGTCCAACAGAAAACATGTCGTGTCGGAATGTCTTTCGCTTATTCTACTGCAGGTTGGTGACACCGTGGAGCTGGTTGGTCTCAAGGAGATGAGGACGCTCACCGTGACCGGTCTGGAGATGTTCCAGAAGATCCTCGACGAGGCGATGGCCGGCGACAACTGCGGCATGCTTCTCCGTGGTATCCAGAAGACTGAAATCCAGGTACTTAACTGTCTTGGAGGAACCTAGATGTTCAGGCTCTGGTGATTATCCTACCGTTATTTTCAGCGGTTTTTTTTTAGCAATTCTGAATCTTTATGCGTTCCCTGTTTCAGCGAGGGATGGTGCTGTCCAAGCCTGGTTCCATCAAGCCCCACAACTCGTTCGAGGCCTCCGTGTACATCCTGAAGAAGGAGGAGGGTGGCAGGCACTCGCCGTTCTTTGTTGGCTACAAGCCCCAATTCTACATGCGCACAACTGATGTCACTGGATCCGTCACCAAGGTCCGTGAAGCATGAGCCCTGGTGTTTTGATCAGTTGTGTGGAGACTTCCCGTATCCTGAGTTGACCGAAATATGCTTTTGTGATGCAGGTGTTGAGCGACAAGGGTGAGGAGACGAAGATGGTCATGCCCGGCGACAGAGTGAAGATGGTTGTGGATCTGCTCGTGCCTGTCGCCATGGAGAAGTCGATGCGTTTCGCCATCCGTGAGGGAGGCCGCACTGTTGGCGCTGGTGTCGTGTCTGAGATTCTTAACTAAAGAATGCCATGACCTCAGTTGGCTAGTATATTGAGAGGCAAGCCACCAGATTTCATCCTTGTGTGTCCATTTTCTCCTAAGTGATGCTGATAATGTAGAAATTTTCCCAGTCATTTGAACCCTTTGGTAAATGAAGCTAGCGCAGATTGACTATCGCAAAGGGTACAGGCTTGCTAGCCTGGGGGTTGAAGGCATGATATTGCAACTGGAAGGTCTCTGGGCCTGGGCTGTACAGATGTGAGGTGAACTCCAAGAAAAAGTCTGGAAGAGCACGTGGTTGCCATGTGCTGCTGATATACTATACGCTTGGTTGGGGTGGCTGTGCAAATGCCTTGGTTGGATAAATGTGTTGATTTTGTTTCTCTGCTGATGACATTGTAATGATCTTGACGATGTGAGGCCCTTTGGATAAATTGCACACATGGTGATTAAATGCAAATGTGAATGCAGGCACTAGACTACTAGCATTACCATGCAGCAAGTAATTGGGGAGCATGTGATGTGTTGTGAATAGGGGAATACATTACGTATCGCACGACCACATTGGCTCCTTCCTCACAGCTCACAGCGAGGTAAGCAGAGTACTGGTATTTCTATAAAACTGTCTTCACTGCCCCCTCCGTCTCGACCATCTCCCCCTCTCCCTGCCCGCTCTCCTCGTCCACAAATGAGGGCACTACACCCGACTTGGCAGCAAATATGGCCTCGTCCATCCTCTCCTCTGATACTCCTCGCAGCAGCCCCCCTGGGAAGAGGTCAGAACAGAGGGGAGTGACAAGGAATGTGATGATGAGCACATACAAGCAATGGGAGAGTGAGGGAGCGGGGGTGAGGAGTGCACGCAAGGGGAGGGAGAGTGAGTGAGCGAGAGAGGGAGAGAGAGGGAGAGGGAGAGAGAGAGAGAGAGAGAGAGAGAGAGAGAGAGAGAGAGAGAGAGAGAGAGAGAGAGAGAGAGTCTTAGTCTGAGTGATCAGTAGCGTGTTCATGTGTCTGTGAGCGAGTCTGACTGTGTCTGTGAGTGACTGTGTGTGTCTGTGTGTAAGTACCAATATAGCTCAGCTGGCGCCGCCACCCGTTCTTCCCCCGCCGGGTGATGACCTGAACGACAACAATACAGAGGAGCAGACAGAGAGAGTGAGAGCACGAGTAAATTAGTGGTTGACAAGTGCTGGTCGATGGATGTAAATTGGATGGTTGGATGGTTGGATGGTTGGTTGTTGATCGGAGAATGGAAGTGGGAGGTACCACCACTGTGTGCATGAAGGGAGATTGGGGCGTGGGAGAAAGTGTGTGAGGGGATAAGTGAGCGCGAGTGTAGGTGTGTAAGGGAGAGAGGGCTGGTATAGTTGAGAGACAGGCAGTGAGTGTGTGTGTGCGTGTGAGTGTGTGTATGAGTGTGTGTGTGTGAGTGAGTGAGAGAGAGAGAGAGAGAGAGAGAGAGAGAGAGTACCTGTGCGAGCTGCACTGCCTCCAGTGTTTCCTCGGGGAGATCCATCCAGCTGCACAGGGGGACGAGAGGAGAGGAGAGGAGGGGAGAGGAGAGCGGCGAGTGAGGGAAGGAAAGGGCGTGCGTGTTGTGTATGTCTGCGTGATACAGAGAACGAGAGGGAGGGAGAGAGAGAGAGAGAGAGAGAGAGAGAGAGAGAGAGAGAGAGAGAGAGAGAGAGAGAGAGAGAGAGAGAGAGAGAGAGGGCAAGAAGTGACTGACCTCACGACTCTCTGCAACTCCTTCCCCTTCAGTTCCACCAGCGCCAGCCCATAGTCCTTGGCCTTCTTTGCGTTCCGCTTATACGCATTGCGCCCCTTCCCCGGCACACCGCGCCTCGGTCCCTCCACCGCAATCTCCCGCTCCGACTCCCCACCCCCCGCTGCGCCAGACACCTCCGCGGGTCCCCCCACCCCCGCGACCAGCTCCGCGTCGTCCAGCGCGCGCCGTGATTTCCGCCGCCTGTCGCGGCCGCGCAGCTCCGCTTCTAGCGCGATTCCGTCCCTAATCTCCTCATCTGTGAGACTCAGATCAGACCAACCCGCGGGAGTGGCCGCCGCGGCTACCGTTCCGCGCCCGCTATTGGCGCGACGGAACTCCGCGCCGATCGCTTGCGACGACCAATCGGTCGCGAATGGCCATTCGCCCGCTCTCCCCACGACTGCCACTGAGAGCGCGCGACGATCTTGGAAAGCCGCGGGGCTCGCGGCTATCCATTTGACGCGTGAATTAGGTCGAGGCGATAGTGAACAAGGATGAAGCGTGCGACTGCATGGGCTTGTGCTGTCGTGGCGGGTCCAGTCTAAGGTGCCTTGGGATCCCCCAGTGCGATTAAAGATGCCTCGTGCTTTGTGTCGCTGCATCAGCTCTATCCGAAATCTCCCATGGTGGGCTGACATCCAGAGTTTGCACTGTAGGCGACTGAGTGTGCCTGCCATTGCCGGACTTCTCGTGGGGGAGGCGGGGTGGAATTATTGAGGTTTAGCGCCGCGGGGTTGCACACTGTCTTAGGATGGAAGGTGGAAGAACAATTCCTCTGGCCGAGGAAAGCGCGGCTGTGGTAGTGTAGAAGGTAAAGACTACACCGACGATTGCAAAAGCGATAAGGAGGCCAAGACCTGACATCCTTTTCCTGGGGTTTGCCTTTGTTCGGGTGTAGTTTGTTTGGTATCCCAAAACGTTCACAGTAGACCCAAAACCCAGTTACGACTGAGAATGTAATAACATTCACCAAATAATAATAATAATAATAATCCCAAAACCCTGGTCACCGTTTTTGCATTTCATATTGGTATTCTGCACATCTCTGGCTCAATATATCTCTGGTTATCCTTCAGCATGGTGATTCTAAACACTCCCTGCCATTCTTTCCGAGCTAAACTCAACATTGTTATACATAGAATAAATGGTGCACAAATCACATTCATCTAATGAAGCTTACAATAAGCTACTATCATTCTGGTTAACCCTTACTTCAACAAAGCAAAATTCTACGGAAATACTCTTGTATGGGGGATCCACAGCCCTAACGAGTGTGGTCACGAGTACCTGCAGAATTTGTGAATACTAGGCTGATGAACCATGTGTCCAAGGTCACAGTGCAGTGTTGATTAGAACGCAGCGGCGCGCCTGCAAACACGCGTCACAGACAGGCAAACATTAGCAGAATGACGCGGAATGAGCACAATGAGAATGTAGAATGTTCAACACGGAAGGAATTCTTCCTCATTCTGCGTCATTCCTTCCGTCATTCCTCACAACCCAACCACAATAGCAGAATGACACGGAACATTAGACCGCAAACATGTAGGTATCGCACTAGTGGGGAGCCTACGAAAACGAATGCTCCAGAGATAAAAAACCCTGAGCTCGGGTGTCACACAAACGAAGCCACTCTAAACCCGAGCAGTGCAGAAAGCCGCCGCGACTGACCTGAGGGAAGCCCTTTTTGCTGTCGCCATTGTTGAGCCACCCGGTCTGGCTCAGTTGCACGCTGTCGATCCTTATCTGCACGCACTTGCCCTTGAAGCTCTGCCACGACCGAGCAGCAAGCAGCACATCGCACACCGCACATCGCAGGGGCACCGGGCAAGGTGAATTCAGAATCAGTGCGACCGATAGCGAGGCTGGCTTTCTCTAGTAGGCGTGGATGCTAGAGGTGGCTGGAAGGGCGGAGTACTTACGGGGACGAATTGCTTGGGGATCATGCGGCTGGCGATAACGCTCGTCGTGTTCAATTTGGTGTTGCGAGTCATGAAAAAGAAGTAGTTTCCGCACGCGCCCGTCGGCTGGGAGTCACAGACGAACGACAGAAACCAGCGGATGTTCAATGAGGAAGAATGGACGGAAGGAATTTGACAGAATGAACGACACTGGATCGCAGCGGGTATTAAACTGTTTGGTTCGCCGTACCTTCTTTTCGTTCAGGAATGAGCAGAAACTGGAATATGCCGCGTTAACCGCCTGTCCGCTCCTGGAACATTGCGCCACACAAGCAAAAGTCTCAAAGATTCATGAGCTCGACAATACAGGACCCCGTAATCAGGTCATCGAGTGAGAAGAGTGTGAATGAGACGTGGATTGGAGAAGGAATGGCGTATCTTACTTGTGCAGTACCGGCGCGTTGGAGAGGATTCGGTTGCCGTTCACGGCCTCGACTGTCATTGTGGGGACGGCGCCCGCGCTGCCCTTCACAACAAAATCGCATTTCTGCCATACATTCGCGCAAATCAAGACTTTTAATTCGTGAAAATCTGTAGCTGTGGTCGATTATCCTGTCTAGAGATAGCAATGGCCGCTTACCTTGAGCTGTTCCGGGGTGCACCGCTCATCGGCACTTGCGGCGGCCCCAACTGCACGAGCAAACACGAGCGTAAATGGTCTTGCCGAATTTTACATACTCGGAGGAGCGCATCTATCCGAAACTTACCAGAAAAGAGGATCACGGCGACTAGAAACATGTTGAAGGCCATTTTGCCGAAGGATTGTCTGATAGAGACTGCAAAGGTGGAGGTGTATACAGAGCAGAGCAAAGTTGTTCTCGGTGCAATGGAAGTGATGTGATTTCTGGTTGAAATGGATGTCAAAATGCCAATTTCAGGGGGCCATCTCATGGTGGAGGGGTGCTCCAAGACTTGACTGGGTAGGCGGTACGAGTCGCGTCGCGGCACCACCAAGGGCGCAATGTAGTACAGGTGCGCAATGCACAATGCGCAGATGTACAGTGAGCGAGCTTGGTGCGGGTGTGGCTTGGTCGCGGAATGACCGAGACGCCCGCGCGAATAGCTCAGAGCGCCACCGTCCCAGCCCACTTGACCAAAGCCAACGCACTCCCGCCCTTGGCGCTGGCTTTCTGCTGTGCGAGGCGAGCCACCGAGTGGGTGGGGCACGAAGCGTCTTCTGCGACCAAACCAACGACATCGCAGGCCCACATCACGGCCGCCACGTGGCTGGTTCGCACGAATCCTCACACTGGCTGAATGAGGGATTGCCCCAGGCAAACTCGTGCCCACGAAAGCTAGCTTCTAAGGTGTTTGTAACAAAAATACACTTCGTCAATATGATTGTTGAACAAATAAAACCTAAAGTACCCTCCACTTAGAAGTAAATGCAAGGAATTTTCCGGATTCCTTACTGGGTCACACTGTACGCGTACAACCCCGGTTTTCGGAAATACAGGCTCGGTCCGCCGACCTCGCCTTCCGAGCCACCACCGCGTCGCCTTCGGGTTTTCCAACCCCGAACCTGCACCCAACCATCTCGCGACCCCGCGACCTCGGCCTAGCTAGCATTGCTATAATAGTCCTAGGCCTCATTGTTTGCTCGGACGTTGTAATCACTTCCGCATTATTGAGTTCTGCGCACTCTTCCTTTCACAACTCATAACACTTGGTATCAGAGCCTAATTTCCTAGGTTATCCTCGCGTTTCCGGGGTAGTTTGTATAAGGGGGGCGATAGACTTGGTGGGCTGTAAAGCGGTCGGCCCGTGGAATAGATACGATTATTCCACTCCGACTACGATAGCATTTACGCTTTCACCGAAGTCAGAAAAATCGCTAGCCACCCCCTGCCCGTTCGACGAAGCCTGAGGCACATGGAGCAGGCCGAGTTTAACGAGTTCATGCAACAGTTCCGTGCGATGCAGGCCAACTTGCAGGGCATGACTGCAGAGATGGAGCGTCTACGGAAGGAAAACGCCGAACTACACCAGGCGCGTGGTGAAGCGCGCAAGGAGTCGCCTATCGTTGAGGACGCAAGTAGCAGCTCCACGCCAGACGAGCGGGTCTGGAGCGAATTGGAAGGCTCCATGGATGCGGACGATGCGAGGCAGGCACAGCAGCAACAGTCGCATGCAGCACCGACACGTGCAGCAGCGACAGCTCCGGCGACGTCAGCAGCAGCGCCAACAGTTCACGCAGCATTAATGGCTTCAACAACTGTCAAAATCAAGCCGACAAACCCGCCCCCGTTTAACACAAGTGACAAGTTCGTCACTGTGTCTGCATGGTTGTTCGGAGTGGAGGTGTTTTCTAATGCCGCTATGATTAATGACGATGCCACCCGCATTAATTTCGCAGTTTCACTGTTGCGAGGACCTGCGTTGGAGTGGTGGAGGCGAACGCTGCAGGACGAAGGGACTTCGGCAGGAATAGCACGTGCGAACGACGGGACTTCGACACCTGTCACGCAACGAGCAGCATCAATTTTCGGGACGGATACGATACGCACATGGAGGGAGTGGGGCGCCGCCCTGCGAACCAGGTTCGAGCACATATCCGCCTCGGACTCTGCTCGCATGAAGCTGCGTGCCTGGAAGCAACTAACTTCGGTCCAAGACTACAGCAGTACATTCTGCAACTTGGCGGACCAAGTGGACGACATGAGCGATGCGGAGCGGTTGGATCGCTACGTGGCGGGCCTGAAATACGAGATACAGTACGAGGTCCGACGAACGCGGCCACGCAACTTTAACGACGCCGTCCGAGAAGCCGAGTCAACGGATGCACTGATGCAGTGGGCGAGATCGAGCTCCCGGGAGGGCCCTCGATTTCGTGGATCGACTCAGCAGCCCACGATCAACGGCGTGGATGCACCAAGCCGAGCCCTCGGGCCGTGCTTCATATGCAACTAGCTGGGCCACCTGAAAAAAGACTGTCCGCGGCTTAAGCAGGGGCAGAAGAACAACGGAGAAGGGTCGGGAAAAGATGTGAGTCAGTAGCAGACGGGCCCCCTACTGACGAGACCCTGTCGCCCGACAATCACCATCCACACCGGGTCGTGGTACCGATCAGAGCTATCGACCAGAACCGGACGAATAACGTGGGTGAACACGTGGACTACCCTGTGCTGGTGGTGGGGAGGGTTAACTGTCATAAAATAAAAATCTTCGTTGACGGTGGGGCGAGTCACAGCCTCGTCAACCTGGCAACGGCAAGAAAAATAGGGGTGAAGCTGAACAGGTGTCTGCCGGAGATCGATGCAAGGTTGGTGGACGGGACACCGCTGGCCATCCGAGATGAGGCGCGAAAACTTCGGATCCAGTGTGGCGAAAAATTCGGGTTTGGCATGAAGATGTTGGCGACGACGCTGGACGGCTGCGATGTGCTGCTGGGGCGAGATTGGCTACAGCGCTTCAATCCGACGATCGACTGGACGACAGGAGCGTGCGTCGTGCGAGGACATGCAGGGCCGACGACACTCCCGAAATGGACGGAACCAGAGCCGGTGACGACACGTGTCAACGCGGTCAATATGGCACGGGCGATGAACAGCGGAGCTCAAGCCTTCTTGGTACATCTGTACGAGGTTGAAGCTTCCGAGAAAATCGCGGACATCGACACACTCTGCGCAGCAGTCCATGAGGAGCTGGCGAGCATTATTCGGAAGTATCCCGATATTTTCGCGGACGACCTCCCGAATGGCCTGCCCCCTCAGCGCCCAGAAGATCATCGAATCCAGCTGGAGCCCGGCGCGCAACCTACTGTGCGGACACAGTGGCGGCTCAGCCAACCAGAGCTCGCCGAGTTGCAGAGCCAGCTGGACTATCTACTGGCCAAGGGATTCATACGACCCAGCACGTCACCGTATGCAGCGCCGATACTGTTCACACCGAAGAAGGACGGGGGCCTACGCATGTGCATTGATTATCGGGCGCTGAATCGGGTCACGATAAAGTCGCGTTACCCGATCCCGCGAACTGACGATCTGCTCGATCAACTTCGCGGAGCTCGCTATTTCTCGAAGATCGACCTGCGAGGAGGCTACCACCAAATTCGTGTGTTCGCCGACGACTGTCCGAAGACAGCTTTTCGCACACGCTACGGCAGTTACGAATTTACCGTGATGCCGTTCGGATTGACAAACGCGCCCTCGACGTTCCAGCTGACGATGAACGGGGTCTTCCGGGACATGCTGGACAAAAAGGTCATCGTGTACCTGGATGATATTCTGGTGTACAGCGCGACGAAAGAAGACCATTTGCGGGATTTGGAGGAGGTGTTCCGGCGTTTACAGGGGCATCGGCTGATTACGAAGGGGTCTAAGTGCGAGTTCCTAAAGCCGGAGCTGGAATTCTTGGGTCACGTGGTTTCCGGCGAAGGAATCAAAATCGACCCGCGTAAAATGGACGCCATCATTAAGTGGAAGCCGCCGACTAATATCCCCGAGTTGCAAAGTTTTTTGGGGTTTGTTAACTACGTTCGCCGTTTTGTACCCAATATGGCAGGGATAACCAAGCCGCTGACCGACCTACTGCATCACGACAACCATTTTCGGTGGGGGGAGAAGGAGCAGTCCGCCTTCGACGCACTCAAAACCATTTTGGGTTCGCCCCCGGTTCTCCGCCTCGCCGACCCATCTCGACCGTTCGAAGTCGTCACGGACGCCAGCGATTTCGCTGTCGGCGCCGTCCTGCTACAGGACTTCGGCAACGGGTTGCAACCCATCCATCGCCTACGAATCACGCAAAATGCAGCCACCCGAGCGCAACTACCCAGTCCACGACAAAGAAATGCTGGCCATCGTCCACGCATTTCGTACCTGGCGATGCTACCTCACGGGAGCCGACGTGACAATTCGAACCGACCACAAATCGCTACAGTACATGCGCACACAACCGACACTCAACCCGCGACAAATCCGGTGGTTGGACTTCCTCGAGTCCAATTTTCGGTACACCACCACGTACAAGAAAGGCGCCAACAACATTGCCGACGCCCTCACCCGCCCATCCATGCAGAACGCGGCGGTACTAATCGCCCACACCAACCCGATGCTGACGGGACTATTCACCCACGGCTACAAGATTGACAGATTCTTTAGGAACCAGCACCAACAGGTTGCCACGCCACACGGCAAGTACTACCTAAAAGCCGGTACGAACCGGATTTGGGTACCCGCCTACCAGCCTTTACGGGAGCTGCTGACGTAGGAGGTACACGACTCCAACCTTTCCGGGCATTTCGGCATCGACAAAACACTGAAGCTGCTGCAGCGGAATTATTTCTGGCCGGATATGCAAACCGACGTGCAGCGCTACGTGTCAACTTGCCCGACCTGCCAAGCAATGAAGTCGTCGCGACAAAGGCCAGCCGGACTGCTGCAACCCCTTGCGCCACCCGAGCGACCGTGGCAACAGGTGACGATGGATTTCGTCACGGGGCTCCCAGCTGGCACAAGTGGCAACGACTCGGTCATGGTCGTCGTCGATCGCCTGACGAAAATGGCACACTTCGCACCATGCCGAACGACGATCACAGCCGAAGATACAGCAAAACTCTTCATCTCCACCGTCGTACGCCTACACGGGTTACCTTCGGCGATCATCAGCGATCGAGACCCGAAATTTACGTCAAAGTTCGGGCAGGAGACGTGGGCACAGTACGGTACCCGCCTGCAGTTTTCGTCGTCATACCACCCGCAAACCGACGGACAGACAGAACGGACAAATCAGACCATGGAGCAACTGATTCGCACCAACTGCCCGGATATTCGCAAGTGGGAGGACTCGCTGCCGATGCTGGAGTTCGCGTACAACAACGCCCCTTCGGCCACGACTAAACAATCACCCTTCTACTTGAATTACGGGATAGACCATGTGGTACCCTCATCAACGACTTTGGACAACCCGGTACCACGATCGCAGCAGTTTGTCACGGACCTGCAGGCAGCCCGCACGAAAGCCGCTGACTTTATTCGTAAGGCTAATACCACGGCCAGCCACCAGGCGGACAAACATCGACGGAATTTACCCTTCCGCGCAGGGCAGGTCGTACTTCTGGACACCAAGAACCTTCGTCTGCCGCAGCCAGCGAAACTCCGGCCCAGATACGTGGGACCATTTCGCGTCATCCAGATGGTGACACCTGTCACCGCGAAGCTGTTGCTGCCCAACGACTGGAAAATACATGACGCGTTCCACGTCAGCCTGCTTCGCCACTACGAACCGCCGCAGTCGCCAGCTGTTGCTCGGCCAGCTATCGCGCCGACCACACGCCCCGTGGCAGAACCCACGTTGGAACCTTGGAAGATCCTCAATCATCGCGTGGATGTGACTGCCGCCGGCCGCTCGGTAAAATTCCTGCTTCGCTGGAAAGAGCGCACGAGCGAGGACGACACGTATGTCGCAGCCGACTCACTACAGGGACATCCGGTTGTGGATGCTTATCTGGCCCGCCGAGGTGTCTCGGATATTCACCACCTTTCTTAAGGGAGGGGGTAGTGTAAGGAATTTTCCGGATTCCTTACTGGGTCACACTGTACGCGTACAACCCCGGTTTTCGGAAATACAGGCTCGGTCCGCCGACCTCGCCTTCCGAGCCACCACCGCGTCGCCTTCGGGTTTTCCAACCCCGAACCTGCACCCAACCATCTCGCGACCCCGCGACCTCGGCCTAGCTAGCATTGCTATAATAGTCATAGGCCTCGTTGTTTGCTCAGACGTTGTAATCACTTCCGCATTATTGAGTTATGCGCACTCTTCCTTTCACAACTCATAACAGTAAACCTCAACACTCAACACCCTCATCGAGTTGCGTGAATGCAACCAACACATGAATGCAACCTCTTATATTCATAGTCAGCATATTTGAAACACGATTCGTATCTTTAACATGAACAGATAGAGTTGGAGGAAGTGCTCAATTAAAAAACATCACAATATACATACGGTAGCAGCAACCTCTCTAGCCTAACGCAGCCAATTACTGGCCTTACTGCTTCTTCCCACTTCTGCCTGAACTGAACCCCGAAGCAGAGGATGATTTGGAAGAGCTGCTTGAAGAGACAGGCGCCTTGTCTGAGGATCGTACAGCCACCCCAACCACGTGACGGTCAACAGTGGGCAGCACATAGTCATAATTCACCTGCTCGTATAGGGGTAATACCAGCTGGCGGAAAACAACGGAAAGTTGGGGATCAAGGGAGAAGAATGAGACAGAGCAGTGCGGTGCCGTATGTGTGCACGGACATGCATGTGGAATGAGCGAGAGATGCAGCTATGGCTTGTGTGTTAGGCTGATGGCTTGTACAGGCAGGCGGGCAGGCGGGCAGGTGGGCAGGCGGGCAGGCGAGCAGGAGGGCAGGAATTCGGGAGAAGTAGATGGATGTAGTAGTAGGTGGCTGTTGAGGCATACGTACGTGCATATCATGGAGGAATATCATGGTACGTGCACCGTGCATGCAAAGAAGCAATGGCGACAAAGCAAGGGAGCACTGGGAGGGGCAGAGAGAGAGAGAGAGAGAGAGAGAGAGAGAGAGAGAGAGAGAGAGAGAGAGAGAGAGAGAGAGAGAGAGAGCGCCCACTCACATCTGGGAGGAAGGAGAAGGAAGGGCGGGTTGTGTCTTTGACTCCCGGGCTGGCACTCTCACATGCCTCCACGAATATCAGTGGCTGCCAAGAGGGACGGGTTGGGGGCAAAGGAGTTTTGAGGCGCCTCAAAAGTCACTCTTACATGCCTCCATGAATATCAGCGGCTGTGAAGAGGGACGAGTTGGGGGTGAAAGGAAGGGTGGAAGTGGGAAGAGGGGGGAAATGAGGGGGGAAGAGGGGGGCGGAGGGAGGTGGGGAGGGAAAGAGAAGGGGGGACTGGAAACGAGAGGGTGTGGAAAGGTGGTTAGTGAGGAGAAGTATGAATAGGTGCGGGTGGGTCGATTTATGAAGTAGGAGAAAGCGTCATGGGTATTGTGCGGTGCCGCGGATACATGCAGATGTTCACAACCACACACTTTATTGTGAGGGGCAGCACATGCAATGCAACAGCACATGCAATGCAACAGCACATGCCATGCAACAGCACATGCAATGCAACAGCACATGCCATGCAACAGCACATGCAATGCAACAGCACATGCAATGCAACAGTACATGCAATGCAACAGCACATGTAATGCAACAGCACATGCAATGCAACAGCACATGCAATGCAACAGCACATGCAATGCAACAGCACATGCCATGCAACAGCACATGCAATGCAACAGCACATGCAATGCAACAGCACATGCAATGCAACAGCACATGCAATGCAACAGCACATGCAATGCAACAGCACATGCAATGCAACAGCACATGCAGGGATGGCAACGAAAATGTTTTGCACACAGGGAGTGAGAGTGTAGTGGTGGAAGCAAGAAATATCCGGGGCACATACTCGGTTTGGCTTGAGGACTCGAGCGATGCCTGCAGCAGCCGTGGTGGCTTCAGATGGCGTGAGACGCTTAAAGCCATCCACTGTGATCTAATCACGCAGGCACAAGGATAACGACAGGAGAGTGTATGGGAATAACAACAGGAATGAAGACAGGAATGCAGGCAACAGCAACTCAGACAGTAGAGTGGAGTGGACGGCAATGCACCCCATGGCACGCCCGTGCAGCACCACACACACACACACGCACGCACACACGCACGCACGCACGCACACATACAGCCATACACACACACAACCACACACACACACGCACACACACACACACACACACTCAGCAACACACACACGCACACATAAACACACACACACACACACACAAACAGCAACAAACACACACACACACAAAAACAGCAAGATACACTCACACACACACAAACACAGCACAATAAGGCAAGTGAGGGTGGAGGCGACAGTGATGAGCAGGTGGCAGATAGCAGAGAGCAAAGCAGCAAGGGGTTGGACGGTATTTAGGCCCCTCAAAAATCGTCTCAAAGAGCGAAGCAGCAAGGGGCCGGAGCACACGGAGAGGAATGGGCAAAGTTGCAGTGGTTACCACGGCGTCGACAGAGGCCGATTCAATGCGGTTGAGTGCGGTGAGGCCGTCCGGCAGCACTTCAATCGCCACTCCTGATGATATGGCTGTGACCGGGAGGGACAGGCAGCAATAGGGATATGAGGGGATGTCAGAGGCAGAAGGGGGCACTAGAGCATGCTGGGACGATGACATGATGGCATGCTGGCATGATGGCATGATGGCATGATGGCATGCTGGCATGCTGGCATGATGACATGATGGCATGATGGCATGATGGCATGATGGCATGCTGGCATGATGGCATGCTGGCATGATGGCATGCTGGCATGATGGCATGATGGCATGATGGCATGCTGGCATGATGGCATGATGGCATGATGGCATGATGGCATGCTGGCATGCTGGCATGATGGCATGCTGGCATGATGGCATGCTGGCATGCTGGCATGATGGCATGCTGGCATGATGGCATGCTGGCATACTGGCATGATGGCATGATGGCATGATGGCATGATGGCATGATGGCATGATGGCATGCTGGCATGATGGCATGCTGGCATGATGGCATGCTGACATGATGGCATGATGGCATGATGGCATGATGGCATGCTGGCATGATGGCATGCTGGCATGATGGCATGATGGCATGATGGCATGATGGCATGCTGGCATGATGGCATGATGGCATGATGGCATGATGGCATGCTGGCATGATGGCATGATGACATGCTGGCATGCTGGCATGCTGGCATGCTGGCATGATGGCATGCTGGCATGATGGCATGCTGGCATGATGGCATGATGGCATGATGTCATGATGGCATGATGGCATGATGGCATGATGGCATGCTGGCATGATGACATGATGGCATGATGGCATGATGGCATGATGGCATGCTGGCATGATGGCATGCTGGCATGATGGCATGCTGGCATGATGGCATGATGGCATGATGGCATGATGGCTTGCTGGCATGATGGCATGCTGGCATGATGGCATGATGGCATGATGGCATGCTGGCATGATGGCATGATGGCATGATGGCATGATGGCATGCTGGCATGATGGCATGATGGCATGCTGGCATGATGCTGGCATGCTGGCATGATGGCATGCTGGCATGATGGCATGCTGGCATGATGGCATGATGGCATGATGGCATGATGGCATGATGGCATGATGGCATGCTGGCATGATGGCATGCTGGCATGATGGCATGCTGGCATGATGGCATGATGGCATGATGGCATGATGGCTTGCTGGCATGATGGCATGCTGGCATGATGGCATGATGGCATGATGGCATGATGGCTTGCTGGCATGATGGCATGCTGGCATGATGGCATGATGGCATGATGGCATGATGGCATGCTGGCATGCTGGCATGATGGCATGATGGCATGATGGCATGATGGCATGATGGCATGATGGCATGCTGGCATGATGGCATGATGGCATGATGGCATGCTGGCATGATGACATGCTGCAAGGCCATGTGCATCATCACCATCACACGCCCAGCGGTCCCACACACAGAGCAACTAAACCCCTCCCACGTCCAACTAACCACACCATGCAGGCCACTACGCCTGCCTTTTGAGTCGCCTCTGAACCCATCCCTGCTGCTTCCCTTTCACTTGTGGCTTGGTTGTAAGGGTCCTGCAGTGCACAGCTCTCGCTTTCTTAACTCTATGCCTCGCGTGTGCCACCCAATTCCACTCCCCTTCCCCCTCTCCCTCCCATGTAACCCCTGACTCCCATTTCATCGCCCAAACTTTCCCCCCCCCCTGCTAGCCCCACACCCTTTCCCCTCACACTCCCCACCTTGCCGTTCCTCTCTCCCTTCTTCTCCTCTCAACCCCTTTTCCCCCCTCTTCCCCTTCCACCCTCCTCCATTTGCCTCAGACCTGTGCTCGTCAAATTGTTTCAATTCAACAGCTGACTGCACTGGCAGTCTGGCACTACTATTTAATGCTTTTTGAGGCGCCTCGACAGCTGGCTGCACTCGCAGTGTGGCACTACTGTTTAATACCCGCAAGAGGCAAATTCTGAATCGCCTCACGAATTCTCGAAGGCATGGCAACTACTCCTCCCATCCCTCCCCTCCTTGCTTTGCGCTCACCCTGCTGTTTCAGCAGGCTCGGCTGCACGTCTGACTGCCTGCATGGCCAGCAGCTTGTCCACATCGTCGGGACTCAAGTGGGGAATAGACGCTCCCCGCCCTCACCCACTCTCCCCTGCCACCCCTACACCCCTCCCCTCACATACCCTCCTTGTCATCCCTCCCCTCACACCCCCCCCTCCCCCTCTCCCATCCCCCTCTCCATCTCCCCTCTCTCTCCCCCTCTCCTCAACCTCTTTCCTTCCGCTCTCACCCTGTTGTTTCAGCAGGCTCGGCTGCACGTCTGGCCGCATGGCCAGCAGCTTACCCACATCGACAGGACTCAGGTGGGGAATAGACACTCCCCGCCCCGCCCTCACCCACTCTTCGGCGCTCACCCTGTTGTTTCAGCAGGCTCGGCTGCACGTCTGACTGCATGGCCAGCAGCTTGTCCACGTCATCAGGCAGGTAGTAGATGTTCCTTCCGCTCCCCGCGCGGAAATCCAGCACTACCGCGCCGCCACGTGGCACGTGCCGGCCCACGAAACGCGCCACTAGGAACTGGAACAGGGGGGATGGGGGGAAGGAGGAAGGGGGGGGAGAGGGCAGTTGAAGGCTGTTTAATAAAGCCAATCATGGGGGGAAGTGGCGGAGGGAGGGGCGAAGAAAAAGACGTGGGGAAGAGGTGCCGGGATGGTGGGGAAGATGTGGGGGAGAAGGATGCGACACAAAGGAATGGGTGCGGCATGTGGTTGTGTTTCTAGCTTCGGATGAATCACGTTGATGGTAAGAGGCGCTGAGTTGACGCAAACCACGATTGACCGCACTGAACCGCACCTGCAGTTGGAAGTACGCGTACGCCTTCACTCCCGCGAACACCGCCCCCGCGCCAGCCACCACCCCCGCCGCGACCAAGACCGCGGGAATGCCCTCCGCGCCTCCCGCTTCCGCCGCCCCCGCAACATCCTCCGCGATGTCCGCGAGCGCGGGCAGGGCGGGGAGCAGCGCGGCGGAGAGTGCCGCTAACGAGGCGCGCAGAGCATGGGGGAGGCGGAGCGGGGAGGGGGAAGGGGTAGCTACGTGGCACTGGCGCAACGGGGAGTCGGCGGAAGGTTTGGCGGAGACTGGTGGAACTGTCACGGGGGCGTTAACGCGCAATGTTGCGACAGCGGCGGAGCGACGGCGGAGGACGGCGGGAGAAGCGGGTGAGGTAATGCGGGCGGGAGAAAGAGCGAGGGAGAGAGAAGCCATGGGCGCGCGGAGGTTTTGCGGCACGGGGTGCTTGGAGACGCGTCGCAATAACCCCGACTTTGCGGAAACGGTCTTATTGGGTGAAGCGAGCGAAGGAAGGTGAGGGGCAACGAGTGTGATGATGAGAATTGGCTTGGCGCGCAGTGAAAGGGAGGGGATTGGCTTGGTTTGGATTGTGGATAGAAAAGGGGGGCAATTGTGATCCGTACTATATAGAGTATGCCTGCGAGAGGTTCCGTTTGAATTGGCTTCCAGAAGAACACGCAGGTTTTATTTACCTATAGAAAGAGACCCAGAAAATTTAACTCAATACAAGCTGGACCATACCATATACTACGATATCACTAATGAAATGTATTACAGGATAATAAGGCTGCATATCTCACTACTACCGCATCACTCTAGAACCAATATGCAAAGCAACCAGATTAGAAAAGCATTAGAGTTAAAATGAGAGGATTAGCTTGGTAAAAGCAGGAGCTAGGAAAATAGAACAGGGCCAACCTAACCAGAGACATTCCGTTCCAAGCCAATGGAACAGAATCAAATCAAATCAAGTCCCTGCCCACACATCCCCAAAAACAGCCACCATGCCACATTCAGCCGCACCGCACCGCACTAAACCACACGTGCACCCATGACCTATCATGAGTTACCTAGGGGCCAAGCACCCCAACAGCCATGTCACACAGTCAGGTAGAGATAGCCAATCCAGTTGCCACTGTAACTCAAACAGGAGGTTAGCCTTTTAGACAAAGCTTCTCCTTGCTTTGCTCCCGCCAGTACAGAGACTCACTCTGCTGTGCTGACGATTCAAAACAAGGCGATGCCAGTGCTGCTACCTGCCGAAACAGCCCATGCGAGTGTGGGCGGCATTTGGTGCACACATGGAACAACAAAGATCCGGATTGGTGTTTCAGACTGGATTTGAACACCAACATGGATGCATAGGGCATGCGTGCACAGTGATGGGGAAAGAAAGAATGATGAAGCAGGAGAAGGTAGAGATTAAGAAGCGAATGTGCGCAAGGTATGAAAAGGTATGCACAGGTATGCAGCGGTACGCGAAAGTAGTGAGAGGCTAAGGTGGCCAGCGATGTTACAGTACCTTCCCTTGCCGTCCATCCCTCACAGCACCTTCTCATGCCCCTCCTCTCCACCCTTCCCCCCATCGCCATCCACATCGCCATCCCCCCCCTCCTCCACCCCGCCGCACACGAGATCCGCGATCGCACAGAGCAGCTTGCGACGCGCCCCAAGTGCCACACCCATGTCTTTCAGATCATCGGCTGTGAGTACAGTGGCAGCCTCAACATCCACCTCGTGCTCCTCAAATGTGCTGCTGTATCGGGCCAGGCCGAGGGACCCTAGCCACGCGCCCACGCCCCCCACTGCCTCGATCCGCTCGCGCCCTCTCTTCATGCGATCCAGGTACCCTAGCTTTGTTTCCGCTGCACCGGGGCTTGCTCCTGTGCCTGCGGTGCCTGCGGTGCCAGCGTCGTTCTTGTCCCCGTGAGCCTCCGCTTGAGCCGCCTTCTTACCGCTCTTCCCATCGCTCTTCCCACGACCTGTGCCTGCACTCGCCCCTGCCTTAGCAGCCGCCCCCACTTCTCCGTCTGCCACTCTCCCAGTTGCAGCAGCAGCATGGTCTGTTCTCGCGCGCTTAGCTGCAGGGACCGGGGTTCGCTTCCCCTGAGTCACTGCTGCCCTCTCCCCGCCCGCCTCCCCCCCCTTCCTTCCATTACCCACCGCAACCCCCATCTTCCCTTGTCCCTTCCTCCCCCCCTTCCCATACTCCTCTGAACTATACCCTTCCTCCTCCTCCTCTTCTTCTTCCGCTTCCTCCTCTTCCTTCTCCTCGTCCTCTTCCTCTCGTGTCTTTCTCTTCCCACCTGAAGCAGCACTAGTTCCGCTCCTCGTTCCAATCGTTTGTCTGCTCCTGTTCCATCCCATCTCCTGCTTCTGCTCCGGAACCGCCTTACCACCACCCCTCCGCACCCCACTCACTACCCCACTGTCCTTGCTCTTGACTGCACTCCCCTGTGCTGCAGATTTCCCTACAGCCTCCCCACCCCTCCGCTCCCCGTCCTTCCCCCCGCCCCTCTGCTCCGCACCCTTCCCCCTCGCCCCAGTAACAGCCGCCGCTGCTGCCGCCCTTCCCCAGGTGCTACCTGCCCCTGCAGCCCTGCTCCTGTCCCTGCTGTCCCTGCCACCCGCACTCCCCCCAGCAGCTTTACCATCCGCTGCTACAGCCTTTCCTCCTTTGCCCATCCCAGCAGCTGCTGCTACAGCCATCTTTCCCCTTGCGCCCACCTCTTTCCCCCCAAAGCCTCTGCTGTCCTGCGGAATAGGACGGATCTTAGGGGTGGGGGACTTGCGTGCAGGAGAATATTTCTTCTCATCCCCTTTCCCCAGCTCCCCAGCTCCCCCCTTCCTCCCCACATCCCCCTGCTTCCCTCCCTTCTGTCCCTTTCCCTGCGCCTGCTTCCCCCCATCTTTCCCCTTAGCCCCACCCACTTCCTTACCCCCCGCTGCCTTCGCCCCAGGCCTCTGTGAACCCTTCTTATCTCCCCCTTCCCCCTCCTTCTTACTCTTTCCCCCCACAGGAGTCTGAGCACCTCCAGTTTTAGCTCGCTTCCCTGCTGCAACAACACTCTCCTTCCCCCCTCCTGCTGCTCCTCCTGACGCTGCAACAGCAGCAGCAACAGCAGCAGAGGAGCCAAGGCGGGCACTAGCGGAAATAAGCTCCCCCAGACGCACATTAGGCTTCCGCTGCCGCTTCCCCAGCACCACCCCTTCCGCCTCACTCTCCCCCGCGCCCCCCGCGCCCCCTGCTCCCCCCACGCTGCCCCGCCTTCCGCCCATGGCCCTGCCCCCGTCTCTTGCGCCTTTGCCTGCGCCTGAGTCCACAGAAGCTCTCCTTCCCTGTGCGGGTTTCTTCTCTTCCTCCTCCGATTCCTCCTCTGATTCCTCCTTTTCCTCCTCCCCCTCCTCATCCTCATCGTCTTGCTCCTCCTCCTCTTCTTCTTCCTCCCTCTCTTCCTCCCTCTCCTCTTCCTCCTCCTCTTCCTCTTCCGATTCAAGCTCCTTCTCCTCCTTCTCCTCCTCCTCCTCCTCCTTCTCTTCATTCTCCTTCTGGGCCTCCCTCCTCTTCGCCTCACCTTTCTTCTCCTCCCCTCCTTCCCCTCCCTCCTCTTCCTCCACCTTTCTCTTCTTTGCAACACCCACACCCTCTTTCCCGCCCTTCTCACCTTTCTTATCTTTCTCCTCCTCCTTTCCTCCTTCCCTCGCATCCACATCCATATCATCTCCTTCCTCGTCCTCATCTTTCGCCTCTTCCATCTGCTGTCCTTTCCCCTTTCCCTGCTTCCCTTCTTTCTCTCCTTCCACCTTTCCAGCTTCGACTCCTCGTACCCCCTCCTTCCCCACCTCCCCATCCTTCTTCCCTGTCGCTTCCAGCCCTGCATCCTTCGATTTCCCGTCGCTCTCCCTGTCTCCCCCCCCTTGAGACTTCTGAGCGATTTCAACGTAGGGCTTCAACACATTGCCCTCCCTCACTTCAAGAATCCTCTGCTTCTCGTCCCTCTCCTTCTCTTCTGTTTGCTCACCTTTATTTTCTTCCTCCTTCTCTTCTCCCTTCTTCTCTTCTCCCTTCTTCTCCTCTCCCTTCTCCACCTTCTTTTCCACCTCTCCCTTCTTCTCATCCCCCTTTTTCTCCTCAACCTTCTTCCCCACATCTTTCTCTCGTCCTGACTCTACATCCTTAGCCGCACCTCTCGCATTTGACTTTGTCTCTTCGCTTGGCTGATCTTTTCCCTTCCCTTCCACACTTCCTTCTCCCGCCTTTCCTCCCTTCCCATCCACCTTCACTCCCGTCTTTCCTTCTTCCTTCTTTTCCCCTGTCTCTCCCTTATCTTCTCCCTTTCCTTCTCCCTTCTTCTCTCCCTTCTCGTCTGCCTTCGCTTCTCCCTTATCAGCTGTACCTCCTTCCAGTCTTTTTCCACCCTCTCCCTCTCTCCCCTCTGCCCTCCCCCCAACAACAACCACTGCGCTCTGCTCCCCCTTCTTCGCCCCATCCCCCTTCACCTCAACTCCCTTACCCCCACCCCCCTCTTCCCCTTTACCCCCACCGCTCTTTTGCTGCTCATCTACACTCACCTTCCCTCCCTCCTTCCCTTCCTTACCGTCTTTGCCTGCCCCATCCTCCTTAACCACTTCCCCACTCCCATCCTTCTCCTTGCCCTTACCACCTCCATCGTCCTCACTAGCTTTACCCGTGGCCTCACCACCACTCGTCTTCGCCTGCCCTCCTTTCTCCCCCGCCACTGCCCCCGCACTTCCGCCACCTCCGGCTCCGCTTCCGCCCGTAGCTGTGCCTGCAATTGCGCCTGCAGTTGCGCCTGTAGTTGCGCTCGTAGTTGCACTCTTAGTTGCGCCCTTGGTTGCGCCCGTAATTGCGCCTACAGCTGCGCCTGCAGCTGCGCCCGTAGCTGCGCCTGCGGGCGCTAAAGACGAGCTGGCTTTCCCCGCGGCTGGCTGCGCTGTTTTCCCCGCTGCCACAGCAGTGGGCGCGCCAACCTTCACTCCGCCATCCGCTTTTGCCTCAGCGCCAGTCCCCACGTCCGCCTTCCCTGGGATAGGCGCGGAACTTGCAGCAGCAGCGGGTTTTGTTCCGCCGGGAGGCACAGCAACAGCTTTCACTGCAGGGGGTGACGTGGCTCTTGGTTTCGCTGCAGGAGGTGACGTGGCTCTTGGTTTCGCCACTGGGGCTGTCGCAGGGGGCGTCTTTGTCGCAGAAGCCGTCGCGACGGGCAACGCCTTCGCCACCAACGCGGGTGCCGCGAGAGCTTTCACCGTCGGAGTTCCTGTCGCAGCAGCAGGCTTCGTCGCAGAGGCAGGCGCAGGAGCGTTTGTCGCAGGGGCGTTCGTCGCAGTGGCGATCGTCGGAGCAGCCTTCACTCCTGACGACGTCGCAATGGTCGCTTTCGCGACTGGAGCCGTCGGAACGACCGGTTTCGCCGCTCCCGCCACAGGCGCAGCAGGCTTCGGCGACGGAACAGCTTTCGTCGCTGCCCCCGCCGCTGCTCCCGCCCCTGCTCCCGCCGCTGCCCCCGCCACTGCTCCTGCAGGCGCAGGTCCGCCCGCTGAACCCGCAGCAGCAGGTTTGCCTTGCGCTCCTGCGGGTTTTGCGCCAGCGGTAGCAGGCGCAGCAGGTTTGGCTGCTGCCGTAGTTGGCGCTGCTTTCGGGGCTTGAGCCGAGACAACTCGAGTCTCCGTTGCTTGACTAGACGCCGCTGGAGTGCCTGCGGCGTGAGGAACCGTTGCAGGTTTGACTGTTGGAGCTGTCGAGACCGCCTTAGTCGACGACGCGGGAATCGCTCCTCCTCCTCCTCCGCCAGCCGTTGCTGGTTTCACTGCTGCGCTGGCAGCTGCTGCTGCTGCTGTTGCTGCTACTGTGGGTTTCGCGACCGGAGCGGTACTCGTTGCTCCGGGCGCCTTTGTCGCCTCCGTCGCCACACCCGGAGGCTTCGTCGCAGCTGCCGAGGGCTTCACCGGAGCTGCTGTCGCAGACGAGGGTTTCGTCGCAGAGGCCGTCGCAGTAGCGGGTTTCGTCGCAGCAGATGCCGCTGTTGATGCTTTTGCTGGGACAGTTGCTGCTACCGTGGTCGCCGCCGGCTTCGCAGCGACAAGCGCAGAAGCTGCCGCTGGCGCTACCGCTTTCCCGCCGGTCGCACCCGATTTCACCACCGCATTCGACGGCACCGAAGCTGGTTCAATTCTTGGCGCTGCAGCGCCTGGCGCGGACGCCGCCACTACCGCAGTCGATTTCGCCTCCGCGGGCTTGGCGGAAGCGGATTGAGCAGCGGAAGGTTCGCCCCGCTTGGGGCCCTCAGGATCAGCGGGCATGACGCAAGAGATGTTTATCAACGGCTGAGAATCAAGGGAAACAAACAAACGCAAATAAAAACTTTAGGGATATCCGAAACACTAACTCGGTGTCGACGCACGTAAAGCACCGTCGGCAACGGGCCGAGCAGTTAGAGAGCGACCGTGACGCTGCTTTAGCCTAAATTGAACGGTCCTCGCACACAAGGGTACGCTGGCCTCAGGTTTGCTTGGAACGACTGGCTCAAACTGTCGAGAGGAATAGACGAGAGCAACGGGAAGGGTCGACCTCAACCGTACAGCGTGAGTGGGAAAAGGTGCTCCTGTTGTGCTGGGCCACGCGACAGGGGCAAGCAAGGCGAGTGAGTGAGCGAGAAAGCGAGTGAGTGAGCGAGAAAGCGAGTGAGAAAGGAGAGTCGGGTGTGGGGAAAGAGTGTGAGAAGCAGGAGTGAGGGAGAGGCGGCGAAGCGGGGAAAATTCAAGTGCTTGAAAACACAAATCGAATGGAGGTTGGGGCTCGCGAAAGGGTTTGCTTGGCGAAGACACATTGTACGAAACTTTTCCGATAGCTGCGACAATTGCTCTGACGAACGCCTCCGCCCTGTTGAAAAGCTATGCTGGTTACAGTCGTCTTCCTGTGCAACGTCGCAATCAGGGCTTACAGGAAGGGGCGTTTTTCTCCGCCAGATAGTGTGCACTCGTTATAACTAGCAAATAATAACAACATTAACGAGCATCCACAATTCATAACACTATAGGTGCTCATTTAAAGAGTACATTAAAGCTGCTAATATTGCAACACTATACATAGCTATCGACTCCTACCACAGCCAAAAGGGTACACAAAACACACGATCGTTTATAACCCTGCACCAGGAAGCAGGAAGGAAAAATGGGCACAATCGAGCACCCTAGCCTCCCTGCAACCCCATGACTTGTCCCCACTCTCTCTCATCCCACCCCAGCCCCTCATGCTGCCACCACCACTCCTGGATAGGGCAACCTTAGCCAACGCCGTGGATTCTCTAGGCGTGCAACAAGCGCGTATTGAACTTTCAGCCATGCCACGTGCCATGGCACGGTTTCACCTGCACTTGTTCACCAAACTCTGCTCGCCTCCCATCACATCTTAACATCACCGCAAGGACTTGGATTGGTTGGTTTGCACGAGAAGGAAAAGAACCTCCCTAGATCGAAAAAGAGCACCCCGGAATCGAATACCCCCTCCGACAACCCCAGCACAGGTGAGCGCTACCCCCTAACCTAATCACAGCCTCCCTCCCACCCTTCCTCCTTGTAATTCTATTCACCAGCACTGACAGGCAAACGGAGTGCATGGTTTAACTCCCATCTGCACTCCTCTGACTTCCCTCTCCCTGCACGTCTGTCTCCCTCCTTCCTGTCCGCTACCCATCTACCAATCCCCAGTGACAGGGAGGCCCTGGGAGGGCGACGGGGGTCAGTGCTGTTCCAGGCCTCCAGTCACATCCATAGCACCGGGGCAACAGCAGAAGCCTAAGTGATCAACAGCAAGCAGCAGCAGAAGAGGCGCAAGCAACGTGTGGTCAAGAAGAGCCAGCTAGCAAGTCCCCCCCACAGCAGGAAGCAGCAGCAGCAGAGCAACTTTTGCGGCGCATCAAGACCCAGCTAGCAGCAGCAGAAGAGCGAGGAGGAGGAGCGCGGCGAGCGCGAGGCACCAGCGGAGGCGGAAGAAGAGGCAGATGCGCGGTGGTGCGAGGAGACCTGGCGGGGCAGTGCGTTGGGGTCGCGGGAGAGAGCGTCCTGCATGGCCTCCAGCTGCTGCACCACATACGTGAAGGGCGGCCGCCGGTCCGGGTTGCTGTGCCAGCAGACTTGCATGAGCTCGGCTAGCGGGAGTGGGATGCTTGGCGGGATGTCTGGCCGCGTGCCCTGGTGGGATGGGAGGGAGATTGGGGAGGGGGGATTGGAGGGGGAAGACGGTAGGGGGAAGGTGGGATGGGTTGCAGTGCCAGCACGCTTGCATGAGCTCGGCTAGTGGGAGTGGGATGCTTGGCGGGATGTCTGGCCGCGTGCCCTGGTGGGATGGGCGACGGGAGGGGGGTGGGAGGGAGATTGGAAGGGGGGATTGGAGGGGGAAGGTGGTAGAGGGAAGGTGGGATGGGGAATGTGTGACCACGTGCAGTCACATTGTGTGAGGGGGGCGCAATTAAGCAATCACATTGTTCTCTCTAGCAACCCTCGGTGATTCCACAGCCCCTCACAGACTCCTTTCTTTCCCCCATTTCTTCTGCTCACCACACGACCACGACCGCTACTATCTGTCCCCATTCCCCACCAATCGCCCTCGTAGTCATCCCACAGACCCTCCCCACTCCCTCTCCTTCCTCTCCCCTCTCCTCTCTCTGCTCTCTCTCCCCTCTGCCCCATTTTACCCACCGTTCTCCCTGCAAAACTAGCCATTTTGCTCCCTCCCGCTTTCCGTTCTCAACCCCCCTCCCAACCCCTCTCAATCCGGTCCCTCTCCCGCTTCTCCCCGCCATTCCCCAACACACCAACCACAGCAAAACCAGCCGCTACACCCCTTCCCACCCCCCATCCCACCCATCCCCACCCACTCCCCTCCTCCACCCCCTACCCACCCACCCCACTACCCTCCTCCCCATCCCCCCACAACACCCACCCGATTAACCACGGCGAACGCAGCCTGCATGGCCGTCATGCCCGCAAACGGCAGCTGCACAGTGCAAAGCTCCCACAGCACAATCCCGAAGCTGTACACGTCCACGTTCTTGGTGTACGGGCGGTGGTCCACCACCTCGGGCGCCATCCACCGGTACGTGCCCGTCTCCGCAGTCATGAGCGACGTGTCGGCTTCCAGGCGAGCTACTCCGAAGTCGGTGATCTTGACGATGGTGTCTGTGGTGAGGACGAGGTTGTCGGGCTTTAAGTCCCGGTGCACCACGCCCTGTGGGTGGGGGGGGTGGGAAGGGGAGAGGGGGAGAGGAGCGGAGTGGGGTGTGGGGAGAGTGAGTGGGTGGAGGTTGGGCTTGTTTTGAAGTTTCCGGGGGTGGGTGGGGGCGAGGTTGATGGGAGCTGTATGGGGATGACTTGTGAGAATTCTTAAAAGAGCAAAGCGCGGGAGTAAGCGTGAAGAGTTGTTGGCTCGCGTTGGTGTTCCTTGGCCTCTGCGTCTCGTTCAAAACCGGTCATAGGGTAGCCATTGAAAATCAGGAAGTTGAAGACAAATTGAGATGCCTCCAACCAGGTGAATAGGGTACCTCTCTTTCTTACTCTAGCATCCCACCTGTCAGCCACATGACACGTAATGCCTGGCTAAGGATTACACGGCCGCTTCAGCTTGTTTCGAGCCCTTTCTCAATACCATACTATGCATGCTACTGCAAGCACCCCTTCACACGCGGCCTTCACGCACTCCCTTCACACACTTCTGACAACAACCAACCCCAGCACATTCTCACCTCTCCCTCGCCCTTACCTGCACATGCCCCACACACGCTCATGCGTCCCCTCCCCCTCCCACTCCCCTCTCCCCTCCTCGCCTCCCCTCCCCTCTCACCTCCGCGCGCGTACAAAGATAGAAGTTTTACGTTTTAAGAGACAAAGTTTGAGACACCACAAAAGTCATAAAGATTGACTGATCTCAAAAAATAATATGCGTGCAAAATAAGTGACATGTACTGCGGACCACTTCAGGCGGCGGATTGAGGTGGTGGGGGATTGGAGAAGGGAACAGACAACCACCCACTCAACTCAACACCCCCAATCCCAGGCCCCTTGCATTTGCCCATAGCACCTGCGCATGCCCCAAGCACACGCATGCACCCTCCCGCACACAACCACACGTGCGCACCCTCTCCTTCCCCAGTTCCCACCCCCTCCACCCCGCCTCCCCCCACTCCCCCCCCTCACCTCCTGGTGCAGGTACGCCATGCCGCGCGCGATATCCAGCGCCAGGCGCACCACCTCTTGCAGCGGCAACAGCTGCCCCTCGCGCTTCTGCAGGAACCCGCGCAGACTCCCCCCGCCCAGATACTCCGTGAGAATGCACCACGTGGGCGGGCGCTGGCACGCGCCGATGAAGCGCACCACGTTCGGGTGGTCTAAGCGCGCGAGGAGATCTACTTCTTGCTTGAACTGATGCGCGAGTTTCTCCGCCTCGCCCTCGCTGTCTGGTGGCCGTAGGATCTTAATCGCCACGTCCTGCCCTTCGTACAGGCCCTGGTAAAGGCGGCCGTAGGTGCCGGTCGCGAATTTCGGCCCTACGAAGAGCCGTTGCAGCTCCACGAATTTGTCCTCGTGGCCTTCCAGCGCGCGCCACGTGTTTTCCGCGCCGCCTGTCCCGCCCCCCGCGCCGCCTCCTCCGCCGCCGCCCCTGCCGGACCTGCTTCCCTCGCTCCGGCGCCGTCCCGTCGTGCCTTCCGCAGCGGCTCCGCCGTCCCCGCCGTCCGCAGCTGCCGCGCCGCCCTTCCTCCTCCTCCGCCTCCGCCTCTGCTGCGCCTTGTCCCCTGGCGCTCCACCCCCCTCCTCCCCCTCCGCCTCCCCCCCCGCGCCCTCCTCCCCTTCCTCAACATCCTCCCAATCCTCGTCATCATCCTCCACTTCCACGTCCTCCTCCACGTCATCTTCCGCCTCTAGCGGCACGTTCAGCAGCCACACGAACGACCGCTCCCCGTCCGCCGTGCGCCGCGACGACTCGCTCTCGTCCCCGCTCGCGTTCCCCTTCGCGCCCCCATCCGCGGAAGGATCCCCCGCGGATTCCGCCGCCTTCTCGTCCCGGAGTGCTTTCTCCTCGTCTACCCATATTCCGTTTCCGCTCCTATCGTACCCTTCTCCGCTTTCCTCTTCCGCTTTGTCGTTTTCCGCCCGGATCAGCTCTTCCGCCTCGCCTCCCCCTCTCCCCGCATCCCCGCCGCCTATTTCCGCCGCATTTCCCCCCCCGACCTCCCCGCCGCCTCCGCCAGTAGATCCCGGACGGCCAGCTTCCGCGCATCCATTGGCGTCCGCGCTATTGAGAGCTCCGCCTCCGCGCAATCTCTCCGCTCCCTCGCGGTCCCCGTCTCCGCGCACCTCCCCCGCGGCTGCGCCCTCCTCGTGACGCAACTCCTCCTCGCTTCCCCCCTTGCGCAAGGAATCATCCCATCCATTTTCCATGCGCGCGCTAGTCCCCTGCGCTTCCCCTTCCGCCCATGCGCCTCCTTTGCGCTCAGATGGCGCAATCAGCGGGCGCTCATCCTCCGCCGACCGGCCTCCGCTCGAACCATCTTCCGCCGAAGCCTCCGCCACAGATCCGCCAAGCGCGCCTGCGCCCATCTCTAACCTTCCGCGGAAGCGATTGTCTACGAGGTCCCCCGCGGAGCCTTCCCCCTCAGCAAGGGGGGAAAAGGTGCCGCCGTTCATTGCGCTTCCGCCAAATCCGCCCAGCGCCGTGAATGGCGCCAGACGCCACGATGCGCGATCTCCGCCGCCCTGCTTCCGCTCCCACCACGCTAACTTCGGTACGCTAAGGAACGGGCGGAAGGGCCGTCTAGAATCCGTGTCTCGACCTGTGCGCTGCGTCCCGCCGTACCGCAGTACACGGGATTAGCAGAAAGTGGAAATGGAAAGTGGAAATAGCCGAAAGCGGAAAACGGAGAGCAGAATGCGGAAAGCGGAAATGGGAGAGCGGAGAGCCGAGGCGGAGTAAGGAACGGCGACGAGATTTTGAAAAATGTTTGAAGAGGCGTCAGGGACTAACTTAAAAAAAATCTCAGCAGAGACTCCGTGAAACCGGACGGTACGGAAGAAGACGACCAGGACACGACACGACGCATTACGGTCGAAAACTATGATGAATAAGGACACTGATTAAACATAATAATGTGTGATTACGGTCATCGATTCGAATAAGGTGCAGCCGATGTATGCTAAGCAGCACCCCAGTTGACCAGCCTCATATGACTCTCAAATGGACGTGGCCGCCCGCCTAGGAGGAAAGGAAAGAGAGGAGATGACTATTCCGTAAGCTGTCGCAAGGGAACATGCAATCGAGGTCGAAAAAGGCGGGTGCAGTGGAGGACAGTGCAGCGGACAGATAGACTCTGTTTGCTAGTAGAAAACGGTCGTTCGTTCGTTCTGTTCCTGTCTGAGGTCGTGTCATGCCACTCGCGAGCGACATGAATTTTGAGAGTCGGGGAACATAATTTCTACGCAGGGTATTTAACCAATTGCTCTGCTCTTTATGGTAGCTTAAAGTACCACCTGCTAAAGCAAAGTACTAAGGCTGGCAGCGGCTTTCAGGGCTTCCTCACAACCACCTTGATTTTGATATTCGTTTCCATGAAATGTGCAAAAACGTCTACTGTAATTAAAACGTGAAGCGAAAGAAGTAGCAAGCCATATATGATAGAGAATACTACTCTATACTACTGGGCAATGATCTCATGCCAGCTTTTGGAACACCCGGCGCGAAGGAAAGAAATGCATGGAGAAGAGTGCAGAGAAAGGCGGTTTCTCCGTCAGCAGTCAATGGATTTTGTTAGAAGACATGCATGAGGCAATAAACTGGTGTCGAACAAACTTCAGGTGCAGTTCAAAGCTCCGTAAGGGCGTGGTACCAATCGAGTTTGATCGCCTCGATCACATGCAATCAACAATTTCCAGGAAGCCTGGAAGCCAGTTTTATGCAATCAGGGGCAATCAGCTGATCGCGATCAACTGATCGCCCACCTCAATCAGACCCGATTTTCACCCCGATCAGAGTCGATTTTCCTCGATCACAGGCGATCACCTGATTGCATGTGATCGGGGCCCACAACGACGCTTGCGAGCAGTTACACTGTTAAATTTACAGGGAAACGAAAACTTTCGCTAGGTGACGTATGGTCGCCAATCTCGCTTGAATGGGGACGAAATTGCGACGTAAATGTATAGCGCTTGCTTCGCAGGCGCTGGAAATCTTCTTTGAAAAACATCTCTGATCGGGCGGCTCGGGCACTGCGATCACAAGCAACCCGATCAGATCCGACCCGATCAGATCATTCGCGATCAAACTCGATTGGGCCCACACCCTAAGTAGACACTGCTCCCAGTCCAGGAGGTTCCAGTAAAGTATACTTGACAGTATCATGAGTGAAAGCTCCCGGTCTTGGAGCGTTTTGAACTTTGTGATCACTCCACACCTAGCATGCAAAACAAATGCTCCCCCACATTGAAGTGATCTCTCACCACACTCGTATCTAGTTTTGTTTCTGAACTGGAAATAGTGGTCTACTATCGTAGAATACCCGAGATAGGGTGCATCAACTACTCACCAGCTGAGCACAGAACGTTGTTCCACAAGCTGCCAGCAATTCCCCGTGGCCGGACGTTCTGTGATTTCATTGCTCTCCGGACCCTCGTGTGACCACGTGAGAGCGCCGCAACCAGTCGTGACCACACCTCAAATCTTCTTGGTTTTCCTTGCCAAAAGGGGGCAACCCTATTCGTCGGACCCTGGCCGACCAATATGCGTTGTACTGTACGAATCTATTTCATTCGCCCTCGGCTGCTGGGGCCTGGTGTCGAGTCGAGTTGAATGGTGTGTGTGGTGGCGCTGGTGTGTGAAAACTCTGATCAATGGCACTCGGGAGGAAAACAGCCTATCCCAAATTCCCAGTTTCATCCCCATGCTACAAACGATTATGGAACTGTACCTGTCCTCTTTTCAAGGTGTCCTCTGTTTTGGAACTCTCTAGCCATGCTTGATCTTCTACAGCCAGTAGTAGTTGCTGTGGCTATTATCAGGAAATACATTTTCAGGTGATGCGGGCAGCTTCTAAGCAAGCTGCAATCACACGCAATGCTCATACACTTTATTTACCGTGGCATTTCCATTATACACTCACCCTATTACCCATCTTAGGGGCCTCTGACCCTGCTGCAGTTGTAGTACCAGTAAGGCACCTGTTGCTTTCACTCGTTGAACCATTATTGGGAATGATAAATTAGTTATTATTCCGCATGGTAGGGACTCTGTTCAGGCACAGTCTGTGCCACATAGAGGCTGCAGAGATACAACAGGGGGGCAGGGCAGGTGACAAGAAAAGGGGGCGTTGCTTTTCTAGGAGGGAGCATTGTTGGGTTCTTGAAACAGGCAGGATGAGAGGAAAAGGAAGTAATTTGCGTGGGATGGAGAAGCATGCATGCATGCTGGAGGAACTACCGGTATGCCATGTTCTATGCCATAAAAAACTCATGGTTACACTTGAAGCAGCCAAGTGAGGATGCATGCATCCATGCACGCACACACTCCACGTCAGACTCACCCGTCGGCCTTCCCCGGAGGAGCAAGGCGTGCAGCGCGGAAGGCATATGTGGGCATGGCAGCACAGAAGAGCATGCAGGCTAGGCCGATGATGAGGAACCCAATCCACAGCAGCTGCAGGTTGCTCTCCAGCTTGAACGCTTGGTCTATTATGAACTGATGGATGGGGAGGTGGTGAATTGAGAGAGGAATTGAGATTTGAGACGTCTCAAAACCCAACGTTTATCACAATTAAGAACCCCATCCATGGCAGCTGCAGGTTGCTCTCCAGCTTGAACGCTTGGTCTATTATGAACTGATGCATGGTGGCGGTGGGGAATTGAGATTAGAGATGCATCACATCCCAACTTTTATCACGATTAGGAATCCCACCCACCCACAGCAGGTGCAAGTTGCTCTCCAGCTTGAACGCTTGGTCTATTATGAACTGACGGATGGGGGAGGTGGGGAAGGTGAACAAGACGGCTGTGCACATGAGATTTCGCCTGGTAATGTGGTGGCTCTATGAGGGATTGTTAGGGGGGCGTGGGAAGGTGAGCGGAAAAAGGGGTTTGATTGGAGGAGCGCAGCAGTTACCATTGTGATTGGGAAGGTTGGGAAGGGCGTGGAGAGAGGGATGGTTATATGGTTATTGTGATTGCGGCAAGAAAGCACGACACGGCACACGCACAGCGTTGTTTATACGGTCGCAGCCACGGCACCTCCGTTGAAATACTCACAGAGGTGACTTTTGAGTCGACTCAAAAGTCAGCTGGGGCACCACGGTTGACATACACACACATACAAGAAAGTCCCCTTTATATATAAGCACCCCGAAAACTTTCAAAACAAGAACGTTCTCAAGGCGCCTCAAAGGTGAATGAAACGAGACGGCTTCAGAGGTGGTCCAACAACGGATTGACATGATGGCATGGCATGGCATGGCATATCGCACCTGGGAAACGTTCTTGACATAGGCACAGTCAATGATGGTCCTGATGCCCTCAATAGCACTCTCCAAGCGGTCTGTGCTGACCAGCACTGCACTCATGTCTGATAATACCTCCTCTGGCATGCCTGCGCTCCCTGTGCTCCCTGACTGGTTCAGTTTCTGCGGTTGGAGCAGGAAGATGGTGGATCAGAAGGGTGCTTAGGGAAAGGGGAAGGCGAAGGCGAAGGAGAGGAGAGAAAAATGACACTGCAGCGGGATGGCAGGCACAGGCAGCGATGCAGACGGCTAGGACGGTGCAGTGCGGTTCACAGAGGCGCAAAGCGGTGCAGGGTGGCACAGGGCACCTGGAAAATCTGCGAGAGTGTGAGGGAGCCTGGCTTGCAGATGGAGACATTCCGGTTGTACTGGGGAGGGGCGTACGGCACACACACTGCCGTTGCCCCTGCTGCTTGCAGGCCCTGCGATGGGAGGAGGAGAAGGGGAGGGGAGGGACAGGAAAGGGAGGGGAAGGGAGGTGAGAAAGTAAAGACGGGTGGGTGGGATACAGGGCGAGAGCACGGACGCTAGCAATGGTAGTTATACCGCAGGGATTACCCAACAAGAGCAAAGCAGGAAATACCCAACGAGAGCAAAGCAGGAATTACCGCACCTGAGGGTACCCCTTTTCCAGTTCATTCTTGACGAAGGTCTGCGAGGTGAAGATGGCGGAGTGTGCAATGGTGACCACTGCCTGCATCTGCGCCTGCTTGGCGCACGGCAGGTACTGGCTCATGGCGCTGTTGACGCTGGGGTTGTGCATGACCTGCGCCAGCGCTGCCACTGAGTCGCCCTCCACACTGGGATGGGAGGGGGAGAAGGGGGAAGAGGTGAGTGATTGGGAGATAAGGGTAGGGAAGGAGGAAAGGTATGGGCTCATGGCTGTGTTGACGCTGGGGTTGTGCATGACTTGCGCTAGTGCTGCCACTGAGTCGCCTCCACCCTGCAGCGGCAGGGGCGCAAGCAAGTGGGGGGAGAGGGGAGGGGAGAGAGGGCGGAAGAGGAGGGTGAGGGGGAGAGAGGGGGGCGGAAGGAGGAAAGGTATGGGCTCATTGATAAGTTGACGGCGGGGTTGTGCATGACTTGTGCTAGCGCTGCCTCTGAGTCGCCCTCCACACTGGGGGGGCGGGGGGAGAGAGAGATGGGGGGACTGGGGAGATGGGGGAGAGAGGGGGAAGGAAGGAGGGTGCTGGCTCATCGCTGTGTTGTGGTGTTGCTGGGCTCATTGTTGTGCATGACTTGCTGTAGTGTCGCCACTGAGTCGCCCTCCACACTGGGGGGACCGGGGAGATGGAGGAGAGAGGGCGGGGGAGGAGGAGGAAAGGTATGGGCTCATTGCCGGTGGGGTTGTGCATGACTTGCGCTAGCGCTGCCACTGAGTCGCCTCTACCCTGCAGTGGCAGGGGCACAAGCGAGTGGGGGGAGAGGGGAGGGGAGAGAGGGGGGGAGAGGAGGGTCAGGAGAGAAAAGGGAGTGAAGGAGGGCTGAGAGAGGCTGAGTAGGGAAGCGCAGCGTTATCCTTAGTACGTTACTCCTTATTTCTTGCTTGGCAGCAAGCTGTCGAACAATTGCCAACCAACGAGGCGCAATGCAGCCCATGTACAATCTGCTTTTGAGTCGACTCAAAAGCAATGCAGCCCATGTACAATCCTACTGCTATGCTGATGTGAACAGACTCGCAGTTACGAATGGTAGGCGCCTGAAGCAGCTGAAACGCTTCAAAACATTTCGAAGCAGCTGCAAATGTGTTGCAGCGTCTGACAAAGTAACATGTTCTCTGGATGCACTGAACTCACAGGTAGGTGGCGTAGAATATGCCAGTGGCGATCCAGGCCCACACAACCATGATCCAGAGGAACACGAGGATGCTGGCATGGCATGCATGGGCGCGTGGGGAAAGGGGGGGGGGAAGGAGAGGAGGCGGGAGGGAGGGGAGGAGGTAATGGGGAAAGGGAGAGGGAATGGGAGGGATGGGAGTGGATGGGATGGGAGGAGGAGATGATTAAGAAGGTTAGGTGGGGAATGCGAGGGATTGCGGGGGAGAAAGGAGGGGAGGTGAGGCGTGCGGGGTGACGCATGGGTGGATGGGGTAATGAATGGGTGCAGTGTGGTGCATTGGTGCATGGGGCAATGCATGAATGCACGGGGCGATGCATGAGTTTATGGGTTCGCTTACATGTTTGTTACTGCCACTATTCGACAGAGAGCAAACACTGCAGGCACCGCCGATGAGAGCAAGAGGAGGAGGGGAGAAGCGGCGAGACAGGGGGAGACAAGGGGAAAAGAGAGAAGGAGAAGCGGGAAGATATGATTAGTTGGTACAAAGGAAGATCTAGGAGAAAATCAGTGGAACAAAGGGGTGGAGAAGGGGAGTCAACAGGGAGATGGGGGAAGGGAAGAGGGACAACAAAAAGGGGGAGAGAATGGGGGAGAACAAGGAGAAGTGGGGAGAAGAGAAAGGGGAGGAAAAGAAAAAAAGGAATGAGTGTGGACAAGGGGAACGGACACAAGAAAGGGAAGCAGATGGGGATGAGAAGAGGCAAGGAGGAGAAGCTGATGGGGGCTCAAACAGAGGGATGTTGGGGCAGCACTGACCGAATCCGAGAATGCAGAGCAGGACAATGGTCATACCCACTCCGAACATGAATCGATAACTGGCATGGCACACATGGCATGGGGTTGGGATGCATGGGGAGAGGAGGGGGAGTGGAGGAGGGAGGGAGAGAGGGGGAGGTGCCAAGGAACAAGAGTTAGACAAGGCAGAAATGATGTGTTGTGGGAGGAGGAGGAGGAGGAGGAGGAGGAGGAGGAGGAGGAGGAGGAGGAGGAGGAGGAGGAGGAGGAGGAGGAGGAGGAAGAGGAGGAGGAGGAGGAAGAGGAGGAGGAGGAGGAGGAGGAGGAGGAGGAGGAGGAGGAGGAGGAGGAGGAGGAGGAGGAGGAGGAGGAAGAGGAGGAGGAGGAGGAAGAGGAGGAGGAGGAGGAGGTGGTAGAGTGGGTGTTAGCACACGGTGAGTGGAAAATAGCCATCCGAACAATCAGGGGGAGGAGATGCCACGAGATGCAGTGGGTGTGGAGAGGAGGAGGAAACGTAAGAGAAGACTGTGAGTGAGTGAGAGTGACCTCACATAGTAATCACATCCCCACACACCTTCGCTCCAATGCCTCCTCATCCCCTCGCCCCTAGTCCCCTTGCTTAATCGCGCCTTTTCCCTCTTTCCCCCTCGCCCCCGTTCACCCTGCCCTCCTCGCCCAATCTCCCCCGCTTCCCCATTTCCCCGTTCCCCCTCGGCCGCATTCCCCCCCTGCCTCACATGAGCAGCACGGAGGCGTTCACGAGGACAGTGCCCTTGTCCATCAGTCCTTGCAGCTCTACAGCCGTCCCGTTCCCACGGACCCGTTTTCCCCGTCCCCACACGCCCTCTTTCCCCCCGTTCCCCCTTGCCCGCATTCCCCCCCCCCCCCGCTCGCTGTCTCACATGAGCAGCACAGAGGCGTTCACAAGGACAGTGCCTTTGTCCATCAGTCCTTGCAGCTCCACTGCCGTCGCGTTCACATCCAATGCTAGGCGCGACACCCTTGCAGTCGCGTTCGCTGCGGGAGGAGAGGAGAGGAGAGAGAGGGTGGAAAGGCGGGGAGGGTGTTGTGTTGGGACGAAGCAGGCTCGGCTCTGCAGTTGTACCGTTGTCCCGTTCACATCCGCTGCCAGTCGCGACACCCTTGCGGTCACGTTCGCTGGAGGAGGGGTGGAGAGGAGGGGGGCCCGGGGAGGGTGGAAAGGCGGGGAGGGTGTTGGGACGAAGCAGGCTCTGCAGTTCCACGGGTGTCCCGTTCACATCGGCTGCTAGGCGCGACACCCGCGCTGTCGCGCTCGCTGGCGGGAGGGAGGGTGGGGAGGGTAAGAACGAGAAAGAAGAGAGTGATAGGAGAGAGAGAGAAAGCGAGAGAGAGAATCCTCACAGGGAAGCGCAGCGCCGGCGACGTGCGTGTGGGAGAGGTCAGCAACAGCCGTGGAGACGTTGGTGACGATGGCGGCGGCGCGGTTGACCTGGTCCATGGCGTAATCCGTTATGGCGTGCACGTTGCTGCGGAACATGATTCCCCCCGCTAGCATCACCGCCAGACCCGCGCTGGGAGAGGGAGGGAGGGAGGGAAGGGAACGGCCACGGTAGAGAGCGGTGGTGAGGGGTGATGGAGGGATGTGTGACGGTTGTAGCATGGCGTTGAACAAGCAACGTGTCATGGGCAGGGAAGAAGGAAAGACGTCTCGCCCAATGAACAACCCACTCCGCTCCGGACGACTGACAAGGAACGGCATCCCTCACAAACGGAGAGCCCCTGTAGCGTTTGCGCCCATGTGCTCTGTGCCTTGGTGCCCGTGCCTCTGCGACACCAAGGCATCATGCAGTTCTGCCAGTGGTGCCGCCATGCCGCCATGCCGCCACGTTGCCACGTCACGCCGTGGTGCCTGCCATCATGCCGTGCTGCCAGGAAGGAACCCTTTGCCCGTCCCTTGGTGCCGTGGTGCGGCGCGGTGGGACTTACAGCAGGGCGAGGATGGCAAGGATCATGACGAGCAGCGGGAGCGTGAGGTCGCGCTTGGCGTACGGGCGGAAGTCGTCGCTGCGCATGCGGGACCAGCGCTCGTGGCAGCAGCAGCACGTGCAGCAGATGCCCGCCACGATGCCCAGCCCCAGCAGCAGCCACGCCACGCCCACTATCGGCCCGAACGACGCCGTCATCCCCACCGACTGCCGCGCGCGGTCGGGGGGCGGGGGAGGAACGGCGGAAGAGGTGAAATTGGGGGAGTGAAGGGAGAAAGAGGAAAGGGGTGAATCTCCCTGTCGTGTCGAACGCCATATCGAAAATCTTCGCTACGTACCGACTCTCCTCCATATGACGCAGCGGAGCAGCAACGATGTTTTTGAGGCGCCTAGTACTACCAGGAGACATCAGGTTCCGCCTCCCCCGCACGTACCGCCCAATAGTGCTGGTCGGCGGGGTCCCATCCTCTAGCGTACGGCCGCAGCCCGTTCATCGGGTCTCTCCTGGCCGTCCGATCCGGCACCAGGAGAATCGTCTCGTTGTTCACCGAAATCGCTCCAAGCATGGTCCGATGACGCGTCGCCGCCGCTCCCGATTGGCCAATAGCACCGCTGGGTAATCCCAGTGCCGGGACTCTGTCGTAGAGAGCGGTGGACTGGAACCGGCGAGCGAGGGACCGATGATGCATGGGCGCGGCAGCGGCGGGAATGGCGGCGCGGCAAGCAAGGGGCATGAGAGCAAGTGCTGCGACGACGACAACGAAGACTTCGGCAGCGACGCGCCGTCCCGTCATGGCCGCGGTGCGGAGATTCCGAGGGGGTGTTGCGCCGAGGGGGTTCCGCGAGGTGTGGGATGATGCAAAGAGGCGAAAGGGGTATGTTGGGGTGGAGGAGGAGGAAGAGGAAGAGGAGGAAGAAGAGGAGAAAGAGGAGGAGGAGGAGGGGGAGGGGAAATCCTCGAAGCGCACTGTCATGGTGGGGGAGGGGGGGCTACTCCGCAGTCCGTCAGAGCACGTCCGACGACGCGTGATTGACGGCGCGCACGCAGAGTGCAGAGACGACTAAGGGCCCGGGACCTCTTGGAGGCAAGATTCAGTGGCAAGATAAGGACGTCCGGGACTTCTTGGGGGCTGGAGGGCGCAGGAAGGCTCGGGAGGGCGCGAAATGTCCCAAGTCGGTTCTATGCCGTTTTGAGAACGAGGCTGTCTCCGGCTATGTCAACAGAGGAGCAATGCGAGAGCCAGATTCGGCCTAGATGCACGCTACAGCTCAATACGGGCCGCAGGAATCCAGCGTCGGCGCCTGGAAAAGAACGGTATGTAATCTGTTAGGATGTGGCAGCTACGTAATGCTCCGCTTCGAGTTAACCTCCGGCACAGCAGTTGGCTTGGGGAAGTGTGTCTGGAGCTATATTGCACCATTGTCCGTGCGACGCGGAAAATCGCACACCTTCGTAGGATGCTAAGGAGTGCCAATGAGCACCCGTGCCCGTCACTTCAGTCTGCGCTCCTTGAAGCTGCTGAACTCGGTTGGGCTCTACACACAATTATCGAAGCGCGGCGTGGGTGGAACAAATTTTCTGGATAATCGTGTGAGACAAATTTCCTGGATTGTGAAAAAAAAGAATCGGGTCAAGGCGTGTGGTGTGGATGGGCTGACCACGACGTCTGCCTGTAATCGTGGGCGAACCGACCAACCAGATTGCAGTACAGTTCAGTTCCACCACAACCGACTGCCCGTGGGACTTTGTGACACGCTCCGAAGGGTGGAATGGAAAGGAACGACCTGCTCTGCGGGCAGGCGAAAGATCGAACTCACCTGCTCGCTATCGTAACTCAGATGGACATCTCTGCAAGGTTCGTTCACATGCCACGGGCAGGCCATCGCAAAAGCACTTCCCCAATGCCTGATGCGCTACGCAACCGTCCAAGGGCGGTCAGGTCAGGACAGCTCGTTTACAGCTCATGTACTGTAATAATCTTGAGGATGGTGAGTCCGATTCAAAGTGGTAAAGCGAGAAAACGAGTGGTGTATTGGGCCAGACTGCACAGCATTGCACTCAACTGTTTCGATTGAACACGCCTCGGGTTCTGGTCATAAATTTTCGTTCAATATTTGTTTGACGCGGTTCGATACGGTCAAATACGTCTGAGAGCGGGTTTAAGCTATCACCGTCTCAAACCATTGCGCACCGTAAAGTCAATTGTAAACGGAACGGATTTGACCCGCCCTAATGGCAGGTCACAGTTAGGAAGTTTACAGTTCATGTATCAGGCTGGTGAGTAACGGTTTAAAGCGGTGAATTAAAAAAACAACTTTGAAGTAGCCACTACATCACATAACCCTGTGTGAAAGAGGTTGGGCCGAGCCATTTACATGCAAACCTCAGCGCAGCTCCCATGGCACGCCGGAGTAATTTCTTTTGGTACATTTCAGACTAGTTGAGGATGAAGCTATTTGCGCTCGTAGTTTTAATTCTGTTTTGGTTAATGTTTACGATATAATAATGCATCTTATTGTCTAAAGAAGATGTAGGCGCTTTAGAAGAGAGATTAAAATGAAATAATATAAATATTATGACCTGATAAGAAATCGCATTATTTCAGAAAAAGCAACTAACTTAGCTGAGCAAAATAAAATTACTTTCGAAATATGGAGTCTTACTATGAGACTTGAACAATCCATAGTGTAATTGCCACTAACCAGGACGAAGGCACGGTAACGTACAGTACCGAGTACAACACTACCCCAGCATGTGCGTGCGTTCACTGTGCAACCTTCTGCCAAGCTTGGTTTTCACAGCAATCAAGTGCGAGGAAATCTCTAGGTAACGTGCGAGACAGTTCCAAGGTCGGAAGTTCGATTTGAACGCCAGTCTGTGTGAAGGAAACGCAACAGCAGATTGTTAGATTTGCTTGGCAGGCCAAGCAGCAAAGTAGCCGTCGACTTCGTTTCCGGAATTCGTAGTTGCCTCGAGTGAGAAGAGCAGAAACGTTTCTTGTCAGCACGGCGTGCGCTTCAGGGTAGTTGCACTGTGCTCTTAACCCCGCGCAGAAGTGTGCACTTGTTCGAGCTCCGTCTCGCCACTGCGCTAGACTCGTGTCTGTCAGGCGAACCGTCGATCTGTGTGTCGCGCGTTGCCGTTCTTTGCCGATATCCTTTTAGTTCTGCAATTTGTTGCGTTAGTACTAGTCGCTCTCTGCGTGAGGTTTGGATTTCAGGCCCATCAACCCATCTTGCCGGAGAGTTGACACGACTAGTATGGCGGATCAGGAGAAGAAGGGAGACACGCTGGTGCAGCAAGCCGATAAGAAGCTTAAGGGATGGGCCTTTTTTGGCGGGAAATACGACGAGGCTGCAGAGCTATTGGAGAAAGCCGCCACGTCGTACAAGGTCGCTAAAGCGTGTAAGTCCTTGCATCGGTCGCATGCGAAATACGTGCGACCTTACAGGCACGGCGACATCCATTCGCAGGGGTATGCGAACTTGGCGAACAAATTCCATCGTGGTCGCATGATCGCGAGCGATTGGTCATATCCGACTGTGCCATGGTGTCGTTATTATAGGCGCTTCGTGAGGTACGAGTCATGTCCGAAGTCAGTGGTCTCTCCTTATCCTGATGATGTGTCTCAAACAGAATAGATCTCAGGGACGCGATCCGCGGTATCAGAAATTGCTCGTGGTTTTTTCACTATTTTGGACGCGTTTGTTACCTTTCGCGGTTCCCGTACTGTGCTTACCGAATTTCGATACTTCGCAGATTTTTCTCATCCTTCCATGACCTTCCCCCCCGTGTTCATGTGTGCACGCGCGCATGTTGGAATGCCTGCATGTGTGCACGTCTGCATGTGTACATGCATGCATGTCTGCGTATATGCATGTCCGCTCGTCGTCATGCCCGCATGTCCGCATGACTGCACGCCTGTTTGCGTACATGCTGGCAGGGGACAAAGCGGCGGACGTATACTGCCGACTCTCAGAGATCCAGCTCAAGGTGCGGAGATCAAATGGGACCTGAAACTGCTGTACTGTCAATCTTCCACAACCAACACCTTAGCAAGCCCCATCTTATCCCCCCCGCTCTCCGCTCGTCTCCTTCTCCGCCGGGCCTCCGCTACTCCATTTGCAGTCTAGCCTAGCTTCCTAGCTTCCCTCGCCGCTTTGGCTTTCCATCACGTCTCCTTTTTGGGTTTTCGCAAGGACCTCCTTCCCCATCTCGAGCTTTCGCATGGATCGCCTCCCTTGTCGCGACCTGCCACCCTATACCATTTGCAACATCGAAACCCCGCAGCGTATCCACACCAGTGCATTCTCGCTCCCCCTGCGTCACCTCCCTTGCCCCCACCTCCCTTCCCCCGGCAGCACCTGGATAGCTCGCACGAGGCGGCGTCTGCGCTCATAGAGGCCAGCAACGCGCTCAAGAAGACCAGACCCGCCGGTGAGGACGGCGCTGCGCCAGTCAGGGGGGCATTGTGCGGGACAGGGAGGCACTGCTGCAGTGAAAGGGGCAGTGCGCCAGTGAAGAAGACATTACGGGGGGCAGGGTGGGGGCTTGTTGCAGTGTGAAGGGTGGGGCAATGTGAAGGGTGGGCCAGCGGTTACGCAGTGGTTTGAGAGATGCGACAGCGGCTAAGCAGGGGTAGCATACCCCACTGGTATCGTGAGCGGGGAAGCTCATTTTGCTGGGTTGGAGGTGAGTGCGGAAGTGTTTGCATCGATCCAACAGCAGTGTTCACGCCATGTTTGTGTGCCACCCGTGCCAATGCATGTGTGCCTGTAGATTTTCTCGAGAGGCTCTTGTGATTGCTGTGTCTTTACAGTTGGTCCTTTCAGGGATGGCTGCCGATGGCTGCTGCAACCGGTGGCTTAGACTCCCATATTCTGGTTCCTTGCATGTGCACATGCGCGACATGCATATGCATGTGTACCCATCTCCATACTCTATAACCCCGCATTCTGCCTGTCACATCCGCACACGTGCGCGCACATGCATGCACAACAGTGGCGAAGGAGCGGCTGAAGGAGGCCATAGACCTGTTCATTGACAACGGCAGGCTCAGCATGGCAGCGCGCCACTGCAAGGTGACTCACTGTGCCAACTGCTCCTTTCCCCTCGCCATTCCCTCCTAATCTTTTGCACCCAGCAGTCGAATCTTGATGCCTGGTGCACCTGGTGCACACGCCCCCCCTCCACTGCCCTTCACTTCCGCCCAGTCAGTGACGAGCAAGCATTGCTGCATGATTGTTTTGAGCTCGTTCCGCTCCACTCCTCTCCTTTCCTCCGCTCTCCTCTCCTCTCCTCTCCTCTCTACTCCTCTCATCTCCTCTCTACTCCTCTCCTTTCCTCCTCTCTCCTCTCCGCTCCTCTCGTCTCATCTCATCTCCTCTCCTCTCCTCTCCTCTCCTCTCCTCTCCTCTCCTCTCCTCTCCTCTCCTCTCATCTCCTCTCCTCTCCTCTCCCCTCCCCTCCCCTCCTCTCCTCTCCCCTCCCCTCCCCTCCCCTCCCCTCCCCTCCCCTCCCCTCCCCTCCCCTCCCCTCCCCTCCCCTCCCCTCCTCTCCTCTCCTCTCCTCTCCCCTCCCCTCCCCTCCCCTCCCCTCCGCTCCCCTCCTCTCCTCTCCTCTCCTCTCCTCTACTCCTCTCCTCTCCTCTCCTCTACTCCTCTCCTCTCCTCTCCTCTCCTCTCCTCTCCTCTCCTCCCCTCCCTCTCTTTGGCTCTGCTCTCACCTCGTCGCTCTCTCTCTCTTCACTTTTCACTAGCAATCCCTTCCCCCCACACCTCCCCCCTCCCAGGACCTGGCAGAGATGTATGACGAGGAGGGCACAACGAACGTGGTGGCGTGGCGTTGAGGCGCTCAAACCCATTTTCCCCCTTTTTCCCTCCACTTTCCCGCTCCTTACCACCCTCTCCCTCTCCACCTCCCCTCCACATCCCCTCCATTCCCAGGACCTGGCAGAGATGTACGAGAAGGAGGACGCAGCGAACGCGGTGGTGTGGTGTTGAGACGCTCAAACCCATTATACATCCCCTTCTCCCCCACCTCTCCCCTCCCCTCCCCCCAGGACCTGGCGGAGATGTATGAGAAGGAGGAGGACGCGGCGAACGCGGTGATCTGGTTTGGCCGCGCTGCTGACTTCTATCAGACGGAGAACGCCAACACGAGCGTCAACCAGATGAAGCTCAAGGTCGCCGAGTACTCTGCCCTCAATGCTGAGTACGTAGGGGGGAGGGGGTGTGCGCAGGAGGAGGGAGGGAGGGTGGGGATGGCGGGTTGAGATGAAAGGGAGGCATGGGAGGGGCGTTTCGAGCTTTTTTGGCCGTTGCTGTTTTTGCGTGCAAAGGGGATGTTGCAGCGCATCTAACCTGCCCTTATCGCTTCCCCACTGCCAACCCTCAACAACCCCCACCCCCCATCGGGCACCCAAAGTGTCCCTACCCCACCTCCCACACCGCCCCCAACCCTGCGCCCTGCACCCCCCATTCTTCGCTCCCTCAACCCCCCACCCCTCGCTTTTCACTGCCCATTTTGCAACGCTCAGCTACGCGGAGGCGATAGAGATCTATGAGCAGGTGGCGAAGGACTCGCTGAGCAGCAACCTGCTCAAGTACAGCGTCAAGAACTACCTCCTCAACGCCGGCATCTGCCAGCTCTGCCGCGCCGACACCGTTGCTGTTAACAACGCACTCGACAAGTACCAGGTGCGGTGCGGTGCAGTGCGGTGTAGTGAGGGGAGGTGAGGTGAGATGGGGGCTGCTGCGGTCCTCTACGACACATGGGGGCTCCGACGCGTTCAATTCCATGTTCTTCACACTCCTCCTCCCCCCCGACCCACTCCATCCGTTCTTCTTCCGCAACCCGGTTCTCTTTCACATGCTGCGTCTGTGTACTTTCGTCCCTTGCCACAGTATTGTTCTCACGGTACCTGATTGCGGTACCTAACTGCACATGCCCCAACCTTCTGTATACATGCACGCATCTGGATGTGCGTGTGTTTATGGTGTGCCTGTGCATGTGTATCTGATTTTTTTTTACTTCAAACACAGCTGAAAGTGGCCCTCATTTTGTGTCACGAGCAGCATGCATGTTGCTACTTTGACCATGTCTCACGAAGCTCTGCATGGCTCTGTGTGTGTGTGTCCTGCCATGCTGCGTACAGGAGATGGACCCCACTTTCTCAGACACGAGGGAGTTCAAACTGCTATCAGTAAGCTGCCAATGCTTCTCCCACCTCACTCCCACCTCTTTTACTCCTGTCGTCCTCCTCTCCCTTGTCCCTCTCCCTCCTCTATCCCTAGTCTATTTACCTTCATCCCTCCTCTCTCTCTCCCGACTCTTCGTCTCAACCCTGCATCGCTCCTCTCTCCCTCCTCTCTCTTGTGTCTCCCTTCTCGATGTTGTGTGCCATTCCCTTCACACAGCACAGCACTGCGTTTGTCTTTCCTTCTCTCTCTGCTCGTTCGCCCTCCTCGCCCCCCCCGTACCCTCGCCCCTTCCTGCATTCCGACTACCGCCATTCAGAATCCACCACACCCTCGTCCACCCCGTCCTCTCGCTCCCTCTCCACCCCTCCCCTCCACCCCTCACTGCCCGTGTGATCTGCCAGAGCCTAGCGCAGGCAGCGGAGGAAGGGGATGCGGAAGCGTTTACAGATGCCATCAAGGAGTTTGACAACATCACTCGCCTGGTAGGCTCTCATGCCCGCACACATGCCCTGATCCACGTTGTTTTATGCCCTCGTACACCCACATGCCTACATGCACTGACGTCCCAACACCTGTATGCCGACATGCCTCTGTCCTTATATTTCCTGACGTTTGTAGTATGCCCATATGCCCTTATGCCAGCCTTTGCTTGCAAATCTTTGACTTGTTCCACCTATTCTTGCAATCTGTGTGATCCATTGATGTTCTAATCATGTGCCATTTGTTCCTCTTTCTCCTCCAGGACTCCTGGAAGACAACACTGCTACTTCGAGCAAAAAAATCAGTGAAGGATGAAGAACCTCTTACATAAGCTGGCGCATTCAGATTTGCCAAGTTCTTGCTGTTATGACATTTGAAAACATGTTTGTAGGGTGAATGAACTTCTGTCTATATCCATGCTTTTTGTCCTGGTCAAATGTGGTTGCTTGTAATGTCAATCTTATCTGTTAGGGTAGTTGTGCAAGGGCACTCAAGATGAAGTAACTAGACATATGTACGGTATGTTGCTTTACTAGAGTGTAGACCTGCTACGGTTTGTAGTATCGAAGAAGAATCTGGTTCGGTTCCCCCATGTAGCTGGTTGGTTGGGTGCGCTCCAACTCATCCTGACGTGGCAGGTGAAAGTTCCTTCTGGCACGGCACGGCACCGAACCGAAGCGAGCCGAAAAGTGCCCTGCTCCGCAGCGGTACAGCGCACCACCGCGTCAGACAATCCAGTTGACTGACCGACTAGGGGACACGCGGCGGCTCCTTGCGCAAACAGGGAAGAATTTTCCCCCGTCTGTCTGTCACGCGCTTCACCCCCGTCCTCGCAGCACCTGCCCAGCTCCGCGTTCTTTCCGCTCATCCCTTCTCGCAGTGCGCTGCGCTTCCCCCCGTTCCTTTCCCCCGCCTTCCCCCCCCCCCCGCATTCAGCCCCGCATGGCAGCAACATATAAACCACATGTGCAAATCCATCACATTCACATCCACCCTGCCGGATCTTGCATTTCAGAACCTCGCATTAGCGCCCCTCCCTCTAGCCAAGAGCCTCTTTCATTATTCTCTCGAACCGAACCGCGACTCTTGGCTTCTTGGCTTCTTGCATGCAGCCATCCTCGACTGCCTGACACGTGTCTGCTCCGCCCGCAAACCAGCTCCGCGAACCCTCCCCGCCTGACGAAAAGCGTCGCGTTCGGCCTCCGGCCACTAGAGCTTTTCTCTCCGCGGAATCACCTCCGCGCGACCGCGCGTCAGTCCGCCCGCCACCACGGCGTCTTCCGCGCTCTCCGCGGCAGCAGCAGGGGCCCGTGTGGCCTCTACTGCCCCTGCTGCCACTGCTGCCTCTGCTTCAACTTTCAGGCTTTCTTTCCGCGATGGAGCTGCTACTAGTACTGTCTGCAGCGCGAACGCGAGTGTTAGTGCTAGCTTGACGAGTTCGACGCTTTCGGCGAGTTCCACGAGATTGCTGCATCGAGGGGAGTTCTTGATCGGGCGACGACTGGCCATGGCGAGTGCAGCTGTTGTTCCAACGGGAGGCGCGCAGGAGGAGGCAGGGTTAGGGAAAGGAGAAGAGACAACACACGCTGTTCCAGGTGAGGTGGATTTTCAAGAACGAACACGTACGATGGACTAAAGAACGCGTATTGAGATTAAGACGTGTGATAGGTAAGCATGCCGGCTGAGGTTGCGCGACGGTCACTCGGTTGGTCGTAAGATGAACGAATTCGGAGGCGACTCGACCATGAACGGGCGTGTGTGGGTCCGTTCTCTCGTCCCCAGGGCGATGCTGGTCGCCTCGCTGCTCCTCAGGGTCGCCGTTTCAGGGTCGCCGACTCGCCGCTCCTCAGGTCGCCACCTTCCGTGGCATCGAAGCCACCGCAGCGTTTTGAGTACTTCTGTTCGTACTGAGTGCGCCATCGCTGCCCGTGCACCCGCGTTTCTCGTTCAAAAGCGCCCGTCTTCGCATGGGTTTCGCGAAGAAGGCTTTTATCTCATGCCGCCTCCGCCGCTTTCCCCTCCGCTGCTTCCCGTTTCCCCCTTCTCTTCCTCTCCTCCCCCCCGCAACCCCTCCCCCCCCCTTTCCGCCCCCGTCCCCCCACTTTTTTCCCCGCCTCCCGTGTCTGTCAGTGCAAGCAACGGCGATCCATGACACCCACAAGATCCACGTGGCATCACCGGACGACGCGGCGCATCGCCCGGCGGTGCCCGTGCGGTCGCACGACATGCTCGCGCCGTTCACCGCGGCGCACCAATTCACCGACGCGCACCCGCTCGTTATAGTCAAGTCCGAGGGCGTGTACATCTGGGACAGCGACGGGCGGCGGTATTTGGACGGACTCGCGGGCCTGTGGAGCACGGCGCTGGGCGGCAACGAGCAGCGGCTGATCGACGCGGCGGACGCGCAGATGAAGAAGCTTCCGTTCTACCACTCGTTCTGGAATCGCGCCACGGAGCCCGCCATGGAGCTCGCTAAGGTGCGGCGCGTCGCGCATCGCGCGTGGGCGTGGGCGTGGCCCAGTCAGTGTATCTCCCATCCGCTTCCCGCTTGAGACGTCCCCGCTCCCACCCTCCTCTTGTTGCATCGTTCACTGAATTTATCGCCCCCAATTCCTCCTCCCTTTTTCCTCTCCCTTTCCCCCCTCTCCCTTCCCTCTTCCCGTTTCCCCTCTCCCCTCCCCTCTCTCCCCTTCCCCGCTCCCCGCTTCCTTCCCCCTTCCCCTCCCACTTTCCTCTCTCCCTTTCCCTTGTCCCCCCTCTCTCCCGCACGCGCAGGAGCTGACGGGCATGTTCACGGCGGAGCGCATGGGGCAGGTGTTCTTCACCAACAGCGGCTCCGATGCCAACGACACGCAGGTGGGATTTTTAGAATTCAGGTGAGCGGCGACCTGTGGCTTAATCCTTATAGGCGCGTATGGAAAACAGGAAAGAAGACGAAGAGGAAGAAGAGGAAGAGGATGGTAAAAAACACAGCACAATCAAAACACCCCCTTCCACCCCCCTCCTCTAGCTAGTGTTTTTTGAGAATTCTCAAAAAACGTCATAACTCAAGACGCGTCCATTCGTCCATTGACAATAACGCTCGTCGAAAGCCAACCAACATGGCCCCATCCCCCCCTCCCCCACTCCCCCATCCCCGTATCCCCCCTTCACAGGTGAAGCTGGTGTGGTACTACAACAACGCGCTGGGGCGGCCAGAGGCAAGCAAGCAACACACCCCCATTCGCTCCCATGGCCCCATCCCCACCATGCCCCCCCTGGTGCAGGTGAAGCTGGTGTGGTACTACAACAACGCGCTGGGGCGGCCGAACAAGAAGAAGTTCATTGCTCGCGACAAGGCGTACCACGGCTCCACCCTCGTCTCCGCCAGCCTCACGGGGCTCTCCCCGCTGCACAAGAGGTGGGTACTTTGTGGGGGAGGGGGGTGTTGGGCAGGGGGGAGGGCTGTGGGACGGACTAGATGGGGGATGGGAGTTGGTGTAGGCGTACCACGGCTCCACCCTCGTCTCCGCCAGCCTCACGGGGCTCTCCCCGCTGCACAAAAGGTGTGGTTGGGAGGGCGGGAAAATTGATGGGCGGGGAGAGGGGTGTGGGGTGCACTGGGTGGGGTAGGGGTGAGGGAGAGGGGAAGGCGTATCACGGCTCCTCGTTTGTATCTGCCAGCCTCTCTCCCTCTCACCTGCTCCCCGCTTCCCCTCCCCCCTCGCCCCCTGCTGCTTCGACCTGCCATGGAGTTTGAACTCCTTCTCCCCCAACGTCGACACTTAAATTACCCTTTTCAGTCATACCCCTTTTGAGACGTCTCAATAGTCGTTTCCCTTCTTTTTCCGCTGCTCCCGCCTCCTCACCTCGCCTTTCTCCCTCTTCTCCCGTTCCCCTCTCCCCCCGCTCCCCCCGCAGCTTCGATCTGCCAGTGGACTTTGTACTCCATACAGACTGCCCGCATTACTGGCGCTACGGCCGCCCGGGCGAGAGCGAGCAGGAGTACAGCACACGCCTGGCAGACAGCCTAGAAGCTCTCATAGAGCGCGAGGGCGCTGATACCATCGCAGCCTTTATCGCCGAGCCGGTCATGGGCGCCGGGGGCGTCATCCCGCCGCCCGCGGGTTACTTCGAGAAAGTCCAGGCCATTCTGCGCAAGCACGACATCCTCTTTATCGTGGACGAGGTGGTGTGCGGCTTCGGCCGCCTCGGCACCATGTTCGGCAGCGACCTCTACAACTTACAGCCGGACCTTGTGACTCTCGCCAAAGCCCTTTCCTCTGCCTACATGCCGATCGGCGCGGTGATGATCAGCCATAGGATCGTGCACGAGGTGGCGGCGCATAGTAATAAGATGGGGAGCTTTGCGCACGGGTTCACGTACTCGGGGCACCCTGTGGCGTGTGCTGTGGCGCTGGAGGCGGTGAGGATGTATCAGGAGATGGATGTGGCTGCCGTTGTGCAGGCCGCTGAGCCGCTCTTTCAGGTGAGCAATGGGGGTGGAGAGGGGAGGGGAGGGGAGGAGGAGGGGGTTGAGGTTGGGGGTCTGGGTGGTGTGAGCTTGCTTGGATGTGGTGATGTCTGGGTGGTGAGGATGTATCAGGCGATGGATGTGGCTGCCGTTGTGCAAGCAGCTGAGCCGCTCTTTCAGGTGAGCAATGGGGGCGGAGAGGGGACGGGAGGAATGGGGGGAGGGAGAGTGAGAAAGTGGGGGGGAAGTTGGCCTTTATGGTGCTGAGTTGTTTGTTCGTTTGTGTGTCGTGTGTCATGTGTCGTGGTTATTATATCCTTTGTCTTTCTCCCCTTCCCCTTTCCACCCCCTCGCACCCCATTGCCTAATGTCCCCATTATCCTCTCTCCACCATCCCCCCCACATGCAGGGAGGCATACGGCACATCTGCCGCAACAGCCCCATAGTGGGGGAGGTGCGCGGGCAGGGGCTCATACTCGCTATAGAGCTAGCAGACCCCGCCACCAAGGAGCCCTTCCCGTCCGCGTGGGCGGTGGGGCCCTTCTTTGGGCAGTGTGCGGCGGCGCATGGGCTCATCGTGCGCACCATTGGAGATGTCATTGCTATGTCGCCTGCTCTCATCATTTCTCCCGGGGAGATTCAGGTGAGCGGGGAGGCATGGCGCTGGGTGAGCTGAGAGGTGTTTCGTTCTTGGGGGGATATCGAGGCGAGAAGTGGTGGGGGGAAGGGTGAAGGGAGAGGGTGCAGTAGGGGAGGGTGAGGGGAGAAAGAGAGGGGAGAGGGGGACAGCAGGCCAGTGGCGCAAGGGAAAGATGAACATCAGGTCGACTCAAAATACTCCTTCTCCCTGGTGTGTCGGCATGCCCCTCTCTTTCCCTCCCTCCCTGCCTGTGTGTGCTCGCTCCTTATGCCCACGTTCTAACAGGAGCTCTTGTCTGTCATCCGCCTTGCGCTCAAGGAGACAGAGGCCTACGTGCAATCCAAACTGGACATGGTCTGATGTGGAAGTGACGAGGATTGACGTGGAGTGACATGGCAGAGCGACATGCAGTGTGATATGGATTTGGCAAGGATAGCTGTGGAATGCGAGCAGTGTTACCGGTGCCACCACTGCTTTTGAAACGCTGCCAGAGGCAGCTTGTATTTGCGTGCTTTGTGAGAACATGCTTTGCGTACATGTGATGTGCTCATGTTCGATAGGTTTGAAGCACCGAGGAATGGCTGAACAATGTTGTACCGCCTTGGTTAGTTTCTGAAATGCTTGTATGTACGCAAAAGACAGTCCTGGGAGAGACTCTCGTTTGGAAAATGTCCAACATAAGTGTATTGATGTTCTCTGGTATTGCAGTATCATAAAAGGTGATCATAGCATAGCATACCGGAGCCGAGAGTAGTTACCTGATATAGAGTCATTACCTGTGTTAAACCTACGGTAACAAGCTAACTTCCCTACTAAATCCCACAAAAATTGCACAACACCTGCTGTTGCAATGCGCGCGGAAGTTGAGCTGTACAAGAGCTTGCGTTGCGACAGGCCCCAGCAAGCCTCGCAAGCAGGCACGGTGGCAATGCAATGCAAACGACTCCCGCATACCACCTCACACGCAGTGTCGTGTTTCTCTCTGTTCTTCCCTCTGCCTCTGCCTCTGCCTCTGCCTCGGCCTCCAAGCCACGACCGGAACCTGCCTGCAGCAAGCAGCACACTGCGCCTCACCTGTTCACCTGACATGCACACGCACATGCACATGTACATGCACATGCACATGCACACACAACGCACATGCACAGGCACACACGGCACACACGCGTGCACATGAACATGCACAGAGACCCTCAACATGCTTGTCATTCACACTCCCCTTGCCCTCACCCTCTGCTCCCCCTCCCCTCTCATCTTCACTACGCCCCCTTCATTCCTCCCCACTTCAGCCGTGGAGTCTCATCACATTACGTACAGGAATGAGCCAGCATGCTACTCTTGAAAGGAGAGTGCCTGCCGCACAAGCGACATTTGAGACGATGCCACACCACCCACACCATCCGCACCACCACCACCCACACCACCACCAACACCCGCGCCTTCTGATTTACTTCCTCCCGCACCTCCCTTCTCACTCCCCTTGGTGGCCCCACCACTGCTCCTGCTCCTGCCACTCCTGCTACTCCTGCCACCACTCTTGCTGCTCCTGCTGCTGCTGCCACCACTGCTAGCACTGGTACTGCCCGAGCCCTTGAGCCTAGGCACAGGGAACGCCCGCTGGAAGAAGGTAGTCAGCACAGGAGAGTGCGTCCCCAGGGCAACCAGGCACTTAGCTGCAGAGAGGGACGTGGAGCGGGTCTGCTGGCTCGCTGCTGCAGCACTGCCTGCTCTCCCCCTTGCACTCTCCCCAGCCGTGTGTGATACCTCAACCACCATGGGTGCTCTAGTCAATCCCAGGGCACTTGCCACTTGGCTGCAAGCCGGGCTGGCCCTTGTTGTCTCTACGCATTTCGTGCTGCCCAAAACTGCTGCGTCCTCACAGTCCTCCCCTGCAGAGCCTTGCTTCTCATCCCCTCCTTCGATAGGCACCAGGGGTGGTGTAAGAAAGACTTGTTTCCCATCCGTAGCAGGAGCCAACGCATCTGCCTCAACAGCAGAGTGACTTCTGCGGTTTCCAGAAGCCTGCTTCCTGGTCTGCTGTTTTCTGCTGCCACTGTTGCAGCTCTTGACACTCTTGCCGCTCATGCCACTACCACACGTGCTTGAGCTGTTGCATCGCTTACGCCTCCCACCGCCCATGCTCGCTCTGCTGCCCTGCAGTGAGCCATCGACGCGCTTCGTTCTACCCTCACCGTTATCATCATCAGGAACAGCAGCGTCAGTAGGAACATCAGCAGCAGCAGCCACAGGGGGAGCAGTAGCAGCAGCCGCAGGGGGAGCAGCAGCAGCAGCAGAGGAAGTAGCAGGGGCAGCAACAGCAGCAGGAGCAGCAGCAGCAGCAGCAGCAGCAGCAACATCCATCAACGGCGGCCCATCAGATTCCCCAACCGGTTCCACTCTTCTGCTCAGACCTTCGCTGCATCCATCCCCTCCCTCCCTCTCCTCCTCTTCCCCGTGCCCCTGCCCTGCACTCTTCCGTGTCTTACTCCGAGTCACCCTCCCTGACTCATAACTCCTTCCCTGGCTCTCCCCTGCTCTCTTCCGTCCCTTGCGCGCCGCCACTGCTCTTCCACAGTCAACCAGCCCCTCCCTTTCATTCATACCACTCTCGCTCATGCCCGTGTTCCTGCTCCTGCTCCTTCCGTTCCTCGTCCCTGCAGCAGCAGCATCAGGGCCAGCAGCATTCGCAGCAGCATGTGAACCGTCATCATCATCACCACCACCACCACCACCGCCACCACCACCGCCAGCAGCAGCGCTGGCATCATTGACAAGCCCTTCCCCCTCCGCATCCCCCTCTCCCGCATCTCTCGTTGGCGCAGCGCGTGCGCCCTCTTCCTCTGCGCGCCTCTCCGCCTGCGCTTGCGTCAGCGCGCGAAGGCTACGTGCGCGCAGCCTCTGGATCATGTCCTGCAAATCGACGCCGCTCCCGCCACCTGCGCTGCTCTGCTCTCGGCCTCTTCCGCCATCCGCGCTGCTCTCCTCCCGGCCTTTTCCGCCATCTGCGCTTTGCTCCTCTAAGCGTTCTTCCCCGCATGCGCCCATCCCATCTGCGCCTCCTCCAACCTCACTCCCCATTACAACGTTCTCCACGCATTTTCCATCCAATTCCTCCTTTCCATTTCCGGTCCCCTCTCCTTCTACCTCTCCACTCACTCGGCAACGCATTGCAGCTGTTGCACTCTCGCGCCCACTTTCGCCTCCCACAGAGTTGGCGCCAGGAGTGATGGTTTCGCAAGAAGCCAATGCTTTGGGATTGTTGCTGTTTGAATTCTGCGAGCAAACAATCGCGCCGCATTGCATGGGGACAGAGGCATGTGAGCTGGATTGGGAAGATATTGTTATTACTGTTACTGCTTGTGGTGGTAACGCTGTTGCTGCGGGTGCACTTAAAGCTGCTCCTTGTTCTGCTTCTTCCTTCCTTTCTTCTTCTTCCGCCGCTGCGGATGGTGATGCTGCTGCTGGCGCTGCTGCTGCAAGTTCTGCTGAAGCTGCCTTCCTGTCTTCTTCTGCTGCTGCTACCGATGGTGGCGCTGCTGCGGATGCTGCTGTTTCTTCTTGAACTGATTCTGCTGCAACTGCTGCTGCTGGCGGCGCTGCTGCTGCAGTTACTGCTTTCTCCTCATTTACTGCTGCTGCAGGTGCTGCTAATACTGAATCGTCACCTCTGGCTTCTGCTGCTGCTGCTGCTGCTGATGATGATGATGCTCCTGATAGCAGCACTGGTGCTGCGAGTTCTGCTAGCTCTACTCCTGCCTCTACAGGCCAGTGAGTGATGGAGTTGCGGGGAACAGCGGGAAGCGGCGAAGCACAAGGGCTGGGGGCCGAAATGAAAGCACCTTCCTGGCCGTTCCCTTGAGTCCAACCCCTCATCGCATCTGTGCAGTCCCCCTCTGCCTCCTCTGCGGAAGCTGGATGATTGTCCAAGCTGGCAACAGTAGCCGCAACGAGTTCAGCAGCAGTTGGAGGAGCGGGAGAGGGTAGCGGCACAGCTTCAGCGGGTTCGCAGGCGGAGGGCGCCGGAGGAGGAGCCGCACAGGTGGCTGGAGGGGGAGACGCGTCACCGTGGTGGCGGAGGGCGTCAAGGATCTGCCGGAGCAGCGCTCGCCCCGACTGCGACGAGAAGGGACGGGGAACGGAAGGGGGAACAGGGAAGAGGCGGCGAGGGGGAGAAGCGCATGCGAGAAGGTCAGGGACTATGCAGCACGAGGTGCGGATGAGTCAAGACTCAAGAGACCAGCGCGAGAGGGACGGCGCTCTGACGCAAGGCTTGACAATGGCCTCAGCGTGTCAGTGACTCCGTCGGTCACTGTGTGTCAATCAATCAATCGGGTAACCACTCTCTCCTCGTCTGTCAAACGATTAAGCAGTCATGCTCACCTCATCTACCACTGTGTGCTCGAAACACCGCAGCATGTCCCTCAGCTTCTCATTCTCCTTCCGCACATCTTCCGCCACCGCCTCCGCGCGCCTCAGCTCCTCCTCCGCAAGCCGCCGCTTCTCCGCCGCCTCTCGCGCAACTCGCCTCCACTCACCCGCCCCGGGCGGATCAGCGTCTCTGCAACGCTCTTCCGCCGACTGCTGCCCACCTCCCACCGCCAACACCCGCGCATCTACCTCGTCCTGCTGGATTCTAGCAGAACGGTCTTCCTGAACATTCGTCAAGCCTGGACCAGTCTCTGAGTCCAAATCCAGCCTGACTGTCATATCGCCCTCCACTACCTTATCAACTGCCACTGCCGGACACGGATCAGCGGCGTCGCCTGCTGGAACGGTTGCTTGCGGCAGGGGCGTGCGGGGCAGCTGGTGCCGCGCGGGCGGAGGAATTGCCAGCGCCGCCTGGAGCAGCGCATCGTCGTCGTCCGACGGCACCGTCGCACAGTGCGTCGCAACGTTCGTAGGGGTGTTCGATGGCACGGGAGAGCTATGTGCGACAGGGAGCTCTCCGTCCTCAACGGACAACGTCGCTTGCTCTTTCAACGCGCATTCAGGCTCATCCCTTCCTCCCACTTCCTCTACTTGCGCTCGCCTACGCGTCTGAATTTCTGCCGACTTCTCGTCCTCCTCGCCCTCAGGTGTGGAAGACAGAGGCAGATCCCCTTGCAAGCCAACTACTGCGGGTTCGCTTATCACGGCCTCCACTCCTTCGTCTACAAGAACAACCTGTCTCTTGACCAGTTCGCCAAGGCTCGCCTCACAGCGTTGTCGGTACCGCTCGGCCTGAGCCTGCAAAAAATCCAGCCGCCAACAAAAGTAGGAAACGTGAGGCAAGTTCAGTGGAACAGGCGTCTGGCGGTAACCGTTTGTTAAGGAATTAAACGAGAAAGAAAATCGGAGCAGAAACGAATCTGAGAAAGTTAGCTGAAAACAGGATCGTGAAACGAGTGGGCCTGTCGTGCCTGGCGTGGAGGAGAGGTGCACCTTGTTAATCTCGGCTCGAAGCTGCTGGATAGTTTGCTTCCGAGATAGGAGAGCTTTTCCTGCGACTGCCGCGGCTGAATTGACGATAAAACGGCGTGCCGTGTATTAAGCACGATGACAAGCGTGCGACGTCACCGAGAGGATGAGCGAAAGAGGACAGAAGACAACAACAGTAAGAAAGTTAGGCACGAGAATATGATGGAGAGCAGGAGAAAGCTCCAAGCGTTTTAAAATTAACGGCAAGGGCTGGAAGACACATATCAGCGACCTTGCTACGAGTCTACCACCACCTGAATTACAATCAATCCAGCGGCAAACGTCCAAGATCAGGTGAATCGGCGGCAACAAAACTTTATGTTTCTTTTTTATCGTTGAACGCACCTAACCGTCGATGGTTGGCAAGCAGTTTGAGCTTTTGGAGCCCATCTTCCACGGCGGTAAGATCATCTTCAACATGCCGATTTAACGCCTCCATAGAGCTCCGCTTGCTAGCCTGTCGTACGAGAAAACGATTCGCGTCAGATTTTCCATTGTATCGGAATTTTCCATTATAAGAGACGAATCCACGCGTAAACTGAAGAGGTATGGCAAGAATGGCCATATTTTTCGATATCTCACCTCCTCCCACTGCTTTTCGCGAATTTCTCCTTCCACTTGCATCGCTCGTTGCACCGCTGCTCCCGCGAGGCTGACGGACATAGCATGCTGCAAAAGGATCTCCTGCTGTCGAATCAGCTCCTTTGTATGCTCGCTCACCGCTGCTCCTGCCTTTTCAGCAGACTGTCGACTCCAATAGTCGGCCCTCGAGCGTTTCTTAGGCAGCCGTATTCCCAGATCTCGGCACTGTTTCGTAAACGGGCTATCCATGGCTGCACTGACGCGCAGCGGATGCTGACTGGTTGTTGTCATGCTCAGAAATCTGATTTTGCTAGTTCTCGAAAGTTCGTAGATGTGTGACGTGAGTGGCCGAGCTTCCTATCTTTCTACCGAATGCCAATATGTAATGTTCTAGCAATGTTACTCCTATGCAACTGCATCGAGGATGGTAAGAGCTGTCTCGCCTGGACGTCGCTCCTGGTCCCACAGATTGGTGTTTCCAACGTTGGAGTCTTCCAGGTTCGAAGCCCACAATCGAGCAGACTTCAAGGTTATCACCGTATGGGATTGCTGGCAAGCAACCTTGAGAGCATCCAGCCTCCAGAGGAAATGTTGGAGCAGAAACACGCCAGCACTCACCTGCCTCCAGCACTCACCTGCCGCAGCGCGTCAAACTCCAAGGAATTTCGCGCGGAACCCTGGCACGCGGTCCGAGACGAAGACCCAGCCCAGTCAGTCCCCAGAGAATGTGTTTCGAATTGGAAAAACGCTTTATAATGCCAAGTCTACGACAACTCTTTATCATGGTAAAGTTATGCCCGGAAACCTTTAATTTGAATCAATTTGCCTGATTGACCATGGGAAAAACATCCCTATCGAACGTTCGAGACATTTGATAATCTGCCCTATATTGAATGAAAAGAAGGCGAATAACAATTCCTACAATTCCTACAAACCCACCCATCATTCTCAGACCCACAAACTGGCAACTTCAATCTCAGCACCCATCCCATCCCAGCCAACCCTTTTGCACACTACAACTCCCCCCCTCAACCCCCACCCCACCCCCCTGAAGTTGAACAGCTAAATGTGGCTGTATGGCCAGCAGTTATTCTCGTCCTGCAGCATCTACTAGCTCTTCTTCGTCGTGCCCTTGGGCAGCACCTGCTTGAAGTTCACCTTGGAGCTGTACAGCCCAGCGGCCTTCCAGTTGGCAGGAGTGACGGTCGAGAGCGTGATCTTCTCGAGCGTGTGGGGCGCCGTGAGCCGAACGCTCATGGCCTTCTTGGCTCCCACCACCTGCTTGGCGTCCGCGCCCGCCACCCACACGGCCTTGCTGCTGTCGCGCGTGAGGTTCACCCACTTGCTGCCGTCCGCGCTCAGCTCCACCTGAGACAGCGTGCCAGGGCCCGCCAGCCCCACCAGCTGGATCTTGAACTTGTCGGCCGTCGCGTCGCGTCGCACGCGCACGGCGGATCCCGCGGTAGACACACACGACGTGCGCTTGTACGTGATGTTCACAGGGCTCGCCGCGTCGCCCTTCACGATCTTGCCGCACGCCACGCGCGACAGCGACAGTTGCTTCGCCGCCTTGCCCTCGCCCACCACGCGCACCGTCACCGCCGCCTTGTCTCCGCGGCACCGCTTCGTGTCGTTGGCGCACTGCACAAGGTAGCACGCGCCGCAGCGCTTGTACCACGTGTCGGGCGACAGCGTGGCGGTGAGCCCCATGCCGAAGTACGCGTTGCTGCTGTAGTTGCTGTAGTACTCGCACGACGTCGCCTTCCCCACGCCCGCGTTCTTGCTCAGCTTCGCCGTTGCCGCCAGAGGCTCATTCCCACGCCCGGCAGTCGCGTTGCCGGCAGTAGCTTTCCCGGCGGCGGTCGCGTTTTTGGCGGTCGCGTTAGCGGATTTCGCAGTTGAGATTCCGGCACTGGCGTTGGCGGGTTTCGCAGCGTCAGCAGCCGCGGCGGCGCCGCGCGCCGGAGCGAGAGTAGCAACGCAGCGGTGAGGCAGGCGAGGAGGAACAAGGCCTTGGCGGCGGCTCCCTTGCAGGGACGAGCCGTGAAGATCACTTCGAGAGTCGCTGAAATTACTGACCACGAGTGGTGTGCTAAAGTGGGAGGGTTTTCATATCGAAGCAATGCTAGTGCTACCCGTGGTATTGGTGATGAAACAAGCAGCATTGGCCGCTGTCTTTATACGCGTCTGCGCCTCCGACGGCTTCGGGGACGCTCATGTCGAGCCGATCCATCGTCAATTTCCGCGCGTCGCTACTGATTATGGCTCGTGTGGCTTGCTCGCCGTGAGTGGCGGCTGTGCGAGGTTGCAGTTGCGTGTCCTGCTCTCCTGTCGACTCCTCAACTTCAGATCTCGATGTGGTGCTGCTGCGAATGATGTTCTGGGCTTGATGGGGAATGTCCTTGGTCACGCACCGCCGCCTCACCCCCTCGATTGTTGGTTGCGAATTGGCTTGGCGGTGCAGCTTGGTTTGGCCGCCGCTACCCACAGCGATAACTTGTATGCGTTACAGAAGCTTGAAAAGGAAGCGGCAATATACATTCTGCAGCTGCTTACGTTCCTGCACAAGGGCGGTGAAACAGCTATCCCCTGAAACAATCCGAGGTACGATTAAACGGAATAATGTACACAGAATGACACGCCTAGTAAACATGCCAACAACTGCTCTTTACTTCTGGCATGGCTGTACCCATCACGATATCACTCAACATATTCCACTGGGAGGTTTGCTTTCAGGTAGTCATACACCCCACCCTCGATGTGGCGAACATTCTTGTACCCATTTTTCACAAGCACATTAGCGGCATTTAAAGACCTGCACATGCGAGCGGGCGGGGCGAAGGTACCATGGCATGATGGGTGTGCAACAAAACGGGAAAGCGATCACCATATTTCTTGAATTGCTCCGGGTGTGTAAGTGTCTTGGATTCCTAGTTGCTAAACCCACCTATTCCACTCCGCACCACAAATACAACCAAAGCCACACCCACCCACGGCCATTGGACATCTATATATCTCGGAAAAAAAAAAAAAAAAAAAAAAAAAAACTCGTTTTTCCAACTTCGCCTCACAAGCAGCTAAATTAAAATCCTGCAACCACTCACCTCGACTCCTTGCCGTACGGGAAGTTCTGGGTAGGCTTGAGTGTGCCGCCCGGCATGCACGCAAGGATAATTGGGGTCTCCTTGTCCGGAACTGCTGCCTCCACCTCTGCTTGCCGAGTATGGGAGGAGGGGGGTCAGGGGAAATGTGGGTGGAAGGGGAGCCCGGTAAGCGGAAGGGGAGTTGGGAGGAGAAAGGGGGTACGAGGAAGGGGAGTTGGGACGAGGAGCGGGGCTGGTGAGTATGGAACTCAAATGTAAGCAACGAGCATTCTCCTCCCATCCTCCACAAGATGAAGCTCTCACGGGCAAGGAGGTGGGTTCATCTTACATCCCCCTGCACAGAACTCTCTCCCCTTTCCTCTCCCCTCCCTTCTTCCCATCCTCTCCCCCCGTCCTCTCCTCTCTCCTCTTCCCCTCCTCCCCTTTCCCCTCCTCTCCCCTCTCCATTTTCCGCATCCAGCAGCAGTGCCACTATGCAGCGCGCACTATGCAGCGCACAGGACTGACGTTTGAGGAACTCGGGGTTCTCCTCGGTGCCGTTGAGCACGCCAAAGAAGGCGAAGGCGGCGCGGCGCAGCACGTGGTACGGCGTCCACTCCTTGATCAGCCGGTAGAACTCCACGCCCACCGCGCCCTCGGGGTGCACCTGCGCGCACACGCTCGCATGGATACGCGCAGTTGGGGTTCCGGGGGGTAGGGGAGGGCGAAGGTGACGGAGAGAGCGGGGTGGGACTCGGCAAAGGGCGGGAGCGGGGATTTGAAGGTTGGGGTCGCAGGGGAGAGGTGAGCGAGTAAGGGCGGGAGGAGAAGAGGTGGCTAAGGGGGGGGTAGAGGAGGGGCAGCTCGAGAAAGGGGGATGGGGAAGGACGGGGAAGGCTGAAGAAAGGAGAAGGCTGAAGGAATGGGGGAGGAAGAAAAGATAAACAGGTAGAGTGCCAAAGATTCTTCATCCACGCTTCTTCATACCAACCGCAAGAGGCCTCTCCCGCCTCAGAATTCCCCCCCTTCCCCCCCCCCTTCTCTTTCCCCCGCTTTCACCATCGTCCCGCATGCCCCACCTCGTTGTACTCCGCCACCGTTCTGACGTCAATGATGACGTGGCCCTCCTCCTTCGCAAGGCGCGCGGCTTCCGCGGGAGGCACGCCAACCACCTGGGGAAGGGGATGGGAGAGAGCGAGGAAGAACGAGAGGAAGGGGGGTGGGAGGGCGGGGAGGGGGGAAGTTTGTGGGGGAAGAATGATGGGAAGGAGGGCGGGTTGTTTGAAGCGACGTGAAGAGTACGCGCTTGTTCCGTGATTGCTCCGTGCTTGATAGCAGCAGGGCACCACCACAGACGCTCTTTCGCTTGGTTATTTTAACGGATGTTCTGGTGAGTTTACGTTCTGGACCGCGTTTTAAGGGGAGAGACACGGAGGGCAATCCGCATGGCTATGGCGGAGTGGTCACGCGTTCTAACGAGCGAGACGACTTTCCCCTCGGGATTTCTGCATCGTGGGGTTCATTCGTTCGTTTTAAGTCACAAAACAAAATATATCAACGGACGTCATGTTACCCATGTGTTCGTACGTACCTTGTTCTTCACGAGGAAGCTTCGCTTGTTTATCCAGTCGACCTTCCCTGCGCGGCGACGAAGAGAAGAAGAGCGGGATGGGATAGCCAGGAGTGGAAAGGAGTTGAGAAGAGTTCTGGGGCGAACCACAAGGATCCTTTAACACCCATATTCACGACACAGTAGCGTCGTAAGATTAAGATGGAAATGTTTGAGGAGCCTAAAGCATCCTCGCTAAAGCCCCGTAAGGTTGCGGTGAAGGGCAGCGGAGAGGAATGTCGCTCGAGGGAGCATTGCTGCGCACTTCGGGGCGAAAAGGAGCGCGTTATTGCCTTCCACTAGTGTGTTAACACTCACGAGCGAGACAAAGTGGACCACTACTAACCGGTGCCCAAGCGCGCTTCGCATCTCCTAACTAGCGCCTCGCAGAAAACGAGGAACCACGCACCTGAAGTCTTCGTCTCAGTAGCTGTCGCCGCCACCACCAGTGGCCGCCTCGCAGCCACTGATCGGGTGCTGGCGACTCGGAAAGGCGCGATGCTAGTATGTGGCCGAACGGACGTGACTCGGCTGCAAGGGGATTTGCATGCGGTGACGTAAATAAGGTCAGTTATTGAGCCAGCGGCGATGTAAGGTGGAAACGATTGGGAAATAGCAGCGACGCATCACTCAGAACCGGATTTGGAGGTACCTCGCTGGGCTAATGCGCTCACGCGAAACCGTGAAGCCAGAAACAGTGGGTAGTCTACAAGAAACGGCAGCCATGACGCGAAGGTTGCTGATTGTTCAGTTTACTGGTTACTGGGAATGCAAGGTAGAATGTGGCAGAAGAGGGGAGCAACAGCACGAAGAAAGCAAATCCGAATTGCGAAGAGAAGTACAACAATGAATTTGTGGGCGAGGAATTTATGTTGTCCCTCGTTCCCTGAGTTGAAGGAGCAAAACATCATGCGATGTGCTTTGCTAGTAAGCGAATTCAGGTCACGATGTTACCTCTCGTGGTTAGGAGCAAAACGGGTTTAGTTAGCCAAACCATCCACGTTGCGAAATCTGAGAGATCCTGGAACTGGAATATAATCTTCGCACCTACACGTGACGATATATCATTGGAAGAAAAGCGCGACCCCGTGAGCTGATTAATAGAAGCCTCGACAGATTCGCCAGCTAACTTCGGCTGATGTGAGTGGAGGAATTGGGCATTGAAATCCACGTGTCGGCCAAGTACGGATGGCACATATCGGCGCTTGCCTCGAAAATCTCCCGAAATTTTTACAAATATGAGCTTGCTTCCAATCTAGCTACAACACTAATGCTTTTCGGTTGGGGCTCTATTAACATAAATGTAATGAGAAAGGTCTACTCACAAGCCCCACCAATCCACCTAGTTCTTCAATCCTAGGTATGAGGTTTGGTTTCGGCATGTCTAGTCGCCACCATTCCCCTCATTGAACAAAAATGGTTCAGCACATGCACTTATACGGACGAATCAAGTGTATAACGCGCCACGTCGTCCTGTCAAATCACAGGCCGTCAGTGCAGTGGCATGCATTTCCAGGCACAACGATGAGGTACACTCAAGTTCTGTGATATTACGAAGAGATGGCTCACCTCTTCCCCACCATTCAGCTCTTACAGTAACACCCGCTTAGGCGCGTTCATATTATTGTGGCCGGTTAAGCCAAGAATGATGCCAAAAATATGTTAACGCTTATTGAGGCAACTCTGATCAAAAGTCCATCTGCTACTGCTGCTGCTGCTGCTGCTCCTTCCACTTGACCAGCTTCTGCAGAAAGTCCATCACCTGGTGCGACAGCAGGGACAAGAGGGAGAGGAGGGCGGGTAGGGAGAGGAGGGAGAGGAGGGGAGGGAGCGGAGGGAGCGGGAGAGAGGAGGAAGAGGACGGAGGCGATGGAGAGGAAGGAGAGGAGGGACGGGGGGAGAGAGTTGGAAAGGGGGGAGTCAAGGGAGAGGAGGGAGAGGAAGGAGAGGGGGGCGAGCAGGGAGATGAGAGACAAGAAATGGCCCCTGTTTCAAATCCATAAACTAAACAATCAATTTTCACTCACAGGCAAAATCATGGGTCGACACATGCATGCACCACCTCTAGTGTAACCCCTCAAACCTAACAATGGGCACAGCCTGACGTGCACTGCATGACTTGGCACGACACGGCATGGCTCTCCTTGGAATTACAACACATGTCCCAGTACACGATCAAACCCAACCCAGATCCCACCACATCCCCCCACCCCTTTCCACCCCTCTCAACTCCGCCCCAGCCCCCCCTGCCCCTCCCCACCACCTCTGACCACTCCCCACCACTTCCCATCCCTCCCTGCATGGCCTGCTCTGCTTCACCTCGGAGGGATCTCTGAGCGAGAAGGTAGCAGCAGAGGGCTTGGGTGCTGCGGAAACTATAATGCCACACCCCGACCCCCGCTCCTGCAGCATCTGGTGCACCCGGGCCGGGGGTAGGATGGAGGGAGATGAGGGGTCATGAGGGAAATGGGTGGAGATGGGAGAAATGGGGGAAGTTGGGGGGAGATTGGTTGAGATGGGGGAAATGGAGGGAGATTGGGGAGAAATTTGTGGAGATGGGGGGGTTTTGGGGGATATAAGAAGAGATGGAGGGAGATGGGAGAGATGAGAGAGGTGGGAGGGATAACATTGATTAAGAGAAGCCATCCCAGGCGGCAGCCAGCCAGAAGCATCTTACACGGCAGGCAGCCAGCAGCATGTGTGAGTGGCGAGTGAGGTGAGGGAGGTTACCTTGAAGGCGTCTTCATCGGTGCGGTCATCTCCAATGTACACCGGCAGCACTGAGTCGTCCCCACTCAGCCCTGTGCCCATGGCGTGTCGTGGCACGGAGAGGAGGGGGGAGGAGAGGGGAGGGGAAGGGGAGAGTAGAGGAGAGGGGGCGGGGAGAGGAGACGGGAGGGGGAGGGGAGGGGAGAGGAGAGGAGGGAGAGGTTATTTAAGACTGAATAATGAGGGAGGGTGGTGATGGGAGGGTTGAAGGGGAGAGGGAGCGGGAGGGGGAGGGGATCGGGAGTGGCAGATGGATGGGCCAAATCAAATGAATCGGCGGAGAGTTGAAGAGCTATTCATAGGAGGTGAGAAAGGGCTGGAGAGTGAGCGGCGCAGCGCAGAGGAGGGATGACGCACAAGAAAACAAGGAGAAAGCGAGGGAGGGAGCAGTGTGGCAAGGGAGCGGGAGTTACCGAGAGTGGTGAGGAGGTAAGCAACGGCCTTGCCCTTGTCCCAGTCCACCACTGGCCGGATCTCCAGCACCTGATGCCCCGTGGCACGTATGTGGTGGGGTGTGTGTGGTGGGGTGTGTGTGGTGGGGTGTGTGTGGTGGGGTGTGTGTGGTGCGGTGTGTGTGGTGCGGTGTGTGTGGTGGGGTGTGTGTGGTGCGGTGTGTGTGGTGGGGTGTGTGTGGTGGGGTGTGTGTGGTGCGGTGTGTGTGGTGGGGTGTGTGTGGTGGGGTGTGTGTGGTGGGGTGTGTGTGGTGCGGTGCGTGTGGTGGGGTGTGTGTGGTGGGGTGTGTGTGGTGGGGTGTGTGTGGTGGGGTGTGTGTGGTGGGGTGTGTGTGTGGTATGAATGGCCAAGTACATGGCAAGGGGAGGAGATGAGTGCGGTCGCGAGGGGACGGAAGTCGAGGGGATTAAGGGGGCGGATAGACTGTAGAGTAGAATACTTGAGGAGAATACTGAGTCCTGGTGGGTGGCACTGTGTGTGCTGTACGCTGTGTGTGTATGGTGCACTCAGAGCATGAGCAACTCAAGGGACCATGGAAAAACAAATGTGACTGGACCACCAACCCCGCCCTGGTTCTCCTTTCGCCACAGTCCAGTCAATGCAGTCAACTGGTCTCCAAGAGGCGCTTGTTCCACTCCACCTACTGGGCTGGGTACACACACGCACGCACCTTCCTGCCATGGCTGGTGCGCAGCTCGGGGTGCTGTGCCACCAACTGAGTCACCACCTCCGCCTGCTGCTCCCACAGCTGTTAACACCATCGCCGCCACCACCACCACCGTTGCCAGCGACAAGCGTTGCTCCCATGCCACCATTGTTGTGACCGCAGGAGGCCACATGACAGAGGGAGGGGGAGATGGATCACTTGGCGCATGAGGGCTTGGCGCATGAGGGCTTGGCGCATGAGGGCTTGGCGCATGAGGGCTTAGCAACAACAGCAGTATAGGTTTCGTTGAAGGGAGTGCAGCAGGGAGAGCAGAGAGAGCAGGACGAGCAGGAGGAGGTGGAACAGCGGGAAGAGCAATGGGCTGGTCACAGCACAGCAACTTACGAGCACGTGTCGATCAGCAAGAGGCGTGCGAGAGTGTGGTGTGGTGAGTGCGGCTGAGGCGTCTCAAAATTATAGAGCCTGCTCAGCATATGTCGTGTGTTGAAGCGTACTGAGCAGTAGCATTTGTACAAACACACACGCAGCACCCGCACACACACATACCCTCACCCACACACACCGCCATCCACACACATAATCTTCTCCCCCTACCCCCACATCCCCATGCACATGTATGTGTAAGTAAGTGCGCGTGTGCACGACACACGCCCACCCTGTCCCCTCACCTCCTCAGGCACGCGTCTGAAATGCACGCTGACGCAGAACTTGTTGTTCTCCACGTGCGCCCCCTGCACCCCTTTCAACCGCTCCCTCAGCTCATTGCACACCTGCGCACCGCTCCAAACCACACACCACCGCACAGTATTGTGGTGGTGAGGAAAGCGGTACGGAGCGGGAGACAGGGCGCGGAGGGGTAAAGGGCCAGAGAGACACAGCGACAAGCAACAGTGTGTGAGTGAGGGGTAATGACTTAACTAGCTCCCGTTGGGGGCCGAACAGGGAACTCCCTTTGCCACATGCCCCAGTGCCCCCTGCCCCATGCCCCATGCCCCATTGCCCCATGCCCCATGCCGCGTGCCCCATGCCTCCATGTCCCAAGCTCTGGATCCCATGATGATGTGGCAGCACAACTGGCTGTCACAATACCAACCCAACAGTAACTCTGACTAAGACTTCGAACCAAACCTTGGCAACACAATCTCTACAACAATTCAAACCGAAGAACGCTAAAAATGATTTACATTAACAACTGCCATGTGCAAAATAAGCACTACACTCACTATCTCGCCAGCTGGGTCAATTCGAGTTTCGACACGTCTCGGATTTCTCGACTCCCTGAGTCAAATCCAACCGCGCGCACCTGACTCATGAGCCCAGCGAACCGGCTGGCGGGCTGGAACAGCACCACGTGATGCCCCTTCTCGTCCACACTCTGCGCGCCTTGCACGTGCACGCCCTTGCTCCCTCCCCCCTTCCCCTTTCCGCCATCTCCCCCTCCCCCTACCCCGTTCTCTTCCGCGTTCCCTTCACCTTCCCCCTCCGCGTTCGCCTCTCCCCCTTTGCGCGCGGGCAGCATGATGTCCATGCCGTGGCTGCCCGCGTAGTAGAGTTCGGGCAGCTGAACAAATGATAGCACTTTCTCGCGCCCGCGCCCGCTAATGATAGCCGCGGGGAAGTGCGCAGCCACGCCGCGCACTGCCGCACGCATCTGACGCGGGAGAAAGATCGGGGGAAAGGAGGGGGGTTGGGTGGGGAAAGGAGGGGGGTTGGGTGGGGATCCCCGCCTTTAGGTTGGGGAGGGCGGCGGTTAATAGGGAAAAGGAAGGCGAGAAGGTGGAGGGGCGGGGAAGGAAGCTAGGGGCGGATAGAGAGGAAATGTAGCGTGATTGGCGGAGTGGCCGGGAAAAGAAAAGCGCTTTGCAGAGTGGCTAAGCTGTGTTAGGAAGCACCATTCCATGCACGCTAAAAGGGGGTGGGGCGACGGTGGGGGAGGCGGAAGAAGGGGGAAGGAGCTGGATGGAAGGCCGATGGCAGGGACTGCCAACCAGTCCGCCAGTCGACCAGTCCGTCAAACCGTCAGTCCGCCAGTCCGTCAAGCCGCCAGTCCGCCAGTCCGTCAAGCCGCCAGTCCGCCAGTCCGTCAAGCCGCCAGTCCGCCAGTTCGCAAGTCCGAACATCCGCTCGTCCGCCCGTCCCCCGATCCGGCAGTTCTTGCTGTTCTCCCGTCCGCGAGAGCGCTAAGGGAACGAGCCGCAGAGGCGAGCGAGTTAACGATTACGCTATCAGGGATGGGCGCCGCGGGGTCGTACCGCAGAGCTCATATAGGCTTTATCGGGGTCGTCCACTATCGGGGACAGCGTGCCGTCGTAATCGAGGAACACCGCGACCTGCCGCCCCTCCATTAGTGCCGCTAGGCGGTCGAAACTCGCGAGCGCGGAGGGGTGCTTCAGCTGCGGGGGGTAGGAGAGGAGGTTGGGCGGAGAGGAAAGGGGAGGAGGAGCGGAGGAAGGCGGAGAGGAATAAAGGGAGGAGGAGCGGAGGGGACGGTGATAGGGTAAGGGGGTGAGGGGGGAACCACTGAATGGCCGGAAGTGGGGGAAGGCTGATGTTTCATCAACGCGCGGAGGAGGACGGGTAAATGCGCGGAATGCGCGCAATTGGGGCGAAACGGGCGAGAGGGGAAGGGCTAGACGAACGGAGGTATGTTTGGGAGGGAGAAGGAGAGGGGAGAAGCAAGAAGGGAGAAGGGGATGGGGGAGGCAACGCCGACTTGGCTCACCATCCATGCATCGTATTGAGCTGCTTTCAACCGCTCTACATCTACCACCACTCCGTTGCCCACCATCACCACTCCCCCTCCCTCCGCTTCGTTCCCCAGCTCCCCCGCTCCTCCCCGATCCCCTCCGCCAATCGGCACTGCACCCGCGCTGTGGCGCAGCAGCGCGTCATCGGAGCAGGAGCCGCGTGGGGGAGAGAGAGCGCGCATTTCCGCCAGGCACGTGCTGCTGGCTGCGCCGTGCCCAAGCGCGGACAGCCGCGCCTGCAGGCGGGAAGGCACCGTGGGGGGAAGCGCGGGAACGGGGTCGGCGCGATCGGCGGAGGGAGCTAGGGCGGGTGGAAGGGCGGCGGAGATGATTGGCATGGCGGCCAGCGCGGGGCAGTGGTGGGGGGCGAGGGTGGGGGCGACGAGGGGCAAGGGGTCCGGGACATCCCCCATGATACAAATGAGAATATCGAACAGGAGAGTGGATGGGACCAGGCGTATATAGAGCCGGTGCACGGAGGTGTGAGGTGGAAACAAGAGTGGGGTAGCCCTAATTAGCGAGTAAAACGCGGGTTCGGCTGCCGCAGAATAGCTCGCGGGGGCTGGTACGCGCGCACTGCTCCGGAGGCCCTTTCGCGCTACTACTAGGGGCAATGGGTGCCTGTATAGTGGCCACCGCTCGATATGCTTGCGCAGCAACTGGCTGGAATGGAAAGTCTTAAATGCAGGACCAGCTGAGGCAGGTCGTATGCGCGAGGGTCACAATGCCGTGTGGTGCTGGCCGAAAGCGCCTGTGCTTCTACGCAACGAGCAAGTGTGTGGTAAAGCGCATCGGCTCCTGTTGCACAAAAAACTGAGAAGCGCAAGTGTGAGGCACTGATGATGAGTGACTTGGAACTCAAGCGTGCACACACTCTAGTGGAATCGACAGACAGCCTCCCTCCACCATGAACTAACGACAAGGGTAGAACGTCCGAATTGATTGTGACATTTGTGTGTTCTCACTGAACACCCGTGCTGCAATCTTATCTGGAGGAATGGTCAGCAAGAACGCCCGTCCCAGATCATCCTGACATTGCATTGCAATCTCAACCGAATAGGCGTGTTGGGAGTTGTGCGGGCCTTAGACTCTAGAGGAAACAAATGAAGTTGACTAGAGAGTATTTTCGGGATTCACTCAAGTTTAACAAGGCAGGGGTTTCAGGGAACCAGGAAGCGTATTGTACACAAGTTTTACAATGCTTGCTACAGTGGCTGCAAGCCATGTGGACTGTGACGGAAGAGTCACAGTGGAAACAGAAATATAGAAATACAGAACAGCAAACATCGCATCGTTTTCCTCCGGGTGTGGAAGTCGAACCGTGGTGTCATTTCTGGGAATGCCTTCAGAGATAGGCCAAATGTGCGAGATTCGAGGTGGGCACGAGTGGGTTGGTGGGAGGTTGTGTGGGCGGGTGTGGGATCTGACATTTCTGTAGCTTGGCCATGAACTGTTTAGGGTGAGTAGCAGACTCATCAAGGAAAAATGGACTGGAAGACCTGGGTGAGGGGAGAATTGGCGGGAAGGCAAAAGAAATGGCTGGATAACTGTCCCCCGTCAGCGTGATTGGCGGAAAGGTTAGGTTAGGGTGGAAAGAAATGGTTGTGTGGACGTTGATGGGGAGTGGCAAAAAGCGCTTCGGGAGAGTCGCAGAGGATTAGTGGCTGTTGGTAGTCGTCATCGCCGTAACCGTGATGGCGCTCAGCTCGCAGGGCATCGTATTGCATCCCCTTCCTCCCACAAGTCAGAAGCGGATGAGGTGAGGTGGGACGGTGCGACCGCGTCTTGGTACACTCGTTGAGGTGTCGCTGATGTGGGACCAATAGTTGCGAAACTTGCTGAGGTGGCGACAGGTAAGCGAACAAGCAGAAGTTGGATGAGCCTCAATATCCAATCTGAAACGGATGAGATGTACAGTATGCCATGTGGGATGACCGAGGACATCGGCTGGATAACGCCTGACACAAACAAATTACACCTGATGCCTATTTCAGTCCCCTTCTCCATCTTTCCCTGTGCTCCTCTCTCGAGCACGCGCCAGCTAGGGGCAGAATGGGACTGAATGTAGAACAAAGGCGACAAACTCAACTACAGTAGCCAAAATTGTGGATAGCCCAACCTGTTTTGTCTGGGAAACTCGAATATCTTGGGTTTGTCGTGGGTCAGTAACGTTCGGGCCGTTGGCTGTGAATGTCGACCACTGGGCGTATGGAGTGGCATGGGGCATGTTCAGAGTGGGCGGTTGGGTGAGCATTAGGGTGTATCACTGTTTTGCCACCATCGGCTCCTTTCCACTACTCCCATATACACTCCCCACTAACTCGGTTACGACCGCTATTGTTAGTGTGCATCTGCCTCATGTGATGTATACTTTCAATTTAAAAAAAAGGCCTAAACTGTTCCCACCAGTCATTCCTCTAAACAAGTTTTGCTGTAATACATTATGTTAAATCTTAAGATTTGCTTGAAAAAATCTTTATCTGATTGTATAACAATTCGTCAGAATAGTTATGTTATTGTGCAATAAGAATATATCGTTCGAATATATAATAAAATATTAAGATAATGCAATGGTGAACTAGAAGAGTTTACTTTATCAGCAAATTGCAAAAATGGGCTGGCTTAGTTTGGGACGGCCTGCTTGTAAATATGTTGTGAAGTATATAAGTTCATGGATGAAAGAAGCTATTTCGGGTTACAGCTTCCCCCTACTAGGGACGGATGCCTCGCCAGCGAGGTAAGCGGCCGAACCACACCCAAGCCTACCAAACCTCTGACAGGTTCTGGGAGCGCCGGCAAATCCCCGCCACGCTTCCGTGTGTGTGCCTCAGACCCCTGCCTCGGCGAAACCAGCCTCACCTCACCACCACGACTTCCCCCCCACGACCACGTGCGCACTGGCGGAGTTTTGAGCGCGCTCCGCTGCGTGCGCGCACACACATCTGCCCACCTCATTGCACATCTCATCCCATCCCACCCTTCACTATTCACTTCAACACACCTCATCGACGCTATTTCACTAATTATTCTTCCGTACCATATGCACTTGTAGCTCGCACTCCCGCCCACAACGTCGCGATCAGCGGAGATGCGGAGAACATGACCGCATTTTGCGGATCTTTGTTGGGCATTCGTTGTTACACGCTGGAGTATCGTAGGGAGTTAGGAGATGGGGGGTTCGTAGGCCTGGTCACACGGCATGCGCAGTCCTCGTTCGTGTTAATCCAGGCATAGTCCACCCGTAGTACGACGTCGCCACTCACGCCACCACTCACGCGACCACCGCCACCACTCACTGCACCACCCACAGCACCAGTCACAGCGTCGGTTGTACTATTTGGGTGTCGCCCTTGTGTCGTCCTTGCTCGTTCGTCAATCGTTCGCTTCGTCGTCGCTCATTCGCTTTCGTCAACCCACAGCCGCGGAGCGAGTGAGCGGTGACGAAAGGGGAAGTGAGTGGGACGAGTGAATAGAACGCGGCACGATGGGAAACCAGGCTAGCATCGTCAATTCCATGGCAGACAAAATATTCCCCAAGCTGCCCGACGAGAGCGGGCAGCCGCAGCAATCCGCGCAACAGCATCCGCCTTTAATCCCCCCCCCAGCCGACATCCTCACCGGCGCTGCTGCGGCGGCGGCGCAAGCGGCGGCGGCGGCAGCAGCCTCCGTTCCCCCTGTCCCCGCGCTCTCCTCCATCTCCGCCTCTCTCGCCACCCTCGCGCGCGCCCGCAGCTCTTCCGCCTCCGCATGGACCAGCAGCGCCGCTGGCGGAACGCCGGACGGCGGGGGGCGCGGCAGCGGCCGGTGGGCAAACGGGATTGGCGGAGGCGGAGGTTGGGGGGGCGCACTGGGCGCGGGGGCGCTGGGGGGAATCGGGTACATCGGGGGAGTGTTCGGGGGCGGGGGAGGAGCGGGCAAGGCGGAGGGGGGAACAACTATGGGCGGGAAATTCTGGTCGTCCGCTGCCTCGGCCGCGGCTGCCGCCGTAAATCACGCCGCAGGCAACGCTGACGGCGCCGGGAGCGGCAGCAACGACGGGGGCAACGCAGGAGGGGACGAGGCGAGCGGGAAGAGCGGCGGCAGCAGCGGGGGCGGGGGCGGGAGCGTGAAGGAAGGGGGGAAGGGGAAAGGTGGAAGCGAGGGCGGGATGGGCATTTTGGCGTTTGAGGTGGCGGCGGCAATGCTGCGCGCATTGGAGTTGTGGGAGCTGCTGGATATCAAACACATGGGCCCTCTCAAACACACCCTCGCTGTACGCGGGGAAAGGGCATGGGCACGGGGAAGGGGGGAAATGGGGAAGAGGAGAGGGGCAGTGGGGGTTGGAAGTTGGGGTGTGGATGGGAAGTTTAGATTGGGGGCTGGGGATGGTAGGGTTGGGTGTGGTAAGGGGAGGTTCGGGGATAGAGGAGTAGGTATGGATAAAACAGGGAGTGCAAGTGGGGTGTGGTTGCATGAATGGTGGGGTTTGTAGTGGCTGGTTCGCTCTCACTCCTGGTTCCCTCGGGCGCCTGATCTGCCTTTTGCAAGCAGGGCTGCGAGCACACTGCTGCACTGCCGTGTCTCACTGCGTGTTTGTGTGCATGTGCGCGCGCGTGTGTATGTATGCATGCGTGCGCACGTGTATCTGTGTGCGTGCTTGTGCATGTGTGCGCCTGTATATGTATGTGCGTGTGTGCACATGTGTGTGTGTGTGTGTGTGTGTGTGTGTGTGTGTGTGTGTGTGTGCGCGCGTGCGTGTGTGTGTGTGTGTGCGTGTGCGTGTGCGTGTGTGTGTGTGTGTGTGCGCGCGCGTGCGCGGGTGCATGTGTGTGAGAGCACAGGCGGAGGGCGTGGTGAAGCTGATAGCAGGAGACGATGACTTGAGATGGAAGCTCGCAGGTACGCATGCTCACTTCCCCTCCCACCTTTCCTACCCCCCTGCACTGCACCCAACCAAGCCCACTCTTCCTCCCGCCCCTCTCTTCTCTCACTCCCCTTCACTTCGTTTCTCAACCTTCCCACTGTTACGTTACCAGCTGCCATTCCGAGAGTATCCATCCATACCCTCACTCCCGTGGTGCACTGCACTGCACGCCGGTTTTTAGGATTCACAGTTGAGCACAACCGCCTTCCTCCTGTCCACCTCGTTCGCTCTCTCTAGACTCCCTCTTTGTCCCGTCCCTGCTCTTCCCCCCAATCCTTCCCCACATCGACCCCACTAAGTGCTCCCCCCTCATTCCACGCACCCCCACAGGTCGAGAGTGCACATATGAGCGGGAAGTATTATCGCAGATGGAGTGCACATGCCCCATACTGTGTATCCCTCACCCCCTTTCCCCCCCGGTCTCCCCCGGCTCATTCCCTCTTTCCTTTATTTCCTCACGCCCTCGTTTTCTCATTCCCTCATAACCGCATTACCTCATGCCCACATGCCCTCGTGCCCTCATCCCGCATCCCCGCAGGTCTAGAGCGGGCGCGAGAGCTGGGGGTGCTGGCGCGGATGGTGTGCATGCTGGGCAAGCGCTGCAGTGACGTGCGGCTGCACGGCCTGCCACAGCGCCTGGCGGACCTGCAGGCGCAGAGTGCCGGGCCCAACGCACTGCTCTTCCACCCCAAGGAAGAGGCCTTCCTGCTCAAGTGCGCTGCCACCTGCCACCTGCCACCTGCCACCTGCCAGCTGCGAGCTGCGAGCTGCGAGCTGCTCCTTCCCCCCCCCCCCTCTTCTCCCCCCTCTCTCACGAAAGGTTCCCACCCCCCCGTGTCAAGTTTGTTTCTCGGCTCGCGTCTCCTTTTCTGAAGTTTGTTCATGGCACGCCCTGCTCAGAAAACTTCTGAACAAACGTGCTCCCAAGTTGTTGCTGAGAATTTTCAAAAGCCACCTGTCTTCGCCCTGCTCCCAAGTTCTGAGACAGCTAGACCCCGATGCGTGCCGCTGTTGCACTCCAAGGAAGAGGCTTTCTTTGTCCACCTCGCTGCTCTATCTCGGGTTGTGCGATTTGGGTTGGGGTTGATTCCCCCTTGCATTACTCAAGTCTCATGCTATCCCTCCCAGCCACCAACCCTTGTGAATTCTGAAACGTTTCAGAAGCGTGCCCCTTATACGCACTCAAAAGAAGATTCCCATCTTCCACCCCCTCCTCCTCGGCACGGCATGGCATTGTACGGCATGGCATGGCACGGCATGGCATGGCACGGCATGGCATGGCACGGCAGGTATTTAGAAGAGATGGTAGCAGCAACGAGCACGTTGCATCTTGAGATGACCACCCTAGACAACCTCCTGCCAAGGCACGCCCCCTCACCTCACCCCCTTGCGCGCTCCCATTGCCTCCTTCCCTGATCACTTCCCCTTCCCTCCCCTTCTCTCCCCTCCCCTCGTCTTCCCTCCTCTCCTTTCCTTCCTCCGCACCACAAATCTTACCCGTCCTTTCATCCTCACTTACTGTCTCTTACGTGTTGTCCCCATCCCCATCCCCATCCCCATCCCCATTCTCTTTCCTTTTCCGTCCCCGTGTCTCCCACGTGCACCCCATGTATCCCCGCGTCCCCCCTGCGCCTCCCTTTCCCCCGCTTCCCCCCCCCCCCTTGCACGCCTCGCTCCGCCCCTCTGTCCCCCCACTCCTCCCCCCTTTGCCCCCCCAGTTCGCACCCGCTGCGGCTGTCACGGATGGTGCGGGAGGGGCTGGGAAGGTCTGGCAGCCTGGGCGTGGGGGCGCTCTCACAGGACCGCATTCAGGGCCAGGTGGGCGCATGGCAGGTGGGCGCATGGCAGGTGGGCGCATGGCAGGTGGGAGGGGGAAGCGTGGAGCAGAGTGGGGAGAGGCGGGAGGGGTAAGTGAGGGAGGGGGAAGAGAGGTGTGATTGGGGGAAGGGGACAGGTGGCGTTGTTGTGGTGTGTGAGAGCAGGACCAGGAGGTGAAGCTGTGAGTGATGGTGCGTGTGACAGGTTGAAGCTGTTTGAGAGAAATCAATTGACGCCTGCTTCCATGTGATGATGCTCCTGCTCCCCTGCGCTCCCCATGCCACCATGCCACACCACGCCATGCATGCCACACCACGCCATGCATGCCACACCACGCCATGCATGCCACACCACGCCATGCATGCCACACCACGCCATGCATGCCACACCACGCCATGCATGCCACACCACGCCATGCATGCCACACCACGCCATGCATGCCACACCACGCCATGCATGGCACACAGATGAAGCTAGTGGAGCGGTTGCAGAAGGAGTCACTGTGGTGTGAAGACTTTGACAAGTCCGTTCTGGTATGCTCCACTCCACCCCTCCTCCTGCCCCACCTGCTCCCCTCGTGCTGCTTGTGGGCGTCTCTTGCTCCCCCACCAACCCAGCTTGTGTGCTCCCCCACCAACCCAGCTTGTGTGCTCCCCCACCAACCCAGCTTGTGTGCTCCCCCACCAACCCAGCTTGTGTGCTCCCCCACCAACCCAGCTTGTGTGCTCCCCCACCAACCCAGCTTGTGTGCTCCCCCACCAACCCAGCTTGTGTGCTCCCCCACCAACCCAGCTTGTGTGCTCCCCCACCAACCCAGCTTGTGTGCTCCCCCACCACCCCAGCTTGTGTGCTCCCCCACCAACCCAGCTTGTGTGCTCCCCCACCAACCCAGCTTGTGTGCTCCCCCACCAACCCAGCTTGTGTGCTCCCCCACCAACCCAGCTTGTGTGCTCCCCCACCAACCCAGCTTGTGTGCTCCCCCACCAACCCAGCTTGTGTGCTCCCCCACCAACCCAGCTTGTGTGCTCCCCCACCAACCCAGCTTGTGTGCTCCCCCACCAACCCAGCTTGTGTGCTCCCCCACCAACCCAGCTTGTGTGCTCCCCCACCAACCCAGCTTGTGTGCTCCCCCACCAACCCAGCTTGTGTGCTCCCCCACCAACCCAGCTTGTGTGCTCCCCCACCAACCCAGCTTGTGTGCTCCCCCACCAACCCAGCTTGTGTGCTCCCCCACCAACCCAGCTTGTGTGCTCCCCCACCAACCCAGCTTGTGTGCTCCCCCACCAACCCAGCTTGTGTGCTCCCCCACCAACCCAGCTTGTGTGCTCCCCCACCAACCCAGCTTGTGTGCTCCCCCACCAACCCAGCTTGTGTGCTCCCCCACCAACCCAGCTTGTGTGCTCCCCCACCAACCCAGCTTGTGTGCTCCCCCACCAACCCAGCTTGTGTGCTCCCCCACCAACCCAGCTTGTGTGCTCCCCCACCAACCCAGCTTGTGTGCTCCCCCACCAACCCAGCTTGTGTGCTCCCCCACCAACCCAGCTTGTGTGCTCCCCCACCAACCCAGCTTGTGTGCTCCCCCACCAACCCAGCTTGTGTGCTCCCCCACCAACCCAGCTTGTGTGCTCCCCCACCAACCCAGCTTGTGTGCTCCCCCACCAACCCAGCTTGTGTGCTCCCCCACCAACCCAGCTTGTGTGCTCCCCCACCAACCCAGCTTGTGTGCTCCCCCACCAACCCAGCTTGTGTGCTCCCCCACCAACCCAGCTTGTGTGCTCCCCCACCAACCCAGCTTGTGTGCTCCCCCACCAACCCAGCTTGTGTGCTCCCCCACCAACCCAGCTTGTGTGCTCCCCCACCAACCCAGCTTGTGTGCTCCCCCACCAACCCAGCTTGTGTGCTCCCCCACCAACCCAGCTTGTGTGCTCCCCCACCAACCCAGCTTGTGTGCTCCCCCACCAACCCAGCTTGTGTGCTCCCCCACCAACCCAGCTTGTGTGCTCCCCCACCAACCCAGCTTGTGTGCTCCCCCACCAACCCAGCTTGTGTGCTCCCCCACCAACCCAGCTTGTGTGCTCCCCCACCAACCCAGCTTGTGTGCTCCCCCACCAACCCAGCTTGGTGTGCTCCCCCACCAACCCAGCTTGTGTGCTCCCCCACCAACCCAGCTTGTGTGCTCCCCCACCAACCCAGCTTGTGTGCTCCCCCACCAACCCAGCTTGTGTGCTCCCCCACCAACCCAGCTTGTGTGCTCCCCCACCAACCCAGCTTGTGTGCTCCCCCACCAACCCAGCTTGTGTGCTCCCCCACCAACCCAGCTTGTGTGCTCCCCCACCAACCCAGCTTGTGTGCTCCCCCACCAACCCAGCTTGTGTGCTCCCCCACCAACCCAGCTTGTGTGCTCCCCCACCAACCCAGCTTGTGTGCTCCCCCACCAACCCAGCTTGTGTGCTCCCCCACCAACCCAGCTTGTGTGCTCCCCCACCAACCCAGCTTGTGTGCTCCCCCACCAACCCAGCTTGTGTGCTCCCCCACCAACCCAGCTTGTGTGCTCCCCCACCAACCCAGCTTGTGTGCTCCCTTTCCACACACACCACAATCACGCTGCTTGTGCCGTAGCCGCTGTTTGACCTGTGCCGTTGAACTCGCTTTGCCCCTCCCTTCTCCCCTGCGGCCTTGCTGCCAGTGCAACACCCCTTTCGTCCAGTGTGCAACTGTGCTGCTGCCTTTGAACCTCCCACTACCCTACCCTGCCCTTCCCTTCCCTCCCCTGCCCTCCCCTCCCTTCCCCTCCCCTCCCCTCCCCTCCCCTCCCCTCCCCTCCCCTCCCCTTCCCCTGCCCCTGCCCCTGCCCCCCCAGCTGCTAGCAGCAGCGGTGGTGATCCTATCGCGCCGCCTGCGTCTGCTGTTTGGCTCCCCCGAGGTGGATGCGCAGCACACGGCGCACACGCTGGGGGAGCGAGGCCTCGCACTGCACTACGCGCACACGCTGCTGCTCGTGGAGCGCATTGTCAACAAGCCCACCGCGCTGCTGCGCGTGCAGAGGTGAGGGGGAGGTGCGTGGGCGAGTGGGTATTTGTGCACGATAACTGAGTCGACTCCACGACCATCCCTCACTCCGCGCACACGCTGGTGCTCGTGGAGTGGACTGTCAACAAGCCCACTGCGCTGCTGCGCGTGCAGAGGTGAGGGCGCCTGTGGGGGTGTGGGGTGTGTGGGCATGTGCGTGCATGCGGGCGTGAAATTAGGGCGGGTTGAAACAGCATCCGTCTGTCACTACGCGCACACGCAGCTTCTCTTGAAGTGGATTATCAACAAGCCCACCGCGCTGCTGCGCGTGCGGAGGTGAGGAGGGGGCGTGTGGGTTCCGCTCACTGTGCTGTGCTGTATCAATCTTTAGTCTGTGTCTGTCTCTATACCAACACCTTGCTGGGTGTTTATCCACTGAATCTTATGCCATCTCCCCTCATTCCCCCCCGGGCATGACCTGAATCCCGGCAGTTACCAGGCAATGTGAAGCACCAGCTGCGCGTGCAGCTGAGCCAGCACGTTCATTTATTCCCACCAGCGCGTGTTTCCATGCACCTCTGCGTACCCACTAGATCTTATGCCATCTTCCCCCATTCTCCCCCAGGGAGGACCTATACCGGCGGCTACCAGGCAACGTGAAGCACCAGCTGCGTGTGGGCCTGAACCAGCAATTTCATCTATTCTCCTCCGTCCTCCTCCTTACCTCCTCTCAACATCCTCCCCTCCTCCCCCCTCCCTCCCCTCAGGGACGACCTATACCGGCGGTTACCCGGCAACGTGAAGCACCAGCTGCGCGTGCGGCTCAACCAGCGCACGCGCCCCTTTGACATCGAGGCAGCGGCGGAGATCCGGCGCACGTTAGAGTACATGCTGGGGTGGCTGCTGCCCATGGCGCACTCCACTATCACGTGGCAGACGGAGCACAGCTACGGGTGTCATTTGAGTAAACGCCACCGCACGCTGCAAGTGCAGGTGGGGTTGATGGGGAGAAACGGGGGGATGGGGAGGCGTGGAGGGGGGGGAAGGGCTGGGTTTGTCTGGGTGGGTGCGTTGGAGTGGTTGCACTGGGATGGAGTTGTGGGTGGTTGGGTTTGGGGGGGGAGGTGGTTCAATTCAAACCGGGGAGTACATGCTGGGGTGGCTGCTGCCCATGGCGCATGCCACTATAACGTGGCAGACGGAGCACAGCTACGGGTGTCATTTGCGCAAACGCCACCGCACGCTGCAAGTGCAGTGCAGGTGAGGCTCGGTGTGCGTGCAGGCAGGTGCGGGGGCTGGGGAGGAAGGGAGAGGGAGGGAATGGAAGGGCTGGTTTTAGTGCGACCTCAGTAAACGCCACGGCACGTGCAGGTGAGTTGAGTCCGGTGTGTTTGGTGGGACTACATATTATGCACATCTCGTACACACCCCTCCCCTCTTCCCCACTCACCCTCCTCTCTCCACTCACCCTCCCCTCCCCACTCACCCTCCCCTCCCCACTCAACCTTCCCTCCCCACTCGCCCTCCCCTCCCCACTCACCCTCCCCTCCCCACTCAACCTGTCCTCCGCCCCCTCATTGTCCTCCCCCTTCCTGCTGTCCCACCCCTGTCGTCCCTTCCCCAAGACACTGTACTACGCGGACAAGGACCGGTTCGAGGTGTGTCTGGTGGAGCTGCTGGTGGGTTTGAGCTACATCTCGCGCCCCCCCGGGCTCACCAACCTGCAGCCCGGGGAAGAGGGCCCCTGGCGCCTCTGGCTCACCACTGGCGGACACATTCCCCCTGTTGGCGCGGATGGGCGCGTGGGGAAGGACAGGGGGCGCGGGAGGGGGGAGGGGCGGGGAAGAGGGGAGGGGAGAGGGAGAGGGGATGGGAAGGGGCGAGGGGAGGGGCGAGGGAGAGGTGGGGTTGGGAGGGGGAGAGGGAGAGGGGTGGAGGGGAGAGGGAGAGGGGAGGGGAGAGGGAGGGGGGTGGACGGGAGTGGGAGGGGAGGGGAAGGGAGGGGGATGGGGGGAGATGAGCGAGGCCGGATAAGGGAGGAGAGGGAGTGGGGAGGAGAAGGGAGAGGGGCGAGTAGCAGTGGTGGGGAGAAGAGAGGGGCGCAGGGGGAGGAGAAAGGGGCGGAGGGGAGGGAGGGAGGTGAGAGGCGAGTGGGAGGGAGTGGGACGGGAGGTGGGGGTACTACAGGCGGAAGAAAGGAAGACAGTGGAAACAGTGGTGGTGCTGATGGTGCCACAAGCGCGGCGGGGCAGGTGGGGTGCGACGGCGAGGGTGGCAGGTCAGGTGTAGAGGGATCAGCGGATAGGCCAGGAGGCACTGCTGTGCAGGGAGGGATGGTGGGAGAGGCAGCAGTGGGGAGGGGAGCAGGGGGAGGGGGGCAAGGTGCAGAGCCAACGCAGCAAGGTGATAGAGGCGGCGGTGGGGGAGGCGGCGATGGGGATGGGGATGGGCTTGAGGGTAGGAGCATGGGGTGTGCTGTAGGGGCAGGGGCGTGTGCAGGGGGGGGTGGAGATGGGGAGAGGGAGGGGCAGGGGTCAGGGGCAGGTGCGGCATGTGGGGAGGGGGCGGGGAGAGCAGCAGGGGAGGGTGGAGGAGGGGAAGCAGCAGGGGCAGAAGCGAGGGCATGTGGGGAAGTTGCAGATCATGCAACCCCTGGAGGTGATGCTGCTGCTGCTGATGCCGATGCATGCGCTGATGGCAATGCTGGTGACGACGGTGGTTGTGAAAAGCAGCTTGGGGTTATTGCTGCTGTTGCAGCACTCACAGCACCGACTGCTGAATTCACTGAATCATCTGCAGCAGCATCAGCACGGGGAGCAGCATCACAGCAGGGTGCAAGGAGTGGGGAGGCAGAGGATTTAAGTGTGTCGGAAGGGGAGGGGTTAAAGCGGGAAGGGTTGTCAAGTGGAGTGGGTGGGAAAGAGGCCAGTGCAGGCGGGTTGGGAGGAGAGGGAAGAACTGGTGGTGGCGTGGGGCTTGGGGGGGGTGCTGGATCACCTCCGAACACACACGGTGTTGGAGGGGAGTGTGGGAAGGAGAGGCAAGGGGGTGGCGCATCGAGCAAGACTGAGGAGGGAGGCGATAGGGATGGGAGTGAGGAGAAGGGTGGCTAGGGGTACAAGTTTGTGCAGACTGGTGAGATATGGCAACGTTTTGCTGGGGAGATGAAAACAGTCATGATTATTACCGTATGAATTGGACTTAGTGGACATTACTGCTTCTTGCTGCATGTACTGCTGGTAGTACTAGAGCTCTGCGTGGTGGCGATGGGGAACCTTATATGGTATGCAATGATGAAGTGAATGGCATGGCAATGATGGTGACATGCTGATTGTGATGCAAAAAATAATATCCATAATATTGTAATGAACAAAGCTACAGAAGTCGTGGGGGGGAGGGGGGGGGGGTGTGGTTCCGCGCAGGTTTCCTGTGTACCTCACTGTCCCTGCAGGCGTTTCGGGACACCTGTCGCATAAACGAAGATCGTGCAGTCTCCCACTTTATTACACACCTTACCTATTCCGTCTCCCACCCGTAGTCTTTGTCCAGCTTTATATTGGAATATTTACAAGAATGTTAACTCACAATACCCTACATCATCAACAGGAACTAGCCCGGAGACTGCATGTGGATGAGTTGTAGTGCATGTTAGCCTTCCATAAATTACTTGCAGGCATCGATGGGGTGTGACTGACAAGTGCAGCTGTTTGTGATGAGCAAGATGGCTAGCTTGTCTTGCAATATTGCTGCACAAAGTTGGAGAATGGAGTTGTGGTAATCAAAGTTTTCCATGATCCCTTGTAGTTGTGTATGTTACGTGTATTGGAGCAAGTGTGGATGAACCTGGCGCACAAAACCTCATCACGACGGATACTGCACTGCAAGACCTTGGCAGTGGGTGGGACCCTAGTTGTCGAGTATGTTGTCGTTTCATGCCAGGCAATCTCTGGGCGGCGTCAATCACAACCGAATGAGGTTTTGCTTTGCAAGAGGCAGATCTGTACAACGGGCGGACGTGGAGAGAGACATTTTTGTTTTCAACCTGCCCCATGCTCCTTACTCCCGCTCGGGTAGCCAGGACATATTTGTTCCTGAGTGTAGTGCAGGTTCCACCTAGCTCATTTTTTGTTCGATGTGTTGTTGTTGCTGTTGTTGTTTTTTTTGGGTTTTTTTTTTTGGCTTTCGTGTTTTGCAGCACGATAACACGGGTACCTTACCGTGTTTTTGTTGCGGACCTGGGTTTGGGGTACTGTGGGCAGCTGACCATTACTGTGCACCTTTATTTCTGACGAGTGCCTCTCATTGCAAAAAGGAAGCACCATGCCAGTGTCAACGGCAAGTTCAACTTATACAATTGATGCCTGTTTGAGACCCTCCCGGTTGCTTTGTGAAGAGGGCGTATAATCTGTATCGTGCACTTCGCATAAGTTTCGTCAATTCGCAGCTGGCTAAAAAGAATTCGCAGGAAATTATATTAAGTAACTGTAACCTTATCCGTTGAAATTTTGACTTCAGTCTCTTCAGTTTGACTGCGGTCTGTTCGTTACTATTGGTCCATAACCACGCGACGCGCTTGTATCGTGGGTGCAACAGGCTGGGGAAAAGACCTCGGGTGCAGCGTTTCCATCCGGTGCAGGGCAAATTCGCGTGCACTGGTTGGGCATCATGTGTAACGAAATAGTGCCAGAGTAGGACAGTGTGTAGTTTGCATTTTGATAGACATGTTGGGGCGACGCTTAAAGTTTCCGGTCAGAACATCACCTGCAGCCGAACACTGGTGTCCACTGTGGTTCTTCTCCGGTGGGCCCCCAATTACTATTTGCGATGGGCTGCAACAGAAACTTTTGGGGAATTTTACGGGAAGTCACAATTATAACCAGTTTATCACGTTTGGTTACTGGGGTATCACAAACAGTCACAGTACAGTAGATTTCTATCGCGCGTGATAACAGCGCTATCACGCATAGTCACACCTTGCCCCGCAATGCTATCACGTTTGGTCACTTGATGAAACTATCATAAATATTCTGAAACCCCAAATGAAACTGTAGAGATTTTGGGAAATCACAATTTTGATTGCTTGTTACCTCGCACATGATTCACGCCTGACATCTAAGAATGAAAAAAAAAACCCCTATAGGATGGCACGGCCTTCGGGAGGCATCAACCCTAAACACCTTGCGACAAGGTGTTTAGGGTTGATGTCTCCCGAAGGAAATCCCATCCGAATGGGTTTTAGTTTTTTCTTGGGAAGCAGAAACAACCTTCGAGTTTCACCGGTCTAAAAGTGATATTCTTAGGGACATTATGCATCAATCGATCAGCTGATAATTGAACAGTGACAATGCGCAACGAGCTAACTTTCTGATGTTGCCGAGAAATTGCATATGTTTTTAGCGAGTTAACGAGAGTGATCGCGAAATAATTTCGTACGTAACAGCGTCTCGCAACACTACGGACAAAACGGCGCGCGTGATAAAAAAAATCCCCTGAATCCCTACAGTGACTCGAGTAGTTACATTTTTTCGATTGGGCGTTTCATCCGTGACCAAACGTGATCGACTTGTGGGGCAAGGTGTGACTATCCGTGATAGCACTGTGATCACACGCGATAATTACGAAGATTACTGTGACTTTTTTTGTGATACCCACAAGCCCAAACGTAAACAATCTGGGAATAACTATGACTACCTGTATAATTCCCCGAAACTGTTGCCCATGGTCCCATTCGCAGCTGAATTCGTCCCATTCTCTCACGCGCCAATAAGTTCCTCAGATTTGGCCAGGCTGTCATGCCCATCTGCCTACATTTCAAGCTTGTCTCACTCTCCCTCGTTGATGCAAACGACGCAAGCCGACAGCGGCGGAAAGGAGTGTCGTGTCGATGCCACCCACCAGAAAAGTATCACAACACAACCAGGCCAAACCCTAGCCCAACATGTGCAAATCCGCTCGTTCATCAACCCGAATCCACGATCGAGACCGTTGAAATGGATCCTTTCTCCCACCACGCCCCCGAACAGCTCTGTCGTTTACTGTAGCTACATTGCCATTCCGGCGTGGACCAATGGATTCCGGGGGGAGAGTTTACACACGAATGGCAGAACAGGGTCGTCGGAGGCGAGAGAAGATACTTTCTTCCGCTCGTCCCTCCTCCAGCTTCCCCTTCTCCCCCGTCGCTCCCCCTCCCACACAGCCATCGTTTCCGCCTCTGCCAGTAACCTCCAATCCGACAACTGCTACAGCAAAAGCCAGACTTTGCAACTGGTAACTAGGGCCGGTCTCCTCGTCTTCTTCGAGGGTTTTCACCACTCCACGTCTCCGCTTCACCACTGCCTCCATCTCTGCTTCTCCCCCCAGCCCATTTCAACGGGCTCAGAGTTCAAACTTCCGCTCTTGTCCTTCCGCTGGCATTCACGAAGTTTGTACGTGAGATTCCTAGGGTTGTAGATCGCCTTCAGCCCACGCCACCGCAGCTTCAGCACATTCGTTTTCTTCGGTGAAACGTTTTCGTAATCCCCAGGAGCTAACTTCATGCCTCACTAATGGATCCTCTTTATCCCCGCTGCTCCATTATGCCGGCGTCAATGGCTACCGCACACTTAGACCTGGATTCCAGCGCCGCGCGCATGCTTATGGCCGATTACGGCGGCCTGACCATGTCCCAGTTGCACCCGCAGTTTCCGTACCGCAACATTTGCTCCGAGTTTCAGCACCAGGTGCATTCGCACGAGGACCTGGCGGGCAGCAGCGCCGGCTTGCTCCAGCAGCACCAGCAGCACCAGCTGAATCAGCGGCAACATCAGCCGCATCACGAGCAGCAGCAGCAGCAGCAACGCCAGAACCACCTCATGGAGGCGAAGCCGCAGCGAGCATTAGATCCCAATCAGGCTCGCCCGCCCGGTGGCAAATACCTGAGCCGATGGACGTCGGAGGTAAGTTCCACACCCATTCTGGTTGCTTTTCGTTCGTCGGGGCTTATTCTCTCGCTATTCCACCGTCGGTATCACACGGTCGCACTACCCCGCCCACGCGTGAGTCCCACGGCTCCGTACCGCACCGTCCTCCACTATAGGCCTCACCTGTTTCCCCATTCCCGCGTCTTTCTGTGTGTGCGGCGTGTGTTGCGTTGCGCGCAGGAGGACGCGATTCTTCTCGCGCACGTCACGGCGCACGGCACGACGAACTGGGGACTGCTCAAGAGCAGCGGCCTGCTACCGTACCGCGACAATAAAGCGTGCTGCAACCGTTTTATTCTGCTAAAAAAGTACGCTTTGCGTTGCCTCGCCTCGCCTCCTCACCCCGCCCTCACTCCATTCTTAATCTTACCTGTTCTTATCGTCATCGCCTCGCGTACTGCCTGTTTCCTTCCCTCGTTCTTTCGCGTCAACTCTCCGTTCTTCTCTCCTCCCTCCCCCCCCCCCCTCCCTCCCCTCCCCGCCTTTCCCGCACTCCCTCCCTCCCCCGTTGCCCTTCGCAGGAAGTTTCTCGAGCTCTCCCCTTCCGCGGATGCCGCCATGTCTCCCGCGCTTCCATCGTGGGCGGACGCCCCCAAGGCTCCTCATGGCTCCGCGCCCGCGCCATCCGCCACCCACCGCGCCGGCTCCGGCCCCACTCGTGGTGTCATGGCGCAAGTCGGGACCGCGTCCTCTCCCCTTCCCCCGCCTCCTGCCGTCGCCTCAACTGCGCCATCTGCCGCGGCAACCGCAGATATAAAAGTCGCCAGCGGACCCGCAGCCGCCGGTTCGTCCGCCCATCCCGCCGCTTCCGCCTCAGCTGGCGGCGCAAGCGGAAGCGCGGAGGTGCGGAGCGCCAACGACGAGCCGAAGACGCAGCAGGAGATACCCGGGCTGGCCTCCGCTACGTGCAGCGGAACCGGGCGCGGCAGCGGCGGGTGCGGAAGCACCACTCTGGAACCGTGCGTCCCCGACGACGACGCGGATGGCGAGCAGGCGGGTTCCGCGGAGGTCCTGCGGCCGCCAGCGCTGTTCGATATGAGCGCGCGGGGGTCAGCGTCCGCGACCGGGGCGTGCGGCGCGACGGGCGGAGCGCAGTCGGGGCTGGAATGGGAGACCACGGGGCTCAGCCACAAGCGGGCGCTGTCGGAAGGCGGGAGCTTTATGGCGGCCGGCGCGGCGGCATCCGCGGCTGCTGCCTGTGGCGATCTTTCCGACATGAAGCGCCTCCGCCGGTTTGTCTCTGCGGCGCGTTCGCCGCTCCGCGGGGATACGTCCCCGCAGGGAGCCTATGGCGCATCACTGGTCTCCGCCGCGGACGGCGCGGGCGCGCCGCGCGCTATGTCGGTGGATGGCAAGTCGACGTGCGGGGGGTCTGCGACTGGCACGCCTGGCGGGAGCACTGCGACGACTGGGGGTGGCGACGTCGACATGGACGTCGCAGGGGTGGCGGCGACGGCGACCGCGCCGGCGGCGACTAATCCGTCTGCATCCACGTCAGCTGTTTCAGCGCCGCGGCACTCCGACGGAAGACGCACGGGGCTTGGATTATCCGCGTCAGCCATTCCTCGCGCCGCGAGCGCGTATCAGGAGACCGCATCCGAGGGTCTTCCGCGCGCGGCGTGCAGGGCTCTTCCGTCCGCTAATATGCGGTAAGCGCGAGTCGCGGAGGATTTATTGCTCGATCTCTACCACTTCCGTCTCGTGGTTGCCCATGTATCCCGCCCGTCTTTTCCGGCCTTTATAACCTCCTCTGTATATCGCCTCACCATTTGCTCTCCTGTCCCTGGGCGTGCCTGTGCGCTCCCCTCTCTCCTCTCTCCTCCCCCATTGTACCCCCTTTCTCTCGTCCGCGCAGCAATCTCTGCAACATGCTCGGTCTCGACGCCACCGCGCCCTCGCTTCCTTCTGCCACTGCTTCCGCCGCGCCCGCCGCGGAGGTCCCCCCCGCGCAGTTCCCCCTGCCCCCCGCGGGCCCTTCCGCCCACGGCCAGCGGCGCAGCAACAGCCCTCTCCAGCACGCCTCCCTTCGCAAGCACCACACGCTGCCGAACCACTCTGTGCCGAACCTGCTGGCGAAGCTGCGGCGTAGGCACGGACATGGCTCGGCAGGGGGAGCTCCTGGTGCGCACTCGGGGGGCTCCGCCTCTCCGCCCCTTGGGAGCTCCGCGGCCAATGTGCGCCAGCTCATGAAGGCGCTCGGCCTTCCCCCCGTACCCTCCCCGCCGCAGCCCTCCCTGCTTCACGCTGCAGCCACGGCGCCCACCGCTCTCCACCGCAACGCACCTGACGCGGCCGCTGCGACTCTGCCCGACGCGACGGCGCTGAGCAGCGTGGTGGGCGGGCTGCAGGCTCAGCTGCACGCGAAGCAGCGGCGGCATCTGCAGGCGCAGCAGCAGCACGCGGATCCCTCAGCGCTCGCGGGCAGCAATGCCGGCGCGTTCGGGTTTCCCACGTCCGTGGACGGGCTGTTTGACTGGATCTCCCAGCCTGTTGGCTCCGACTCCCCCTCTTTCCACGCTGACGCCTTTGCAGCGTGCGTGGGCGGCGACTCGGGCATGGATCCTGCTGCCCTGTCCGCTTCGTCCGCCTCTGCTGCCGCGGCTGCAGGGGAAGGCGGGCGGAGTCGTGTGGGCGCGGACGCATGGAGGAGTGCAGCGGGTGCAGGGCTGTGGATCGGCCCGGGTGGGGCTGCTGACTCGGTGGGAGCGCTCACTGCAGGGCTGCCTGGGGGCCCCTGCCTGCCCTCCGCAGATGGCAGGGCCCCCATCGGTGGCGGGCACTCGGTAGGCACCATGCGCTCGGCGTCTCCTTCGCTCACTGCCACTGCTGCCACTGCCGGTGCTGGCGGCACCTCTGCTGGGGCGGCGGCGTGTGAGGCGTTCAACCTGTCAGTGGTGCGGCAGAGCTACTTGGAGTCGATCAAGGAAGTCCAGGGCGCGGCGGGCATTGCAGACATGCTCTCAGGGACAATGCCTCCCTGCAAGCCCAAAGGAGCCTTCGCTTTATCTGCTGCCGGCGCTGCCAATGCCGTTCCCACGGGGCTTGGTGCAGCGACGAACGCTGGCACGGGCCTGGGGAGTAGTGCTGTAGCGGATGGTGGAGTTGGTTTGTCTCAGGAGAGGGAGCTGTTGCTGCTGCAGCAGCAGGAGCAGGAGTTGCGGCAGGAGCTGCGGCTGCAGCAGGAGCAGGTGAAAGCAGAGCGAGCCTGTGCACCTCTGCAGGATGCGAGTCCGTTTCTTTCCACAGGGCAGCTGATGTTCCTGCAGCACCAGCAGAGCCAGCAGCAGCAGGCTCGGATGCGGAATGAGGCGCAGGAGCATGCAAAGGCGCTGAGGCTGTCACAGCTGCAGCAGCTGCAGCAGCTTCAGCCGGGTGATGGGGGAGGGGGGGGGGGTGGATTATGGGGTTCTCTTGGAGGAGCTGCTGCGTGAAGCTCAGGCGGGCCAAGTGGATGGGGATGGGCATGGGCCCGACCACCTTCTTGAAATGATGTCATCCTGATTCCCATATGTCATCCTCCAAGTCAACTTAAGAGGGTGGCGGCTGCTGGTACCAAGTCGTTTCATCCATGGGGTCGTTGATACGGTACTGCTTATTTCTTTAATATGTTTTGGTATTGCGTCATAAGGTTCAAGTCTAGCACAGTTGTCATTTCCTCAAACCATAAGGTTGTGGGCTGTATTTTAGGTCATTGCTTTGTGCTTGATTTGTCTAAATATTAGATAGAATGTGTCTACTTGTCTGTTGATCTAGCTAGACATTTGATAAATAGTTGGATCCAACCCAATTCCTGAATCCTCCAATCAGCAGCATCCATACCGCGACGCCAGCCTACAGCGCGCTAAGCCACACGCCAGACTGCATGCAAACGAGCGAATGGTGGCAATTCGGCTTGCAGGGAGGCAGGAGGAGTTTTCCCTACTCTCGCCGCGAGCACCTGCTTTGGGCTCTCTTGGGGTTGGATTCTCTCTGGGTTCCTGCGAGTGGATATGGTGACGCGGCGAGCCGATCAGTGCAGTGCGGTTTGGCGTGAGCCTTCTTGGGGGGTCGATAGCAGGAGAGAAAAGCTAGTGCAGGTTTTCCTGAACGGGCGTGCTTTGGGGTCACCCTGGGACTGCCGCGCGCCTCTGTGGTGCCTTTCGAACTGCGCAGCACCAGAGGGCGTCCGTCACGTGCAGCTCGCCACCCAAGGATGGCGCGCAGCCTCACGCACGCACTGGGGAAGGGGGAAAGAGAGCGAGAGTATGGAGGTTTATTATCCCGAACCCTCCTTGCCTTCTGCACCTCCTATTCGTACCGTTTCGCACGCCGTTCGTTCCGTTCGCTCAGTTCGCGAGCGTTGTTACTATCGAGGTTGGAGGTCTCCGCGGGGACTTTTGCGTCAGATCGTTCACCGCAATTACCAATTCGTGAGCGGGATTGTGGCTGGTGCTGCTGCTGTCCAGCAGAGCGCGGCCCGCCATGGCGGCGTCAAGGAAGATGCACCTGGAGATGGAACGTACGCTGAAGCGAGTCCAGGAGGGGATTGACGAGTTCCAGTCCACGTGGCAGAAGATGGACGAGGCCACTGATGTACGCACGAACCACACGGAAATTATATAGAGTAGTTTATTCTTTTGTTTATTATGTTAGGGAGTACCACTGACGACGGGTGGCGGTGCGTGTGGTGCGGCGAGCAGGTGACGAAGAAGGAGAAGTTCGAGGGGGAGCTGAAGAAAGAGCTCAAGCGCCTCCAACGGTAAGCCAGCCGCTGCACCCACGCCCGTCTGATCGGTGCCTGGTATGTTTCTAGTCGGTTCCAGTCGGCTTCCGGTCGTTTTGAGGTCGGTTTCTGGTTGCGACCTAGACATGGAGGCTGGGAAACAGTCCGATCTATCTGTAAGTCCTTTTTTCATATGCTTGTTAAATCTCCACTGATGGAAGTGGGCCTGGTCGGCAGCACCGCTTTAAGCTGCCAAGTTCACGCCAATCCCCTGGTTTCCAGTCCCAACTCCGGTGCCAGTCCTGGTCTCAATTCCAAGTCCCGATCCCTGTCCCGGCTATTCCCGGCAGTGTGCGCGACCAGATCCGGTCATGGCTGTCAACGAGCGAGGCGAAGGCGCATCTGGAGGAGCTGGAGGCGGCGCGGCGACAGATAGAGGTGGAGATGGAGCGGTTCAAGCAGTGCGAGAAGGCCAGCAAGATCAAGGCCTTCTCCAAGGAAGGACTTGTGCAACAGGTGCATGCGTGCTGCTCCTGCTGCTGCTACTGCTGCTGGCGCTACTGCTGACCCTGCCACGTCCAGAATTTAAAGTGGTGCTGATGATTCAACAGCATCATCGTTGTTGTTTTTGTCGTATCAGCGTGACATTGCTTTAATTGTTGTGCCTGCCCGTGGCGTTCGCGTGCGCACTTTGAGCATTTCCAAGCCCGAGCATTCTCAAGCCTGCTCCTGGCGTTCGCATGTGGTGAGTGGTGTGTGTGTGTGTTTGTGTGTGTGTGTGTGTGTGTGTGTGTGTGTGTGTGTGTGCGCTGTGCTGTGAGTGTGGCAGCCCCGGAAGGACCCATCGGAGAAGGCAAAAGTGGAGGCAGCTGCGTTTCTGAAGAAGGTCAGTTGCATGCTTCTGTGCTTGTCTGCTTCTGCGTTTCTGTGTTTTCTTGCCTTTGTGCTTGTCTGCTTGCAAATGTTCGCTACAGATCTCTGGATTCATTCTTTTGGGGCTGGTGGTTCTAAGCATGACTATCCGTTGTTCTGGTGTGTGTGTGGCGGTCAGTCAATGGATTCTCTGCAGGTGCAGATCGATGAGTACGAGGCGGAGATTGAAACCATATCAGGTACCGCTACCTACACCCACCCACCACTTCCAACGCTCCCAGCGTGCCCAGCGTGCCCATTGCTCCTACCGCTCTTACCGCGCACAAACACTCCATTCCTTTCGCTTACACTATGGCCCTCATCACCTGGGAATGCACTTCCCCACTGGGGCTGGCAGGCGGCAAGACGGGGAAGAAGCTCAACGCCAAGGTGCTGGAGCTGGAAGGCCACGTCACCAAGGTATGATGGGCGGCCCCTGTGGGAAGCATGCTGTAGCTTCCAACTTATCTGGAGATTTCTCAAAGGTATGTGAAGTGCAGGTGCTAGAAAGTCATGAATCTGTCTATTGTATGTTTCCAACACGTTCCTGCTAAAACGTCCTGAATTTACAGGCTTATGCTGGTATACGGGTATGGGGGCATGGGGGTGCGGGTGCTGGAACCAGTTTTCATGGCTAACAGCTGCCCCTCCGCCTTCCTTGTTACCCGTTCCTTCCCTGCAGCATGGCTGGCACAAGACCAAGTTGGATCAGGCAAGTGGTCTGCAATGGTGTGAAGCTGTATGGTGTCATCATGCACATGCCACCATGCACATGGCACCATGCACATGCCATCATGCACATGCCATCATGCACATGGCACCATGCACATGCCATCATGCACATGGCACCATGCACATGGCACCATGCACATGGCACCATCCACGTGGCACCACCCACGTGGCACCATCCACGTGGCACCATGCACGTGGCACCATGCACATGGCAGCTGCATGTGAGGCTGACTGAAGAGTGTGGGCTGGGCATGGCGGGGGGTGCGGTGCACTGCAGGTGCTGCGGCTGTTGGAGAACGAGGAGATCGCGCCAGAGGACGTGGAAGCACTCAAGGAGAGCATCTCCTGGTACCTCGACATGCACCAGGTGCCAATGGCCTCCTCCCACACACAGCACATCTCAAATATCACACGCACCGACACACACGATCCGTGTATCCTCCGTGCGAGCATGATCCTTTTGTTATCTTAACAGTGTGTGTGTGTGTGTGTGTGTGTGTGTGTGGCGGTGTCCCCTCCACCAGGACGAGGACTACATGGCAGACGATGCGCTGTACGATGACATGCCTTTCCACAAGCTCTTTGGCAAGCTCAACGACGACTCCGCCGCCTTCTCCACCAGTGAGTCACCGCACCGCACCGCACTGACAACACAGCTTCATGCCTGGTGGCCATACTCTCATGGTTTTCCTATGTTGCTGCCTCTGAAGAGAAAGGAGCTTGTAAGTTCTTATTTTCTGATATACTCTGCTGTGCCGTGCGCCTTGGGACTGTCGCCGTGCAGGTTCCCGCACGCCCACGGCGTCTATGAGTCCACACACCTCGGCCTCCTCCTCGCCCTTCTCCTCCACCCACGACTCCCCACCCAAGGTGCCCGTTTCCCCCACCCCCCACTCCTGCTCCTTCTCAATTACTCTTAAGTTGATACAATTCCCAACCCCCTCCACCCCTCTCCTGTTCGATGGGTGTGACCTTTGAGGCGACTCAACTTTCCCCATTTCTGTAATTTCGTCACGTCACACCACTAGACGGAACTGCCTGTCTCTATTCGGTTGAAGTTGTTGTTGCTGGAAGCGTTCTCTAGGCGATGGCAGGGACTGACGCATGTGTGCTGCTGTGTGCTGTCTCTGTTCAGGAGCTTGCCAGCCCTCAGATCGGGAAAGTGAAAGGTATGTCAATCCATGCCTGTCTGTCAAACCCCTGCCCCTGTTTCAATTGTGTATCCTGGCTCATCATACCAACCAGCCAACGTATTACGCGGTCCAACCCCCTTCCCCTTTCCCGTCCTTCCCCCCTCCCCCCTCCCCCAGCAGCACGTCTGCCATCTGCCCTGTCCAGCCCGCGCAAGGACCCCAGGCTCGACACCTCCCCCCTCTCCCCCTCCCCCCTTTCCCCCTCCCCCTCCGCATCCCTCCTCGCCTCCTCGCCCCTCAAGCCCTTCTCACCGCTGCCTACCGTTTTTGAACCTGCTACAAGCACCACCACGGGCACCAGCAGCAGCGCCACGAGCAGCCCTCTCTCGCGTGTCTCTGCCGGCATTTCTGCTGCTCCAGAGCGCCATTTCTCGGCGTCGTTTCGAGCCCAGCGCAAGGGGGTAGACCAAGCAGGTGGTGGAGAAGGGGAGATGAAGGGGAAAGCGAAGGCGGAGGGGGAGGCGGATCGGCAGGAAGGGGGAGTGGGAGGGCGAGGCGGAGGCAAGGAGGGGGGCGGTGGGGCGGGGAAGGGGGCTGGTGGGGAGGCGGGGTGGGAAGTGAGGGGATCCGCGCAGTCGTCACCTCTGTCAATCCAACTGGGGGATGAGGAGGCCGGGGAGGGAGAAGCGAAGCGCAAGGGTGGAGCGCGGGAGAAAGGTGTGCCTGGTGGGTTGCTCTGGCTTTCATACATACCGAGTCGCGTTTCATGTGTTTCTGCGCCTCAACCTTGACTCCGTGATGTCTTCTGCTAGTTCTCAAGAACAACTTCCCGCTCATTCTTGTCCCGTTCCGAAGCTGAATCTGGTTGCCGTGTTTCTTTTCCCTGCAAACCGCCCGTGTGCAGAAGCATCCATTGCAAAGGCCGTCCAGGCGGAGAAACCAGTGGTGGTGGGGGATGAAGCGGAGGGGAAGGAAGCTGCCACGGGCGCACGGGACGCAGGGAGAAGGAAGGCAGGGAGATTAGGAGTCGAGAGTAGCGCAATGCTGGATAAGAGTAGCAGCAGCGCTGGTAGTCTGATGGGGAAAGTAGGTGGCAGTGTTGGTGGGAGTAGTCTGGTGGGGAAGAGCGTAGAGAAGGCACAGGCGGGTGGGGGTGGGGAGAGGGAGGAGCGGCGGGAGAAGGAGGCGGGAGGGGCGGTGGGGAGGGGGGACATGGGTGGGAGCATTGCGTTTCTGCGCTCGCTCACGTCCATCCGCTCTGCTGCACTCGCTGCTGCTGCCGCTGCCTCGGACTCCTCTGGGGCTGCTGCAGCTGGTGCTGGTGCTGCTGGTGCTGGTGCTGCGGGTGTGGGAAGGAGCGGCGGGTTGTTGCAGCAGGAGAGGGGGCAGGGAGCAGCACCCGCACCTGCACCCGCTCCTGGGAAGGACCGGCTCACTAAAACAACCGTCGCTGCTGCTGCCACTGCCGCTGCTGCAGGTGCTGCTGCGGCTGCTGCTGCTGCTGTGGTTGGAGGAGGTGTGCATGGCAAGGGCGCTGGTGCAGAGGGTGGGGCGGAGGGCAGCAGCAGTAGCGTTCATGCGCGCACTCAAGATACCCCCGCCCTCCCCTCGGAGCTGCTGCTGTCCAGACCTTCGTCTGCTGGCCCGTCCAGCCCTGGAGCAGCTGAAGGTGAGCCACTCGTGGTACCTGTGCGGAGTCTCTTAACCTGTACTTGCTCGCTTCCTTTGCGTGCTTCCTGGCGGGCTTCTTTGCTTGCGTTCTCGCAGTACAAATCGCCACATGTGCTGTGGGCCAGCAGAGCCACGACCGTTTGTCAAAGCTTAGCCGCTACTGTGTGATTCCGTTTGTGCCCGCACCTGCTGTTGCGCCCCCTCGGGCTAACTGCCATGGCTTGTCATGCCTCCTCCCTGTGCGCCGTACTTGCTGCAGGCAAGCATTCATCGCTGCTGCTGCGGCGAGCAGCGTCTGCAATCACAGTGGACTTACCCGTCCTCCCAGACTCCCTAGACTCCCTTGCTGCTGAACCCCCAAACCCCATTGAGGCTGCTGCTACTGGCGTCGCCACTGCATACCTCCCCACCTCCGCCCCCGTTCTCCCCCCACCGGCAGCCGCGTCAGGGGGAACGCTCACCTCCCAGGGCGCCCCACTAACCCCTAATACGATCAGGGGAGCTGGGGCAGGTGGGGCGTTTCCCTCAGGGGCTTTGGATGGGCGGCAGCAGGGGGCATGGGCAGCTGGAGTAGCAGGGGCAGGGCAGCACGGAGTGGCGCTGCTGGGAGGTGGGCATTCGTCACTGGTTCAACCGGGAAGGATGAGTAGAGGGATGAGCCAGAATGACCTTCAGGGTGTCGCTTCTGCTCCTGCTGCTATTGCTGCTGCTGCTGCTGCTGCTGCTGCTGGCGGTGTTGGTGGTGGTGCAGCTGCAGCTGCTGGTGCACCGCTGGGGGCGGCAGCAGGGGCGTGGCAGAGAGCGCCTGCAGACATGCCTGCTGCGCTGCAGCAGGTGCCTCCCAGCCTTTCGCGAGTGCTGATGCAGAAGCTGCAGCACCAGCACCTCATGCAGCAGCATGCTGCACTGCCGCTCCTCGCTCAGCAGCAACAGCAGGCGCAGCAGGTGCAGCAGCAGCAGGCGCTGTTACGGCAGTTGCCAGTGCACCCGGGGGCCCAGGGAGGTGTGCTGCCATCGCTGCAGCAGAGCCTGCTGGCTCAGCAGGCGCAGCAGATGGCTCTTGCCTCTCACAAGCTGCAGCAGCAGCAGCAGCAGCAGCAGCAGCAGCAGCAGCAGCAGCAGCAGCAGCAGCAGCAGCAGCAGCAGCAGCAGCAGCAGCAGCAGCAGCAGCTGGCGCAGCAGCAGCAGCAGCAGCAGCAGCAGCTGGCGCAGCAGCAGCAGGAGAGGGTGCAGGCGCAGCAGATGTTCCAGTCGTCCCAGCTGGTGCAGCCACAGCAGGTGCGGGCACCAGTGCAGGCCAACCAGGCACCGCAACCCCTCCCACTGCTCCCCAACCACCCCTCCCTCACCGCACTTGACCGCACCCAATCCATGCCCGTGACGGGGCTGTCACAGGCTCCGCCCCCTGCCCCTATGCGGCCTCCCTCTGCATGGGGTGTTCCGTTGGGGGGCAGTGGTGGGCCTGCCCCCTCCCCCTCGCCATCCCCCTCCCCTTCCCTGTCCCCGTCCCCATCACTGTTGCAAGCCACGTCGCTGGCTGCTGCAGCATCAGTGGCGGCAGCAGCAGGGGCAGCTGCTGGGGGCCATCCGGGTGGGATGCCTCCTGCTGCTGCTGCTGCTAGTGCTGCTGGTGCTGCTGCTGCCTTTCGTGCTGCTGCTGCAGGTGCACAGTTGCAACCAGTGTGGGGCAGAGCAGGAGGAGCAGGAGGAGGAGTAGGAGCAGCAGCAGGAGGAGGAAGAGCAGCACTGCCACAAGCTCCAGGCACAGCAGCAGCGGCAGCAGGAGGGGGAGGGGTTGTGAGTGCAGGGGCGGGTGGAGTGGGGGGTCCCACGGCACGAACACCCTCTCCAGGTGCGTGCTGCTGCCGCCAGGTCACTCCACTTGCCATGCCCACTGCTGCGGTGCCTGCGGTTTCTAATTGGCTGTAGTGTGTGGACATGCATGAATTGCTGTGTGATACTTGCCCATGCGCACTCTGCGGGGCACCAAGGTGGGTGGTGGGGCGGCACGGTGGGTGGCGGGTTGTGTCTGGGCTGTGCTGTGTGTTCCCCATTTCCACTGATGCGCCGTGCAGCAGGTAGGGCGGGCGGATTCATAAAAGAAGGGTACGTGACTCTTGAGTTGCCCCTCACTAAAAAATGTAGGTGGAGAGTCGACTGTTGAGGCGCCTCAAAATTAATAGTGGTGCTGCGTGTTCCCCACCCCATTCCCTCCTGTGTGCGGGGCAGCAGCATGGGGGGTGGAGCGGCGGCGGGAGGAGGAGCGGAGTGCGCTGCTGTGTGGGTTCCAGCAGATGCGCGACCATGGCATGGATGACCGCGTGCTCACGAGCAGGTGCGCATGCTCGTGCTGGGCCCAGGGCCGAGGGCGGAGGGGAGAGGGGGGTAGGGGCGAAGGGTGGAGGGGGGAGGGGATAGTGGCGGGTGATGAAGGGGAGTGGGGAGTGGGGAGTGGGGAGGGAGAAGGGAGAATGAGGGATGGGAGAGGGCAGAGGCAGAGCAGGTGGGAATGGGTGGTGAGGGGATTAGATGCATGTGACTTGCTGCAGACAGCCCTCGTTGAAGCCTTGAGGGACACCTTCCACCCACACCACACCTTCACCTGGCCCTTAGTCCTTCCCTGCACCACATTCCTGCTCACTCACTCTTCCCCCTCCAGCCTCTCCACACTCTCTCCCCTCTCCCTTTGCTATGTCTTCCCCCTCCCTCCGCTCACCCTCCGCCCGTCCTCCGCTCTCTCTCCCCCACCCCACCAGCAGTGCACCGAGTGCAGTGGTGCGGCCGGTGCGCCCGTGTGAGGTGCCAGCCATGTGGCCGCACAAGCCCATCGCACCGGAGCATGCGCGGGCGCTCTTTGAGCGCCTGGGCATGGACGCGCTCTTCTTTGCCTTCTACTTCCAACAGGTCGCTCTCTCTCTCCTGCTCTCCCACTCCCTCACTCTCCCGCTCGCCCTTTCACTCCCCTTCCTGTCTTGCTCGCATCATGTGTTATGCAAGCCCCCACAAGGGCGATCACTTGCCATTGCATGCATGTGTCCCCGCACCTTGCCATCCACCCAGTCATCCCCTCCTGTGCCGCTTTGAAATTCTCGCGCCACTCCCTCACTCCCTCATCCCGATTTGTTATGTTATGCGGTGCGGCATGGCACAGAGCACGTACATGCAGTACCTGGCGGCCAGGGAGCTCAAGAAGCAGTCGTGGCGCTTCCACAAGGGCTACAACACCTGGTTCCAGCGCCACGTCACCCCGCCTGTGAGCCCCCGCTGCCTGCCCTGATGCTGCTTATACTGCCCTCTCTCTCTCTCAACTAGACTTCCATGTCAATGTGGTGGCAGGTAGAATCATCGGAACAGCAGAATGGAATTTCTATTTTGGCTCCCCTTCCTCCCCATTCCCCGCCCTCCTCTCTTGCGCTAACCGCAGGTGATCACAGAGGAGTACGAGAGGGGAGGCTATGTGTACTTTGACTTCCACCTGCACGCCCCGCACCCCTCCGACGCACAGCCTGGTGTCTCCACGGGCTGGTCAGCCCCTCCGCACCCTCCTCTTCTTCTGCTCTTCCTCGTCTTAGTCCTCTTCTCTTCATGTTCATCTGCATGTTCTATTCTATCTTCTTCCTCCTCCTTGTCCTCCTTACCGTCCTCTGCAAACTGCGTTTTGCAAGTTTGCCCCCTCTAGTTCGCAACTGTGACGTCAGTGCAACAAGCCCCCCTCCCCTCCGTCCTCCCCCCTCCACCCCGCACCTCCTGCCACGTGTCGCCCTGCCGTGCTGCCAGGTGTCAGCGTGTGAAGGACGACTTCATGTTTGAGTACCAGCACCTGGAGGACGAGCTGGATGCGTGACGCAGCAGGCAGTGAGCTGGGTGGTGGGCTGCTGCTTGTGTAGTGCACTTGTGCAGTGCATGCAGGAATGTGGTGAAGTACGGTATATGTGTTGGGTTCACCTCAGCACCTGAGAGTTGGGAAACTTCTTTCCGTTTCTTTTTTGGTAGTTGGAATGTACATATCAAGATCTACGGTACGGTAGCTTTTGAGATTTACGTGTTGATCCTTGCATATGCGACAATCCACATGACGATATAAGCATGCATTGCTAGTCCATCCGCGTTGGCAAGCCCTTGGCTTGCACTTTGCAGAGATTATGGCGAGGGTTACTTCTGCCAAGGTACCAGATTCCCATGTGAATGCATGACTGATGTTCCGAAATAACCATTGTTTTCAAATAGTTTTTGCGAGCCGTTTCACAGGCATCCGACCATACGCCACACCACCAGCCATGCTTTACCCAACATACGGGACCAGTCCTCATAACTCATCCACTGCTTCTGCTGCTGCCTCCCCAGCCTTGTCACTTGCATCAGCACCCGAGGTGCCCTGCTCGTCGGTCACATCCACGAGGCCGCCACCCGTGGATGGCGATATGGTGGCGCTCACTCTGATGGCAGGGAGTCGTGACATGGTTGCACATGGCGCGTGGGCACGATAAGGTGGGGAGAGGGAGGTGGGAGAACCATGGGAATGGGAGAACCATGGGAATGGGAGAACCATGGGAATGGGAGAAGCGGAGGAGGGTGGGACGGGACGGCAGCAGGAGATGGTGTAAGGAGAGCGGGTGTGCAGGAGGGTATCCAATCCATGGGATTGGCAGGGGTTGCAAGCTTCTGTGCTCCTAGACTGTGGGATGTGTGTGTAGCTGTGGAGATTGCTGCAGACGGCGCACGACAACCCACGAAACAACACACACACTGCAAGCAGAACTGGCTTCTGAGCCGTCTCAAAGGACATTTCAATGAAGCCTCCCCCACGAAAACACCTTGATAAGCATTCTCTTACAGATTCCATAGCCCGTGTTCACAAGGAAGTAGCTGTTTCGTGCACTCACCCACCCAGGAGGGTGGTGCGATTCCCATCCCAGTGCGGGCACTCACCCGGAGGAGGGCGAGGAGCCATCATCGGCAGCGAGCACCTCGCGCTGCAGCGCCTTGGCCTTGCAGCTGCCTGTGATGCGCGCACACAGCAGCGCCGGCACGTCCGCGTCCATGTTCAGGTCGCCTGACCGCAGCTGTGCCGTGATCTGTGCTTCAACATGGGTGGGGAAGACGGCGCCAGGTGGGGCACAGCTGGGGCTTTGTGCGCGTTCCTCTCTGTGTGTGTGCGCATTTGTGCGCGTTCCTCTCTGTGTGTGTGCGCATTTGTGCGCGTTCCTCTCTGTGTGTGTGCGCATTTGTGCGCGTTCCTCTCTGTGTGTGTGCGCATTTGTGCGCGTTCCTCTCTGTGTGTGTGCGCATTTGTGCGCGTTCCTCTCTGTGTGTGTGCGCATTTGTGCGCGTTCCTCTCTGTGTGTGTGCGCATTTGTGCGCGTTCCTCTCTGTGTGTGTGCGCATTTGTGCGCGTTCCTCTCTGTGTGTGTGCGCATTTGTGCGCGTTCCTCTCTGTGTGTGTGCGCATTTGTGCGCGTTCCTCTCTGTGTGTGTGCGCATTTGTGCGCGTTCCTCTCTGTGTGTGTGCGCATTTGTGCGCGTTCCTCTCTGTGTGTGTGCGCATTTGTGCGCGTTCCTCTCTGTGTGTGTGCGCATTTGTGCGCGTTCCTCTCTGTGTGTGTGCGCATTTGTGCGCGTTCCTCTCTGTGTGTGTGCGCATTTGTGCGCGTTCCTCTCTGTGTGTGTGCGCATTTGTGCGCGTTCCTCTCTGTGTGTGTGCGCATTTGTGCGCGTTCCTCTCTGTGTGTGTGCGCATTTGTGCGCGTTCCTCTCTGTGTGTGTGCGCATTTGTGCGCGTTCCTCTCTGTGTGTGTGCGCATTTGTGCGCGTTCCTCTCTGTGTGTGTGCGCATTTGTGCGCGTTCCTCTCTGTGTGTGTGCGCATTTGTGCGCGTTCCTCTCTGTGTGTGTGCGCATTTGTGCGCGTTCCTCTCTGTGTGTGTGCGCATTTGTGCGCGTTCCTCTCTGTGTGTGTGCGCATTTGTGCGCGTTCCTCTCTGTGTGTGTGCGCATTTGTGCGCGTTCCTCTCTGTGTGTGTGCGCATTTGTGCGCGTTCCTCTCTGTGTGTGTGCGCATTTGTGCGCGTTCCTCTCTGTGTGTGTGCGCATTTGTGTGCGTTCCTCTCTGTGTGTGCGCTTGTGTGCGATGCGGTATGCATGTGTCAGCGTGTGTGTGGGGGTGGGGTGACGGGGTGTGGTTGGGGGTGTGTGTGTGTGTGCGTGCATGGGTGCGTGCGTGCATGTGTGTGTGTGTGTGTGCGCGCGCGCGCGCGAGACAGTGAGCGAGAGGGAGGGCGAGGGAGGGGATGCGAGGAAGGGAGAGGGGAGAGGATAGCACTCACATCGTCTTCATACTCCTCCAGCACCCTGCAGTCGCACACAGATGAGAGAGCGAGAGAGAGAGAGAGAGAGAGAGAGAGAGAGAGAGAGAGAGAGAGAGAGAGAGAGAGAGAGAGAGGAGAAAGAGTGGATTACCAGAGAGTGAAGAGGAAGGCAGAGAAGAGAGGAACAGAGAGAGCAGCAAGCAGAGCATACAACGGACGAACTCTGTCCAGAGCATGTGGGGAAAGCGAAAGAGCACATGGTGCAATTGCTTTTGAAAAATCGCATTCCCAAAAGGTGCATACTATAAAAGGTGCATACTTAAAAAGGCCATGTTGGGCCCTCACCTGTCACACCACCGCTTGATTTCCTTGCCCTGCTCCTCCCGAATCAGCTTCTCTGCACCGCTCACGAGGGCAACCAGAGGGCAGTGGGGTCACGGGGAGAAGGGGAAGAGACGACTTGAGAAAGGTGGGGGAGGAGGAGAGGGGGTGTTTGGAAGATTTGGCTGTGTGGAGTGTTAACCGGTGAAAACACTAAGGGATGATGTATGTGCTGCTTCATCAGAGTGGCAGAGTGCATATCGGGGTGCTTGGGTGGTTTGAGAGGGGCACGTGTGATGCGCACTTCTGTCAGTGTTGGCTGATCGAGAATAGTCGCGGTGGGAGCTCCACACCCGCCTCTCGTCCTTCTGTACCATGCCCCAACAGGGCAACCACACAGGCGAAACACACGAGGCAGGAAGAGGAATCCGAGATGGCTCCGCGGTGTCAACTGTGCTTCAGTCGAAGGGCAATTTGATGCATAGTGCTTGATAAAACCACCAAATCCTGCAGCCTTCCTCCCCACAGGCCCATACCCTCCCCCCCCCCTCTTTGGGCACTCATAGGAGCCCCCACGGGTTGACAAGGCTGCCCCCTGGGCACTCACAGTGACGATGGAGTATTTGTCCATCTTCTTGCACAGCCCGTCCAGGATCTCCACTGCTCGCAGCTCACTCACCCTGCCATGCCATGCCATGCCATGCCACGCCATGCCATGCAGTGCCATGCCACGCCATGCCAAGACCAGCCAAGCCAAGCAAAGGCAAGCCAATTCATGCCATGCCATGCCATGCCCCCCAATTGTATACCATAGCAAGTCAGTGCAATACATTCGTTGCTTCCTTTGTGGGGGTTTTCAGTGAATAGTGCAACGCAAGTGAAGGACTTGAGCAGATATTGTGGAGGGTGAGAGGGAAGCATGCAGGCCGTGCAGTGCAAGCACAGGGTAAGCATGCCCAGTTATCATGTCCAACATCCAGCCGCGTGGCCTCGTCTCAATCCCCCCTCCCCAACCCACGTGATCACCCCCCACCCACACGATCACCCTCCACCCACGTGATTACCCCCCGCCCCCATGCCCACCCACGTTATCACCTCCCGCCCACTCACATGATCACCCCCCACCCACGTGATTATCCCCCACCCACGTAATTATCCCCCACCCACGTGATTACCCTCAACCCACGTAATCACCTCCCACCCACGTGATCACCTCCCACACGTGATCACCTCCCACACACGTGATCAACCCCCACACACGTGATCACCCCCCACACACGTGATCACCCCCCACACACGTGATCACCCCCCACACACGTGATCAACCCCCACACACGTGATCACCCCCCACACACGTGATCACCCCCCACACACGTGATCACCCCCCACACACGTGATCACCCCCCACACACGTGATCACCCCCCACACACGTGATCACCCCCCACACACGTGATCACCCCCCACACACGTGATCACCCCCCACACACGTGATCACCCCCCACCACACACGACTCCCCCCCGCAACCCACGTAATTCCTTTCCCACCAACGTGATCTGCCCTCCCCACCGGGCACGATCAGTCCCCTCCCGCGTGACCCCGTGTGCTCCGGCACCTGTAGTCGATGAGCTTGCCCTCGCGCTTGCCCTGTGAGTTGAGCCGATTCCTCATGTCCAGATGGTTGCGCGGCCGCTCCTGCACACTCACACATGCCGCCATGCCCGTGCACGCACACACACAAACGCGCACACAGAGGCACACATACACACGTACACACATACATACATAACACATGGACCACAAGCACACAGCACCGTTAGAAACCATCGCAACTGCACGCGCGTCACCCTGTCGGAGGCTTCTCTTCTCGTCGCCTGCGCATCCTGCAACCCCCACCATCTCGCCCTTGTCATCCGCCACCGCTCGCCCTCCTCGCTCTTCCCCTTTAACGCTTCCCCTTCCTCTCGTCCCTCCCCCTCTCCCCCCCCTCCCCTCGTCCCCTCCCCTCTTCTTCATGACTGCATTTTACCAATGTCACGCCGCACTGCGCACTCACACACTCGCATCAACTGCACCTATGGCCCACCTCTGATAGTACCAGAAGCAGCTCCTTCTGCTCGCCGTGAACGCGGCCGCATCCGTAGAGATAATCGAGTCAGCCACGTCATTCGCGGCGCCGGGAATTGCGAGAAAACGGCGTAATCGCGGGGATAGAGAGTC